TTGAAGAGGTAGAGTTCACCAAACTCTGCATCCTCTGCTGCTTTTGATGTTACAGTAAAGTTGGTGTCAACTCCAAACAGGACTTTGAGGAGGCCTTGAAAGACAGCAAAAAAATGTGCAGACACTCCACCAATCACCCAAAATTGCTCGTTACGCCACCAGTCCTCGATGCTAACATTGCTCCATCTGAGCTCTAGGATGCCAGTTGCAATGATGGAGAGGAAAAGAGCCATGAACCATATGCTAGCAAAGTTATTAAGCTGCAAATAATGAAATTCTGATTCATGAATTGGCCAATTTCCTTTGATCTTCAAACAAAGTAGTCTCTAAAAGTAAAAGTACTTACAGTGGGGATGATGAACTTTCCGGTCAAAAGACAGACTGCTGGAACAGTGCAATATGCAATTAAGGGGATCGAAGTGAAAGGGTAGACTATGGTGTTGATGTAAGCAAGCCTCTCCAGCCATTTCAATTTTCCTCCATAGGCATACCATAAGGGGCAGTGACGACTAAGAAAGATTTCAACAGAGCCAAGAGCCCATCTCAGAACTTGGTGCAACCGATCTGATAGATTAATAGGAGCAGATCCCTTGAAAGCTGGTCTTTTTGGCATGCAGTAAACTGACTTCCATCCTCTACAATGCATTTTGAAGCCGGTCAAAATATCTTCTGTAACTGAACCATAAATCCACCCAATCTGCAATGAAAAACCAACCAAATCTTGAGTTATTATAGTTTTTGTATCAAATCCTGATGTAAGAAGAATCGAATACTAGAAATGCATAAATAGTTATGTAGTTCATCATAATGCTACTCACCTCTTTTCCCCATTCAGTTTTTTCTTCATAGCCACAACTAATGACATGAATGGCCTCCTTAACGAGTGTTTGGCTATTATTCCCTTCAGGAAGCCCACCATTTTCCATAAGAGTGGAAGCAATAAAAACAGGAGATTGTCCAAAACGTTTCTCAAAATTTTTCTGTGACATAAGTGATGATTTCTCCAACTCATCATAGCCTTCAAACCCTTCTTCAATCTCTTCAAGATCAAACATGGGGGCACTCCCTTTCCTTACGTAGTTTTTCCCCATCATTTTCTTCTTCTTGGTGTAAATTCCCCCAAGAAGACTTCTTATCCCATGCTTCTTAGACTTAGACTTAGACTTCTTTGAACCGCGACAACAGCCACAGAAGCACCATGAAGGCCAGCAGTCACATGTCATCTTAGGTCGCTTTTCAGACACTGGAGGATCATAGCCATACAATGCTTGTCTATTGAAGACACATCCAGTACCAACATACACTGGTCCTTGGATCCCATCTAGGCCTCTCATGTTGATCTATAACCAAAAACAAAGTCAAGGCATTGAGCTAAACTTTTAAAGGCAGATAATTCTGTATTGTAAGAGAATGTGTTAGTTAAAGCTCTAGTGGCACTTACATCAAAGAACACAACATTTCGATTAGCATATCTGTCATGCCGATCAATACCATCAAACCTTTGAGGGAACTGAACATAGCATAGCTTCTTCCCGAGTTGGGGATCCATTAGGAAGCACATAGCTTCTCTTACAGCCTTGCTGTTGTTGATGTAGTGGTCACAATCAAGATTCAACATGAAAGGTGCATTAGTAAGCACTGCAGAAACTCGAACCTGTTGATCACATACAACATTTAAGGAATAAACATTACTGTATGAACCAATCTTGCCTCAACCTAAATACACACATTTAATCAACATTAGCTCACCAAAGCATTCATGGCACCAGCTTTCTTGTGATGTTGATAGCCAGGACGTTTCTCACGTGAAACATACACAAGACGAGGCAGTTCCTTACCATCCACATCTAGTGCTCCCTCACTTCCCAGATAAACCTGCAAAGCAAGTAAAATGTCCACAGGCCATTGTCAACAGTGAATTTCCTTTATTTTTGCTCTCTCTCTTTGAGAAACTAATAAATCCTAAAAATCAACAAGAGCTACATTGGATGACATATGGATTTAATGGGAAGAAAACAGAATATCAAACCTGGATCATTCCCGGATGATCACGAGTGTTGTTCCCAGGCCATGGAGTACCATCCTGCATTACCCAACCCTCTTCTGGTTTCTTCTGAGCCTTTGACACCAATGCATTAATCCTCACTTTGAATTCTTCGTACTCTCTCTGCAGTACCACACAAATAAACCTTTAGACCTCATTTCATTGTCGTCAGAGTGTTGCAACAAAATAACTAAAGAACAGAAATTAATATATGTTTCTCCTGTATCTTTTAGCTTACCTTCATGGCTCTACGCTCCTTCACAAAGTTTGGGTGCACCTTGTCCTTCAAGTAATCAATCTTCTGAGAGAAATAGAACTCAGGGGCCCTAGGCTCAACGTTATGCTTTTTGCAAAATGGCACCCATCTTCTTGCGAATTCAGCAGTCTCTGATAGGGAATCAAAAAGGAGCATTGAAGCACCATCATCCGATACATAACAGCAGATCTTGTCAACAGGGTAGTCAACAGATAAGATCGATAGAACCGTGTTTGCAGTAATGATTGGAGGCTCCTTGAGAGGGTCCACTGTACTCACATACACATCAACTGATGATAATGTGTTAGGCTCACCCTCACGCTCAAACCTTATGGTCAGGCGGTCTAGGTAAGTCTCACGGTTGATGGGGTTCCACTTGGGGAACTGATCAAGTATCCAAGAAAACGCAAACCATATCTCACAAATTACAGATATGATCCACAAAGGATAAGCATCATATGCCGGAGTTAAAATTCGAAAACGGAAGAAGAAGGCCAGAATAACAAGCCGGCAGACAATGACTATGCGGTAAGGGCTGATTTTGCTTGATGAGACAGGTACTTTTCGCCACAGTGGTTGGCGGGCTTCAGCCAAACTACAAAAAGTCCAGATTCGAACAAATGAGACACTGCTACATCAGTTGAGAAGCATAATTTGGTACACAGATTTTGTACAAAACCAACTTACAGGAAGTCATCTTCGTAGCCTTGATCATCATTTCTGTCGTCTTTGTTCACCAAACCTTTCTTTTCTTGCCTGACTTTCCATTTCTCCACTCTGTCTTTCCACTCTGCATTGCTCAAAACTTCTTTCTCACCTTCAAAATCCTTACCAGCAACTACAGAAACCAAAAATGGCATAAATTAATACATCCAATTCCCAATAAAAAGAAACAAATATATAAGTTGAATTGAATATTATCCTTACCACTTCCTCCAACAGAGAAAGGTTGATCGTTGTGATGCCACTGCTGTTGAGTGTGTTCTCCATTTTCCTGTAAAACTCAACAATTTTTAATCACTTGGGTGCCTTAAGATCACTTCCTACTCATAACAACTTATTATCTTATCAAACTAGATGAAATTACCGAATGGTTAACGAAGTTATTTTTTTCTGTAGACTCATCATGGTGATCAATCTTGATCTGAAACTCATCATCAAAATCATCTGCATCAAAGTCTTCCTCATCTCCAGCAACTCTAGGACAACCTGCACATTAAAAACCGTACGCGTTACATAATTTAAGGCCTAGGCCACATATAACTACATACGGATATGCAATATTAATTTGTGAGAGAGAGAATTAATTAAAATGTCACCTTTTTGACGCTTATAACGAGTGTTGCACTGAGGGCAGCTCTGGTTGCCTTCACTCCTTTCATAGTCATAACAAGGCCGACAAACTGGGAAGCCACAAACATGACATGCCACAAACAACTCCCCATCTTCTTTGTATCCAATGTCATCCCCACAAACCCTGCACACTTTCGATGAAGACACCGACTGCCTTGTCGGAGGCCGGTTCTGCATACCATTTGTCACGTGGAGAAGGTTGTGAGTTCAGATCTCATGGACGAAGACTGTGTACTAAAAAAGAGATTAAGCTATACATTTTATGCATACCTCTTCAGTGCCATTCACAACATGGAGTTCATCTCGGGCGTGAGAACCAGTAAACAAGCCGGCCATGGTGTTTGAAGCCATGGCATGCAAACCAAAAAGAGATTGTTGAACTTGAAAAGATGGTGAGAGGGGAGAGAAGGGAAGGAGGGTATTATAATGAAATGTTGGGGTGTAAAGAGAGAATATGATAATCAGGTGGAAGTGTGAGAGTCAGTTGTGCACCTACTGTGAGTTGGGAGGTCGTATGTTTGAGTCTAAGAAACGTTACTGAGTGATAGGTGAGGGGGAGAAAGGGTTTGCTTGCTTGGTATGGCAAATGCTCCATGGCTCGCTTCAACTCAAAGGTGTCTATGAGGCTGACGCCAAACTTTATTATTATTATTTTTTTATAAATAAACAAACAACAAAAATAAATACACACCTTACCTTCTCCATGTGTCACGTACCCACCTCAGAAAATTCTCTTTCATCAACGATATAGAACATAAATCTAATTACAAATTCAATAGAGTTCCTTAATAAAATTACAAATTATTCCTCAAACTAAAATTCCTCATTCATATTAGTCATTTTCTGTCTAAGAACCACACTACCCGGAGAAATGTTTCTGACAATAATACCACGTGACATGAGGACATGGTATTGCAGATTACATGGATTATTATTTAATTAGATTCGTAATATCATCATCACACACAATAGTGTTTCCTTTTGTAGAAAAAGATGAGCAGGGGTAAAGCCATGTTAGGGTCTTCCAACATTTCCATGATGCCAGTCCCGAGGATTAATGATGGATCCAATTTCGTGATTCCAATGAACATTATTATTGCTAACAGCATCAAAGTTGAGAATAGAGGCGAGGTTCAAGAACGTTAAGATCAAAACTTGACTAATTAGCTTAAAACTATCAACTAGACAGAAAAAATCACATACGCATTATTCATGCCCACGAGAATACGATGAATATTAAGTCAAAAAAAGCTCTTTCCATAGGCGCCAAAGCCCATCTTAAAATGGGGACCTTCTATAAATCAGGAACGATTGGTCAGTCTAATACTGATATAACAGATGACAAGCTTATTCTTTTATTTTGGGACGCTTTGGGGTTTTGGGGTTGGACACAGAAAGATCTAGCTCAGGATCCTCAGGAGCTTCCGTTTCAGGTACCTTCTGCTTCCCTGACAGCTCCAGTGAGCCTACTTCAGATTTGGTGTTGGCTTTAACTGGATCAGTTTCAGTCTTACCAAGGTCCACCTTGGAGGGCTCCAGTTCACTTTTGTCAGGACAAGCTTGCATTGCATCTAAAGGGTCAGCGGGGTCGTCCAAATTCAATGATGATGCCTTCAGCGTGTCGATACCGGTCTTGCATTGCTTCTCAAACATCATTTGAAGATATTTCCCTTGTTCTTCTATCCGTAATTGTAGATTTCTTTGAATCTGCGGAGAACGGAAAGTTACAAATAGTGCATAGCAAAATAACCGAGAAACGCACAACAAAAGAAAACAGTATTAAACAAATAGAACCGGGGCCATATACGCAACAATCAAGGAACATATGAATTTGAGGGTTCGAAGTTTGACCAAAGCCTAAACAGTACAACAGTGCTATAAATGTTTCTCAAGCTTTGGCAGCAGAGACAAGTCAAGTTATAACTCAAAACCTTGATCAATTAGAAAGAAAAATCCTTTTCCAATAAACAAATTCATACCTCAAGCTGTTCATGCAGCCGTTTCTGAACTTCCATCTGCAGCCGCAGAGCTTCAGTGATCTCGATACCCCTGTACCCAAATCAAATGAGCAGAGAGTTTCTGAAAAATTTAACATGATAATGCAACCAACAATGAGATAAGAGTACACAAATCTATTGGTATTTGACCCCTTTCCCCCACTTAGATAGACCCCACTCTGGGATTATCACATTTAAATAGTGAACAGTTAGCAGTACATTCCAGGTGCTACAGTTAACAGTTCGCAGTATCTGCCAGGTGCTAAAGTTAACAGTCCTATAAAAGAATAATGATTAAAAATATCTTCCTGGTGCTAAAGTTAAGCAATTGAGGTAGCTCATATCCTCCTATTCTGCTTATAAAGCCTCTTTCCAGGTCGTTTTTCCATTATGTTTTTTCTTCCCGAGGCAGCCCAAGGTATCACAAATTAATCAGTAATTGACTTACGTTTTCAAGTCAAGAGAAGTCATTTCTTCAATCGGAGTTAATTTCTTCTCCGAGGACCCTGCATAGAAGATTGTTTAACAGCACATTACATTAACTAATTAAGAAATCCTTACATGTAAGGTATAAATAGTAAATGAGGTCAGCATAGACATGCCAACTACAAAGTCTCACGGTAGAACATGAAACTCAAGGAGATAAAAACAAGCATTTCTGCACAAATATACCTCAAGGATAATAATTTCAGCATCCTGTACGGTATTGGTGAATAGAATAATAAAAAAACAGAGATAAATAATCTGAAAACATCAAAGAATAATAAGAAAATTCAAGTATTCACCAAAATACAGCCTGCTCAGAAATGATATGGGAAAAATTAATCAGACGGCTTGGACATTTTTACAAATAGTACAAAATTGAAATATTGCAAATCAATTTCTGGGAAGAGCGGCATTATAAAGGATTAAAAAAAAGTCAGAAGAATTTCTCATTTGATGGACTCAAAAACAAAAAATACACAAAAGGTAACACCACTAAAGATCATAATTTTTCTCTAGACCACACAAACTCCAGCACCAAAGCACAGAAAATTAAGTAATGAACAAGAAATATAGTTTTTGAAGAGAAAAAAAGATTTTGCATCCGACTTTCATTTTTCACAAATTTGGTGCTTAATTATGTCTTGTTTTATCTTCCGTCGCCAAAAACATCATACAAAAGCTTCAGCAACATAGCAGATTCGCATCACAGTAAGAATAAGAGATTCCTTATCCGAAAACATATGCACTTCAGAGATAAAATTTTTACCCCAGAAAAATTAAAACAAAACATATAGAGACAGGGGAATGCATACTTAAAACACCCCTCCATTCCCCCTTGTATATCACTTCTGGAAACAAGGAAAATGCAAGCGAAAAGAGGTTGATGCAGTGGGATAAAATATTAAAAGAAGAATCAGAATGAGAGCAAAATCATGCCTACATAAATACAATCAACATATACACTAAATAGATATATGCAATTATGCATACATACACACATCTAGATAATATACATAAAAATGTACACATGTATAAACATTGAGGCACATGCCATATACCTTCAGATGACTCTGGTCTGTACCTAGCAGTCCTGTATTTCTGCAATTCAAAATGAACTCTAGTAAAAAGAAAGTTCTCACAAGCACACATACACACAAACAGTTTCTATGTGAAACTATTTATTGGTGAAAGAAGTATGTGTACCTGCAAATGACTTTTCACATGATAGATAGTCAAGCTTTCAACTTTCATGAGCTTTAGCACACCCTTAGGAGTTGCTCCTGCAAGAAGTAAAAACTTAATTGAGGTAGAAGTTTGTATCATACGCTAAGAATTCAGTAAAGCTAGAAGAGTTACACACTTTCACTACCGCCAAGTTGGTTCACAGCCTCCACAAAGGCCTCATGAAGTTCTGGTGTCCAACGCATGCGCGCCTTGGCGGGGGCACTATTAGCTGAGGAAGGAGCAGTAACAGAAATGATTTCCCTAGATGGAGCTGGAATGAGTTCTCTAGAAGGAGCAGGAATGATTTCCCCAGATGGAGCAGGTTGTTGCTGATGAACTTGGGGCTGCTGTGCTGAAAAATTCGAAGATGGTTTTGGAACCTGATATTTTATCTGAAACAACATAATCACAACCCAATTGGTTTTTCTTTTTTCATAACAATGACAGATATTATTCACTGAACTTGAAAATCTCTATCAAGCACCAACTATACAAGAACATCTCAACCTTTGGTTCCAGATCCGTGACATTGTTGTCAACAAGAAGCTCATTCCAGTTAGAAGTCAAAGCATCATCATCAGTAATTAGCTGGTCTGCCCATTCCTGCCAATCACTTCGCTTAACAAATTCTTCAGCAGGCATAATCCCGCTACAACTACTGCTCTCTACTTGACTATTCTCGATATGGTTATTTACAGGAAAATCAAGGAAACCTGGCAGTGAATCAGTACACCAGGAACCACTGTTTTCTTTGGAATAAGGACAAGAGGATGTAGATTGAAGAAACCCTGAATGAGAAGAATGGGGTAATTGCAAAGACACAGAACTCGATGACTGAGAAATGAAAGGATTGTTTTTTGGCTGTTTTTCATGAGGTGAAGGAGCTGAGTAGTGAAGATCTGTTGAGAATCCTGATGATGATGAAAATATGTGACCAACTACTCCACTGTTGGAGGTTAAGTGACCTGCATGCACGACAGGCCTTGTCATAAGTTCTCTTTCCATGGACACCTGTTGGGAGTCAGGCAACTTGGGATATGTCTCTTCCATAGGGGTTGGAAGGACTGGTAAAGATGAAGACATTGCTGCAGAGACCCCCAGGTGAGTAAACTGTTTTGCAGCTGATCTCTGAATGGACAAAGCAGGGCGTGCCTCCATCAATAGCCCTAAAACCAGAGAAGGAGCATCAGTAATTTAGTCATTAAATATTAGCTTAGTTTGTGATAGTGATGATAATTACCAACTTAAAACCTACTGAAAGCACACCTTTTGCTTGTTATTGATACCAAAATCACAGAAAGGGGTCATCAATTTTCACCTGTGAACAGAAGGATAAATCCATTAGTGCAAGACACCATTAAAACCAACCATCATAAAATGAAAGCATTTTTTGGCATGAAGATGATAAAAACTCTCCCAGAACCCCGAAAATGTTTTCAGAAAAAAAAACCCACAAGAATGAGTTTACAATTGCATCACAGTGTCATCAGTACATTCCACTGCAAGCTAATAATGAACCCCTTAAAACTATGAGTGGAAGAACCCTAGTATCCGAAAAAAGAAAGCAGAACATATAAAATAAAAATCTTTTGGCATTGTCTTTTTTTATGAGGCAGTTGATCATTTAGTTGCAACGCTACATAACACAATCAAAAGTTCACATTCATCAGCACAAAAGCAATTATTTGTCTGACTTTGAAACACCCTAAAGAATAATCCAACTTATGTCAATCAAACAAAACAGGAAAAAAATTGCCAGAAAACAAAAATATCTACAAAAATACTTAAGTAACCGAATATAAGTTCACACTTGCTTTCACTCTCTCTTAAAACCCTACTTCTGCTATAAGCCATATTCTATAAAACAGCCTCCTCCACTGAACCCCAACAACACGATCACAATTCAAGTGATAACCAGCTCCAACAATTCAAATTTCATCAAAACATGCAATCCATCCAAGTAAAAAAAAACAGCTACAAAGAAAAAGCATTGCACCCCACCATGCAAAACAATTGCTATATCCAAGCGAAGCATGTCCACCAAAATTGAAGAATAACAAGAAAACAAAATATCCACCAAAAAAATGAACCAATACAAACAACAAATACCAATTCAATCGAAACCCAACAATACCAATTTGGAAAAAACGCAAAATTCAATCAAAACTCCAAATGAGCATTCCACAACAAGCAATAAAGCCTGAAATTCCAACCCAAAAACCAAAAAATTGAAAAACTTTATCAAAAGGGTATATCGAGCTCGTACCTAAAACCTGATAGAGCGCCCCAATTAGGAGAATTGGAGCCCGAAACACGCAGAATCGAATCAAAACCCAGATTTTGGCGCAGGGGGAGGGAGATACGTCTAAAATAACAGGCGGGTGTTTTTAAATTCCGTCACCGGCGTGCCTAGGAGCGAAAGGAAAGGATGTGAACGGTGACGAGTCACACGAGTGCGCTTTGTTTTTGTGTCCCCTTCGGCTTTGGGCCTCGTTTGGGGCTCCCTCTCTCTCTGCATTTTTAACGAACAGTGGATGTCTCCACGCGCCTCGGCAGTTCGTTTAAACGATTTCTCGGAAGCATATGCGTGGGGCCCACAGTGGTGGCGGACTGTGATTGGTAGGCAGGGTAAATATCCGGTAAGGTGCACGTGGGGCAAGCGTGACAACTGAAATGTTCTTTGGAGTTGCCCAAAAGCCCAACGTGGCCTAAGACAAGACATTTAACTTCCTTTGTTTTTCTTTTTCTTTTTTCTCTGTGTTTTCTGTTTTTGTGGGCTTGTCTTTGGTCTTTTCTTCTCGGCCCCAAACTTGGTCCATATGGGATGTTAAGTGGACACGTGTAAGGAACCCAGATGGATAATTAGAATGTTGGACAAACTGAGTCAGCACTCGAAGAGTAAAAAATGCTCAGGGAAAATTCAATACTCAAAATGGGATTCCGTTTTCATGGCCTAACACAAATGGGATTTGGTTTTTATTATGCAGATTTGCGATGTTAATGACCTTCTTAAGCTTGCTTCCAGCTGTTTAGGTAAGATTCTGAGCATAAAAGGGTTGTAAATGATGAGCAATTATTTTTACGCGTGCTCCGGCTCTAATAACAATTACGCGGTAGAGATCATTCTTATTTCTTATTAAGATAACGTAGTAAGTTAAATTTTAATAGATTTGACGAAGTTACTAATAATAAAATTAAAATGTTTTTTCTTCTTGGTTTTTCTTACTCTGCATAATTGAAAACGTTTGCTTGAAGAAGTAGAACTGTGTATAAAATAACGTCGTGTACCTGAATTGAGCCATTTTGAGTCCAATTTCAATAAGTAATGCCATATGCTATAATTAGCCCAGAAGAAAGCTTCTTTTGTTTTGGGTTAAGAGATGGAGAGGTAAAGGGAGACAAAGTTCCAAAAGAAATCAACATCTAATGATGCCATTTCAATAATTCAATGGATTTAAAAGGGGAAAAAAACATCAAGTTGTCTCCTTGACTTTTGAGGTACTTTCCTTTGAACATGCAGGAACTTCAAATGCAGAAGCACTTAAAACCCACAACTTTGCAATACAACGCAGCAGAGCATATAGTTCATACCCACTACCACTAACATTGTACTGAGAAAGGACAAAAGTGCTTTTGTTTTGGCTAGTCAAATAAGTGCACAAAGAAGCACAGAGGAACAGCAATATTGTGCTTTATAATTTATAATTTATGGACTGAAATTTCATGCTAATTGTAGTACATGGAATTGGGTAATTTGAATGTCCTTTTGGCAATTGGAAGGCCCTCAAAGCTGCTCCATTGATCTCCAATGATGCCCCAGATGAGGTAGCCTTCATCAACCAATCTGTGCCTTGCCTTAGACTTGTATTTTTGCACTTCCATGAACTCATCTTCAAGACCCCTGTATTCAAAACAACTCATGTTAAAGTTTTCAATTTCAGGCACGCTTAATTATACAGAAATAATCAACAAAAAGATGGATTTGAAAGCCTTGGTGATAGCTCATTATACCTTAATATAAGACCAGTCCATCCATGGTATCCAACCTTAATGAGATTGTCCACACTTGAGGATCTAAGGTTTTCCCTTCTTGAAGAGATCAAAAATATTTTAAGTCCTCTGTTTTTTATCTCATGGAAGAGCTTCAGTGTGTGCTCAAGAGCTGGTGCCTTACTCTCTCTCATCCATGCCTCCAAAGAAGTTGCATTGATCTTCTCTCCCCTAGTTTGAGATTTCCAAATCCAAAAATACATTTTACTCAGGTAATTAAAAATTTGCCCCAAGAAAAACACAGTAAAACTCACTTACCCAAAACCATGTGTCTTGAAGTAAGGAATGGTGGAGAGAAGTGTATCATCAACATCAAAAATCCATGCATCTTTGCCATCACCTTCCAATGTGCAGCAGCTGCTCAAGTAGAAAGTGACCTCCTCCAAGGCCTTCTCTGAATCAGCCTTGTACTGAGAGGATGTCATGTATTTCTGAATGTACTGGACACATTCTTGGGGCACCACATCAAAACCTCTAATGTTGTTCACTTCCACATTGATCCTCCAACTCTCACAGTACTTCTTCAAGCCATCTCCTACCCCATTGTTCTTGTTTTTCTGGTTTTTCAAAATGTTCCAATCTGCTGCAACCACTAAGCCTGTGAAGAGGCTTGAAAAAATTAGAAATCCTGTGAGTTTTCCCATTTCAAATGTGATGACAAAAAAGAAACGGAGATGGAGAAAATTATGGGTGAGTTGAGTCTAGATTGGGGATAAAGAGAAGACATAATTGAGGGTGGCATGGGCTGTGGGGCATGAATTGTCATTGCCTTTTACCGGAGATCACATGGTGTGTAATCAATTAAGTTTGATAGCTAGTAAATTGATTGTTGATTAATGAATGTGTAATGGACAACTGGACAAAAGGAAAATTTAGAGTAATGTTGGAGACACAACTTTTGAACACCAATTATGATCCAACGTTTCATTTGTTTTCTTTCGGAACTCACTCGAAATTTTATTTGTTTCCAACCAATAAAACATTGTCGCGTTAATTAGTTTCCAAAAGTTAGTGTAGTAAGTTGATTTCTAGTATTTATGCTTTACAACTCATGAAAATTGTTCCCTAGTGATTTGTGCTCTTTGAGCATCATCACTTTAAAAACGCATCAAATGGACGCTTAATTAACATGGTCATGCATAGTTCTAGTTTGATCAATGAATCTTAGCCGTCTGATTAAATGTCTTGTGGGCTTTGCAAGGAGACTCATAGTCCATGAATCTCCAAAGTGATGTTATGAATCTCCAAAGTGAAGTTATATAAACATAAAAGAGGAAAAAGCATCCAATGGACCAAAAAGAAAAAGCATCCAAGCGCTAGCCTATTTGTCCTATTTTAAATTTGAGTTGCAAAATTAGGCATAACAAACGGATGGCAAAGCAAGAAGTTTTGATAGATAGAAGTTGAGCAAAACAAAACGTAGGTGTTTGATTGATAATGGTCGTTAGTTTTAGGTAATTTCGTGTATGTTTGTCATATCGACAGTCAAAAAAGATCAACTGGGTGTTGTGAATGTGAAGTTTGAATTCTCTGGCATTTTAAAAAGAGAAGAAACAAAAAAATTAGGTCAAGTTTGTTCATGGTTGCAATCTTGGTTGGAATGCAAAAGAAACATGGCAATGAATAGTGGACCCCAAAACCATCTTTGTAGAATTTACTTTATCTTTTTTACAAGCAAAGATAGAAAGATTGAAAGAAGAATAATACTTGCTCCACTCCACAAGAAAGAGGAAACAGAAGAAATAGCAATTGTTAAGATCCCTTTTTTCCAACTATTTCAAGGTTTGGTTTCCTTTACATTATCTTGCCACAACATAAGTCTCACTGCAGAGAAACGAAATAGGTTGAAAATGAAACAAAATTTGGTCATGCTATTATTAGCCAACAATTTTGAATGTAAATCTAAGTTGCATGACTCAAACGAAAATATCTATACATCTCAAAGGAAAAATTGTCCATATATCCTTTGAGAGGACAAAGCATCACCGGAAACTATGAGGTGAAAGATGGTCATCGAAACCGTTGTCGAAGTTCAGAGAATAGCTTTGAAGATCATAGGTGTAATGAGTGTAGCTCTTTCGCCATCCCACAGCTTGTTTCCATTGCGACTTCAACTTCCAAATCAACTTCCTCAAAAGATAGGATACACGGCAACAACCAGTTGATGCTCTTCTTTCAATGCTAACAAGTGTGACCGCAGATCCGGTGCTTGCGATTCCCTTCACCAACTTCAAACACTGGATTTTCCAACAGCTAGAGACGCTAGAAACTTTCATTTTTAAGCTCCTTATCCACCTTGGTCTGTGTGTTGTTTTATAGCGAGCTCATATGAAATGAAGCGAAAAAGCACCAAGAATAATATACGGTTGGCAAGAAAACAAACAGATGAAGCTTTCAAGTATCAATTCCCACTAGCAGGCATCATCAACGAGATGTCACAATCCCATTGGTGGAAGTTGATAAACATTATAATCAAATAGTCTATTCAACTTTTCTTTAAAACAATTCCCAGGTCCCATAGGTCCCAGTTTGGAGAAAAGATTGACGACTTGCCTCTAGTGATGTAATGTCAGTCAAGTGATACAAAACTTTTTGAATGGATCGTCTCTGAAAAGTTGCTTGTGCTCATCTGTTGTATTTGGCTTCTGTTTCAATTAAAGGCTCTTGATAGTGAACTTTCCAGGAAGCATATAAGTGGGATGAGGTCGACTCTTACATCAAAAGTTCCCACCGGCCATACCTACATGAGCCATACAGTAAACAGATTAATCAAAAAAATTGTGAACTTGCCCCTTTATGACATGGTTGATCACACTTTACACAGAAAAGGCCCACAAAGATCATGACAAATTGTGTCATGTATATTTTTTATAGTTACATTATAAAAGGAATTAATCAAAACTATGCTAACAAAGCATATGTCTAAGCAAAATATAGCAAACCCTACTGCATTTTTAGAATAGCTACCTAGTAAACCATGAAAACCACACAATCTTGAGAGAGGAAAAAGTTTTGTTTACCCTTTGGAAAAAGAAAAAGAAAACCCTGGATTGATATCAAGAGTTCATCAACATAAAACAACCATATTTTTAATAAATTTTTGTGAACTTTATGTAGCCTTTTCATCACATGGTTGATTATACTGCACATAGAAAGGGCCACAAAGATCATGAGAAATTGTGTCGTGTAGATCTTTGATACTGATATGGATATAAAGTGAATTAATAAAGATTTTGCTACCAAAGCAAGTCTCCATTCAATGGATCAAGCAAGATGTTGATTTCTCTTTTTCAATTCTAACCAATATAACTGAAGAATAATTATGACTAAGAGAATATTTCACAGAAAAACACCACTGCATTTAGAGTAGCCACCTAGCGAACCAGGAGGAGGAAATAATTTGATGTTTGATCCATAAACTTACAGTTTATAATTCACTTTCACCCTTTGGTAAGGGAAAAAAATCTTGAAATGATATCAAAAGTTGATCAACATAAAACAAACATTTTTATAAATAAAGCTAAGTTTAGTGAGTTGTACCATATATCTTATAAAATCATGACCCACACAACTATTCAGTCACAAGTTTCCAAAATCATAATAGTTTCCTTCCAACTCTAAACTATTTATTAAATTTCATCCTATATATTTATTACTATAAAACTTAACCCTGCATAGAGTGCTTTACCTAACATATAAAAAAAAATGGCATAAATGACTAATGTTATTAATATTAATTCAGCTGCATGGAGGATAAACATTCTTACAGACGACTGACCTGATACTTTCAAGCACCATCGCAACTTCAGACAAACAGGTGGGAGCCACAAACATGAAAAATGTAAAGGCACCAAATTCTCTCAGCAAGCTCACCTGGAAAAAAGTTCATATATTAATTCTAGCATTTCCTCTATTTCATTTCTAAAACAGATGGGGGACGGGGAAGGTTGACTGCAGAACTAATTGAATATAAATTGTTAGGATTTTGGCTCGTCAAATATGTCCTAGTTGGTTTAGGATTGTTTTAGGAAAATTAGAGGTATACCAATTCTTGTCCTAGAGGGATTAGGAAAGAATTTCAGTTTTCCTTATTCAATTCAGGTTTGGATTTCTAGAAGTCTATTAGGATTTGGATAAGTGTAATTTCCTAATCCACTTAGGAATAGGAATCCAATCAGCCTTGGGACATGTAAGCCAACTCTATATCTATAAATAGGGTGTGGCAAGGCTTATTTTAAAGAGAGGAAAAACAGCCAGAGACAGCCAAGAGTTTTGAGATTAGTTCTAGGGTTGCAAAAGTTCTGTAATCTCTATTATTAATCAAAGGAGCGGTGATTTCTCCACCTAGAGAAATCACAACTGGACGTAGGCAAAAGTTCTGCCGAACCAGTATAATTCTTGTGTGTTTCTAAGTGTTTTAATATTTGCTAGTTTAGTCTATTGCCGTTGGTTACATCAAAGAACAAGATCTAGAAGGCGGGTTATTTAACATAAATACTCACAGTCATTATGCTCCTTCATATCATGAGCACAGCCACAGCATCTACAAAACAAAATGAATGTGAATTGCTGCCACAATCATACATCTCGACAAACAGTATCATTAGGGTTACAATACAAAACCTCATTGTTGAAAAATCTCCTCTAAACTGAATCTGAATTTCGCTCAAATAAAGTCTAAACAAGGGTGACCTGCAACACCAATTAGCAAAAAGGGGGAAAGAACATCATTCAAAACCTATGACTCAGTCAGTTCCTGTGCAAATGAAATGATTGATTCAAAATTCAAATCAAAGTAAAAAAGACGTCCAACATTGCATAGAATGGTATAGGAATACCGGGATGGAATTGCAACAGCTACAAGGGATGGGGACATTTTCCACAACTGATGCAGCTGAGTTCCCAGAAGTCCACTCAAATATTCAAGAATGTTACTTTCCTAGTTCCACCACAAAAGCCAACCATGATTACTAATACAAAAAGATAAAGCATGAACAAGCAAAGAAGCATGCATGTCAAATTATCAGCATTAATTTTGAACCTTTGAACTCACTGCTTCCTGTTTAGATATAGGAGCTGTAGATCTTCCATAAAGTAAGTTGCACACTTCATGATATTGCTCCGAAATATTTTTGCAATCATAACAAACTGACACCATATATTCGATTAGAGAAGTCCATCTGCTTGTAATGCATCCTACTAACAAGAGCTCCTGTTTCGAAAGGGAAAAAGGGGAACTTGAGTTTCTTCATTCAACAGTACAATTTATTTCCTAAACAATGCAAGGGTACAGAGATGTATAGTTAGCCATGCGGCCATTGAAATACAAAATATTTATTGCTGAAGAGAATCAATCCTTCAGATTACAAAAGTAAAAAAATTCACAATTTATTCTAATTCAAAGTAAAAAAAATTCACAATTCATTCTAATTTATTTATTGAACTGAACTGACTTACTATTGTGCCTGAAAAAAAAAAAACTGACTTACAATTGTTTCGCGCAGACCATCATCACTGCTTCCTGCTGAAACATTCAAATTCAGCCGTCCAAATATTTGTACCCACTGAATCTTAGGGGCAGAAAATATCATGCTGGCACCGGAGACCAATTGAATAGTTCTCTTATCAAGAAAATAGGAGATATTCTTTGATTTCCAGCGATTCCATGTCAGAGAACCAACCAACCACTCTACAATGCTGAATAAGGAACCACAAGATATTCAGTTCAGGTCATAGTAGTGAGATCCTGAAAACATACAACAGTAAAGATTTGATTTTTCATGTAAACTCCTCTAAGTATCTACAAAAACACTCATGACTCAGCTAAATGCATCTCAGAAAAGGAGTTTATTGTGAGACATTCTATCTTCTATCACAAAGAGACTAGCCACTCACTCCTTAAGCCAGACACATACAGTCTTAATACAACTCCTCAGACTAATGCTTGCACATAGAACATAATTCACTTAACTTCATTCACACATATTATTTACTCTTCTATTACACACACGCTTGTGCACACACATTTCCCACTTACTCTGGAGCATTTTCACGCTTTAGTTGTTCTTTTAACAAATTATCATCAAACTCGCTCCAACTGCTATGTCTGATACTATGAGAAAGAACATCTAAGCCTGCCTCAACCGATGACATTAAAGAAACTTTAGAGCACCGCTTCAAGAGCTCTTGCACCACATACTTGGTGAAACCATCACCAGCGCAATTTTCAATCTTTGTAGCTGATGCAATGCTTCGGTGAAGCGATGTATTCTGCAACTTCAACTTGTTGAAGTATGCATTCAGAAAATCATGCTCAGTTTCTGATAGCCCTTCAAGATCCATCTCTACAGTTGCCATCAGCAAAGCTCTGAGATGTGCACCCCTCAACGGTAAGGTATGAATGAGATGGTCTAATACAAAGTGCCGTGCAGTAGTAAGATTAGCAGATGAAAGATGTGCAAGCCCCTGCTTTATCAAATACAAGCATACAACTAAGCTAAGCAGGCTACACTTTAAACTTTGTCATAAGCAAAAACTAGTTAATTCAACAAATTTAGGAGCCAAACCAATAAAATCTACAAAACTATAACCTTAGGAAGAGAAGCAACAGATATCATTTCAGATAGAGCTGCATCAAGCTCCTCCATAGAGCCCCCATAATCATCTGAGCAGCCAAAACTTCCAAGGACCTAACAACACTAAAAAAAAATCTCAACTTACTGAACCCAACTGAAAGAGACATGAAATTCAGAGATACCCTTTCCACTCAAACCAAATATGATTGGGGAAAAGCAGTGAAAGCTGACCTTCTCAAAGAAGAGGCCCCATTGGAAGGCTTTTTTGATGTTGTGGGAGTCCCAGTGGGCAAGGCGACCAGAGGATTGATACCCAGAAAGCAGAAGCAGTATATCTACAAACCCTTTGATCAGATTCAAGAGTTGCTCCAAGGAGATGTGTGGGTGGTTCCAGCCCATCGTCTTCTTCACTAAGCCACTGCCCAAGCTTACGATAGGAAATGTGAAATGGAAAGGCCCTCAAGCGGCGGTGTCTCTTTGGCTTTCTGGTTTTCCCGCCCTCCCCAACCTTTTTCTTTTCATTGGGAGGCTAAAATCAATAATTTTTGCTTTGTATTTTAAATAGTTTTGCTTTTTCCTTTCATTGGGCGCCACGGCTTCTGCTACCCCTCGATGGCGCCAATCAGTGCTTACGACGCCGTTTCAATACAGAAGACAAGGACATTACATTAGCATTGATTTTCATACGACGTGTCGTCTGAAGGTTGAATTCCCAACCACACAGGACGACACATTCATCATCAGTCAGCAGCTGAACTGAAAAAAAACCCAGCATTTTGAGATGTCGTGCACTTCCCTGCTCAGCCCTCCCAACCTCCCATCTCCACCGCCGCTGAAGAAACCCAGCACCGCCAAATTGGCCAAACCCAAACCCATCACCTGCCACGTTAGCACTAAAATGTCCAGCAACCAACCGCCTGACCCAACTTCCCTCCTCTCCTCCGCCGCCAAGCTCTTGTGGGGCCCCTCCCTCCCTCCCGGCCTCCTCATCTCCACCGTCCGCACAGCCTGGAATTCCACGTGGCGCATCATGATGTCCCAGCTCGCCCCCTCCGACCCCACCCTCGCCTACACCAGACCCCCCTCCAAATTCCGCGCCACACCCAATCAAATCCCCCGCCAAGCCCAAACCTCCCTCCACCTCTACGTGGGCCTCCCGTGTCCCTGGGCCCACCGCACCCTCATAGTCCGGGCACTCAAGGGCCTCAACGACGCCGTCCCAGTCTCAATCGCAGCCCCGGGCCAGGACGGCTCGTGGCAATTCAGCAGCACCCTTATCCCCGATCCGAATACCCTCGTTCCCGGCCCGGATAACGCAAACGGGTTTAAAACCCTGAAAGAGGTTTATAAATCGAGAGCAGGAGGGTACGCTGGGCGGTCCACGGTCCCAATGCTTTGGGATGTGAAGAAGAGAGAGGTGGTCTGCAATGAGAGCTACGATATAATCCAATTGTTCAACTCGGGACTCAATGAGTTGGCTCGGAAGCCGGGTTTGGATCTCTCGCCGCCTCCATTAAAGCAAAAGATTGAGACTTGGAATAGCATAATCTACCCAAACGTCAATAATGGGGTTTATAGGTAATTAATTAATAATGAATTAATTATAAATGATTTTAATCAAGAACTGTATATTTACTGGGATTTTCCGTTTTGCAGATGCGGGTTTGCTCAGTCTCAACAAGCATATGATACGGCGGTGAATGAGTTGTTTGATGCGTTGGACATGGTGGAAGATCATTTGGGCAGCTCAAGATTTTTGTGTGGAGATGATCTGACGCTTGCAGACGTTTGTTTGTTCACAACTTTGATTCGGTTTGATCTTGCGTACAATGTGCTGTTCAAATGCACCAAGAAGAAGCTGATTGAATATCCTAACCTTCATGCTTACATGCGTGACATTTACCAGGTACTGCCAATGCCATGGCTTCTTTTCACAGAAGCTAGTTAGTGATTTTCTATTACCGAGTTCTGATGAGACAGCTTGGGTGTTTGTGCAGATTCCGGAGGTTGCTGAAACTTGCAATTTTACTTCAATCATGGAGGGCTACTACAAGACCCTTTTTCCGCTCAACCCAGGAGGCATTCAACCCGTCATGCCCTCTGGGTCTGAGCATGAAATCCTCCGCAGACCTCACAACAGGGATTCACTGTCAGTTAAAGATAAAAGTGCGGCAGCGCTTTACATTTCTTGAGCAATACGGCAGCTCAGTTAAGAACTTCAGATATGCAATGGCATTGAGTTTCTTCATCTGCCTTCACAATCAAGGCCTTTTTCCTTATATTTGTACACTTGGGTGCACCCAAATATGATAATACAAGTAGAATACACATTTCTGGCTACATATTCTATTTATAAAACACACAATATCTAGCCTTACATTGCAGCAACCATATATAGAACTTTAGAGTAATTTTAGCAGTCTAGCCTCTGCCAACATCGAAAGCTGCGGTGTCTGGCTTTTAAATTATCATCGATAGCATTAGACACCAAATTGGCTATACATGTATAAAACCCTGTACAAAATCATCCAACAAGATCTATCCTCAGTTTTACACCTATCCTTGATATTGAACCAAAAGAGAAGGTAGCCACTACCCACTATCCATGAACTGACCCACCGAAGTTCATGCTGCAATTGATGCAGATCTAGATCCTGTTGGATGCAGACATCAAAATGAATGTTAGCATCAGGAGCAACATGTAGTTCGCATTAAAAAATGATTGTCACAGACAAAGGATGTGCAAATTTGGCGTCTTAGGGGACAGAAATGGAAAATACACTTACTATTTGAACGTTTCATGTTCCTGCAAAATTTACTACCACACCGGCACTGGAACACCTTAACAGGATGATCATGGTCGTCAAAGTCAATGCCATAATCCTGCAAACAGATCCCATATTGCACGGCGTAAGAACAGCCACATTATCCATGAAGTCATTTATACATTAACTTATTCAATATCTATATCCAGAACCCTGTCATCGAAATTATACAATAATACCAAGTAAGGCAGTCCAAAATGGAAATTGCTGTACCATATTGTGCTTGAACATTTCTAAAGGATGAAGCTAAATGTTGTCTTCGGGATAAGGGCATGCCATGCCAGCATACCATATTGAGATAAATCGTTCTGGTCAAGGCCTCAAACATCACACACAATTATAATCTACAAATCCTTCCATGTGGCTGTAGGTTCAAAGTAGGTACTCAAGCATCACGTATATTTAACCAAACAATATCAATCAACCTGTCCTCTTTATGCATTCTTATTTCAATAAGCATGAAGCCTTTCACAGAAAATAGATAAACAGGTTTACCAAACGTCAATTTACCATAGTTCGATGAAGCAGAAATGACTCAATTGAACTGGAAAATAGTAATAAAGATCACTTGTAAATATGGAATTATATGTACATATTGCTATAACCTATCTAGCATAGTAAAATCAGAAATAATTTATAGAATTCGCCAGTCTGGTGAAATTCAAAGCTAAAAAGCATCTAACTAAAGTGGAATTAGTGGACAGTGGATTCTATGTTGGCAAAAGAGATCATAGTAAGACTTGGCTGAATAAGTACAAGACTAAAAATAGAAATAAATTTCATATGCATAAGAATTTCAGCATTTTAACAATCCACATGAAGAAAAATAAAAGTTCCACTATGATACATTCAAGTTTTCAGAATGCTGATATTAAAATATCAACATTTCTCCTCATATGGGAGCAGCTATGCTTATTCCATTAAAAACTAATTCTGAAAGGACAAAACAATTAATGCCATATGCATACCACCAACAAATACAATCTAATAAAATAAAATATACTCACCCAATTAAGCTCTTCCAAAGCATCCACTTTTCTTGTTGTGAAGAAAGCAATCTGCACAATAGAACATATAAATGTCTTCAATCACCAACAGAGTTGATAAACTATTACTATGCAAATGAAGGATCAAAGGCTCCATAACTTCACATACATGATAGTAGCAATGATCCGGGGTCTCCACTTCAACTGGGATTTCAACCAAGTTTGCATCCAAACATCTAGTAAGATACGAAACAATATATCAGATATTCTGAAGCCTAACTCAATTTAACACAGTCAGACGTTTCTCCACACCATAGAATGTCATAGAATGAAGCCAACATGAATCAGCTCCTTCTGCTAGCAACCCTAGCTATGACGGGCAACAAGTTCAGGGAACAAATTCTACAGTTCAAGCTCTATTTTAAAGCAAGTTGCCACTTTCCCTAGACACTCAGGCACAAGACCAGTAAAATTTCTTAAGGCGTGCAAGCTTTCCAGCAAGAGCCTAATGGCTCTGCTACTGATACAATGCTAAAGCTCCTGGTGCATAAATTGCAGCCTCTCTCATTTAACTCTGTTAACAAAAGAGTAACATGAAACTGTATTTTAACGCAACAAACTCTCAAATTGCATTGCCAACTGCTAATTCCCTTTTAACTTGGTAAGTTTCCTTTTTGGCATCCTCAGCAAGAGTCAGGTTACTACAATTTGCAACTACATTCTACCATCCTCGGGTATTTTCCTACTATACTATTTCTGATCCTAAGTATAAAAATTCCATGCATATGCGGAAACCAGAAACTTATAATTCCCCAAAATTTACAACTTCTGTTTTTGCATATGCAAAATAGATCCCATAGTTATAAATATCTTAGTAAAAGAAGATTAACACATCATATGAACTGACTATTAAGGACATGATTAACCGAAAGTTAATTTGTCAAGCAAACAAAAAGTTGGCTGTGGGCTAGAGGAAGTGCACTTCAAAAGTTTACCTGTGATTAATAAACCTAGCAACATTTCCATATTTTGTTGCATCCAAACAGAGAGCTTCTTCATTCCTCAAATCCGCTTTCAAACCCCAATTTGCATCCAGGAGCACTGGATAGGGACGTTTCCCACTTCTGGCGCTTTGAATGTTCCTCTCCTGTAACTCTTTGCTGGTTAGCACTTCTCCAACATACTCACACACAAAGGCACCTTTTGGCAGGTCCTCTAAGGTTCGTAGACCCCAACCTTTTCCGTCAGAAGTAAAAAATACCTGGAATACACAGTGCAAATTAAACAGAGAAGCTGTGAGAACAGACAAAAAGTACCATAGAAGAAAACTTTATTGCTTACATTATAACTTCAGACAATATAACTATTAAAATTTAAGCACAAGATTTACATCAACAAGAAAATAAATACACCACTCCGTCAAATAACGACAAACTAAAAATATTTTCACATAAATTCCAACCTGCAACTTGCAATTTAAGCCTCTCTGGACCACTCGATTGCCACATTGTATGACACAGCCACATTTGCTCCAGCATTCTTTGATAAACTTTCTCCTTGAGTGGCCTTTGCATGGTTCTAAACAATCATCATTCTTTACTCTTTCAAGTGGGCAGCTTTTACAATATAAGGGATGATGTTGTTGAGGATTGCGAGTCATAGAGATACACTCTTCCAAGAAATCATCCTTAACAAGGCCTTCTGGGGTGTAAGCAAACTCCCCACCAGTCTGACATGCACAAGCACAACGTGCAGGCACTGATAGGCAATCACCTAAGCAAGTTGAGCAGCAATCCCCATCCCCAATACCAGAAAGACAGAAGTTAACATCAGCGTCTCGGAAAACAAGGCTTCGGGAGATGTAGAAGAAGGATAGTGGACACTCGCTGTTCATTTCATTTGCCCATGGTATTGTGACTCTTTCTGCTCCTTTAGTTATGTCATTTATATCATGATAAGCCCTTAAATCATCAGTCGTCAGATCAGACTGTTGAACAACAACCAGATCACGAGAGTCTTCCAATCCACCTTCCTTATTAACCTCAGAAAAACCATTAGAAGCAGTCCTCCCACAGGCTTCTCTGCATTCACCAAAACCATTCAAAGACAAGGGAAGTCTTGGAACTTGAGGAGCAGTAACCACAGTAGGGTGTTCGATACTAACAGATCCGTTTAAAGAAAATGACTGCATACATAATAGTTCCTTAGTTCCACCCCCAGCATCCCAAGCAGTAGTTTTTCGCAATGCATCAAGATTTGGCGCTACACTAATTGATCCATCCTGTGATTCACTATTGGAATTAGATCCCAATTCCAAAAAGCTCTCACACATATGCGCCAACAGATTCTTTAGAGAAAAGTTTGGGTCAATAATTTTGTATGAGTGCAGACATTTTTCCTCCGTCAATTTTATAACGGCATCTAGATTAGGCATATGAAAATCTGGTCTTCCAATAGCTGAATTACAACTGAAAGAAAGCTTTACCTCTCCTAAGGGTGAAGAGGCAATTTCTAAGTTAGAAGGAGATTCCTCTTCAATGGTTGCAAGCTCAGAGTTTGTATTCCCCTCATTATATGAAGCTTGAATACCATTTGTTGTACTTTCTTTCTCTTGGGATGCCACATGTTCTTGATCATTCTGTTCCACGGTTGCACCATCTTGGAGTATAGGGTTTTCTTCACTTGAGGGATCTGCAGAAGAACAAAACAACAATCATTCTACGAGAAGATTATTGAAGGTAATAATAATATCCAAAAGAATTTTATTCCATAGTATTATGCCTTTGATGCTAATAAATGACGATCTTAGTTATATTCCATTCACAGTTAAAGCAGATTTTTAGGTTCCTGGTTCCAACTATCCATCCACTGGGATATCAATGATAGTATAGTATAAGGCAAACAAAGATGTACCAGGTAGAATGGCTGCAATAGGAACCTCATCTTGTGCCATGTCATCAGTGAAGGGCTCATCTTTAGGCTTCAGTAATTGATGAATGTTAACATTCTGTTTAGGCAAAAGAATGATGCCTGGTTCCGCCACCACCATCTCCTTAAAGCGTACTCCGTGAGGTGCCAAGGGTTTAGACATAACAGGTTGCTTGCCTTTGTTTTTATTACCAATATGGGGTGAAATTGGTTGCTGCAATTCTGCCCTTGACTCAGGTGACCGTGTAATGTCCCGTAGCTGCTGGGGAGAACGAGTACCAAGTAGCTCATCTTTCTCAACTTTTGGTCTTACCGATGAAGTATCACCTAACATAGGGTTGCAGGTATTTGGGAATGGTGAAACCTGACCCTCATGACTTTTTCGCAACCTTTTAAGGGGACGTTCCCGCTGATGAGGCAGCGGCAATTCTTCCTCCATATCACTCTCCAGCTATAGACAATAGGCCAAAAGGCATGTTAACAGATATAGGTAGAAGGGTGAGAATGCAATAAACACAAGCAAGGGAGTCAAGTGTACAGACATCAGCATTTGTAGATTTCTTCTTCTGTGATGAACTCTCATGACCGCTTGAATGTAACCTTTTTGAGGTACGACCAGCTTCATGACGCACCTGAGGTTCTTCCTCCATATCTTCCTCCTGATAAGTAAAAGGCCATAGATATGTCAGAAACTATAGCCAAAAGTGTGAGAAAAAAAAACAAGAAATCAGAGCACCAGAACCAAGGGAATTTAAATTACATACATCATAGTTCTTGCAATTCTTCTTCTCTTCCACAACCTAACAGAAGAAATCAAAATCAAGCAGGCATAAGTAAAGGAGAGGGAGAGAGAGAGAGAGAGAGAGAGAGAGAGAGAGAGAGAGAGAGAGAGAGAAGAAGAAGAAGAAGAAGAAGAAGATATGGAATAAAGAATGCCTGGAAAAAGGAAAAAAATATAAAAGTACACCTCATTTTCCTCCTCATCAAATATAGCATCTATAAGCACTCTATAATTCTCTGCTTCGATCAGCTCCCAGTTTTTGTCAAATAACTTAAAAAGTCTCTTCAACACTGGTTTGACCTGTTTTTCATTAATACCAAGCTCTGCCATTGCTTTAAGGGCTGCCTGAACTTTTGGTTTTTGCGCCATCACTGTCCGCTCACCCCTTATTCTGATTATGAGCTGCCCAATGCCAAACTGTACCTACATATTCCAAAATTTCTCAGAGAAGATGCCCAATAGGATTCTAAAGAAGTAGATATGCGAGTCCATTATAAAATTAAAAGGTTACCACCATCGAAACCTTGTAACTAAAATACAATCAACATAAGAGTATTAGAGCTTGCACTGTCTCACTGAAAAACAATTGGATGTTCCAACATCCTTAACACTGCACAAGCAACAGTTTTTTGGAAAGATCAAAAGGATGGAGAACTGGACTCTCTCTCTCTCTCTCTCTCTCTCTCTCTCTCTCTCTCTCTCTCTCTCTCTCTCTCTCTCTAAACACAGTGGAAGAGAAAGAACTAGAAGCCCCAAATATACATGCATGCAAAACATAGCACTATTATCAACACAAGTCTTACCTCGAAAAACCCTTGGAGCTCGATTCAAGCTATCAAGACCTGAAAATTACCCATAAACAAAAAGAGTGAGAAACTAGAAGAGCCTATTTCGCCTACAATTTTCCCAATAACCAAAACACCGAAAAAGAAAAAGAAAAAATATGAAACAGAAGTTTCAGAAATATACTCTCAAAAAAAATTAACAAAAAAAAATCTTAACCAATGTACGAAGAAATTCGTGGAAATAAAAACCCAGAACACAAAACTTGAAAACATTTCCGGCAAAAAAAAACCAAATAAATTTGAGAAAATTGGAAAAATGAGAGGTCAAAGGATCGAAATTGTTTTCAGAAAACAAAAATTGGAAGTGAGGGTGATGAGCTTACCAGCATTTCGAAGAAATTGAAAGTGCGACAGTGAGAGACTGAGAGTGTTCTTTTCTTTTTGGAGTAAATAGGGTTTTAGAAGAATGGAAATTGGTTTCGTTTTACATATTACTCTGTCTCTTGGGTTGTTCTTTAATCTAGTGAAGTGATTCACTGTGAGAGCCACTTGTCATCAGTTACGGGCGAGTACTTTGTCGTCTGGGATATTTGGTTGACAATTGAAAAACTTGGATTAGTGCTATGCTCTCATGCGCGTGGAGGGTGAAGAATCAAAACCTCACTTTTGTAATTTTTTGGCTCTTTTGTATAATTTTAGATGGTGGACTCGAACAGCTTATCAGTTTGATTAAAAACAAACACAGGATGTATCGAACAGAAGGTTAGCTAATTAAACTGTAATCCATAAAAGGAACTTTAATTTAAGGGGAGTGTTATTCAAGATAATTGTAATTTGCACTCCCGGAAAAAAGCCCGAAAATGTTGACGCATACAAAATCTTTCTCATATTGTCATTTGATTTATGCACAATTGCCTTTTAATCTTAGAAATGATCCTTTGATCCACACTTCTTCAATACATCTCTGATTAAAATGAACATTTACTTTTAGAGAAATTCTATTAATGATAACATTCTGGCAGTGTACCAAGAAGCAAAGTTTAGGCATACAAAATCTATCTCAAATAATTACTTAATTTAAGTGCAATAACCATTTTAATCTTAGAAATTAACTTTTCATCCACGCCCCACTAATAACCATTTTAATCTTAAAATATTTCTTAAGTACGAGTGCTTTATCTCAATCAGATAGTAGATGTTATTCTCTCTTGTTAGTTGCCAGCAACTATTTTGAGCCTCTATTCTAAGTCAAATTTGCTGAAGAAAAAATGGAGGCACGACAATTTTGTTGCTTGCCCAAGGTCCACTTTGAAGACTAAACCCAATCCCCATATTGATATCTTCTTTGAGAAAGGTTCTTTTTTTTTGGGCTGCAACAGCATGCATGGCATGTGACAGCAAAGCGTTACTAATTGCAGTCAAAATGTCCAGCTAAGATTCGGAACCACTGGTCAAAAAGTACTCCAATACCAGGTTTTGCAGCAGAATAAAATCGGTACAAAATTAAAAACTAAGAACAAGGGAAAGGGGTTAGGAAGCACCGAAATTAAAAGGGGTTAGGAAATTTCCCATTGTTGATCCCCTAAAGCTCAGATTTTTCTGATACATATTCTCCATACTTACAAGGAACCGAAGGTCTGAACATGACCAAACGGTTAAGAACATAAAAACACGTTTAAATAGACTTCTTCATTCCAAATAAGTAAACATTATTCGTGAAACTACGGTACCCTTGACGTTTACCGTCAAATTCATTTAGTCAAATAGTGACAAACCAAGATACCCAATACTCTAAGCTTTAATCCTAGTGCTTAATTTTCTTGTTTTGAAAAAAAAAAGTAGTGAGTTTGGAGGAGCATAAATTTTGTGCTGCATGATCAGTAATAAAAGCTCCAAAAACAAAACCGGCCCAAAAAGTCCAAAACCCCACAAGAAACAGCCAGGACTCTTTATAGCAAAACCAAGCTCCCTTATTTTCAACCAAAACCGCTCTCTGGAAAACTCCGAGAGCAACTTCCTCCAAAAGTTACCAAACCCCCTCTAAAACCTTTGACGGTGTGATCAAATCTCCCATCTCAACAAATGGGTTTGCCCACCAAGCTATCTCCTTTCATGTGCTCTGCTCTGCTTTTCTACACAGTCTTCGCTTCCTTTCCCTTTGCCATCACTTCTGCTGATTTCACAAACTTGGTTTACAAGGGCTGTGCAAACCAAAAGTTCCAGGACCCAAGTTCTTCACAAACCCTCAAATCCCTCTTTGATTCTCTGGTCTTACAATCTTCACAAAAGACTTTCTTTTCAACCACTTCTGGTGAAGGCCAAAATGCCATCTCAGGCCTGTATCAATGCAGGGGAGACCTCACCACCTCCCAGTGTAACAGCTGTGTGAAAAAGATCCCAACTTTGGCCAGCAAACTCTGTGGAGAAGTCGTAGCAGCTAGAGTTCAGCTCGGTGGGTGTTACTTGCGCTATGAGATTGCTGGGTTCAAGCAGGTTTCTGGAACAGAGTTTTTGTTCAAGATCTGTAAGTCAGATCAGGCAAGTGGAAGCAGTGGGTTTGAGGAGAAGAGAGACTCGGCTTTTGCTATGGTGGAGAATGGGATGAAGAATGGAACTGGTGGGTTGTTTTATGCTGGGACCTATCAGTCTGTGTATGTTTTGGGGCAGTGTGAAGGTGATTTGGGCACTGGGGATTGTGGGGATTGTGTGAAAAGTGCTGATCAGAAAGCTAAGACTGAGTGTGGTGATTCAATTTCTGGGCAGATATATCTTCAGAAGTGCTATATTAACTACAGCTATTACCCCAATGGTGTTCCAAGCATAACTTCATCATCAGGTAAACTCAGATAGAAGACTGATTTTTTTCAGATGCATTTTTGTTTTGTTTTTATCTACAAGGGTTTACTTTAGGACTTTGTTTTATTGTGCAATTTCTTTTTAATATTTAATACCTAGTTGTCTTTGGCCGGGCACGTCTTGATTTTAGTAGGTGGATTTTAAAGTAATCTTTTTGGTTATATATGATGTGGGTTCTCTTTGATTTATTTATTTCTCTTGGAGATCATAATAAATTGGCATGACGAAGAATGAAAAAGAAAGAGAGAGTCTTAATCAAAAAACAAAAAACAAAAAAAGAGAGAGAGAGACAGTTGTATGGTGATGGACTTTGACACATAAGTTTTCAGGTTTCCATCTGTCATGAGTAATTCTATCACTTACTTTTTCTTCATCTTTCTTTTTTTTTCCTGACATTTACTGGGTAGTTTTTAGTTTCAACTTCAAGACTAAAGATTTGTGTATCAAATAAAAAATCTAACACCTGTGATGTGCTTACTGTGTGTAGGGACTGTAGGGTCTAGGCATCATACACAAAGGACAGTGGCTATTGCAGTGGGAGGATTGGCAGCTTTTGGGTTTTTAGTGGTTTGCTTGATGTTTGTTCGGCAGCTCATGAAGAAACATGGTGGTAAACATGGAGATTACTATTGAAGATTTGAATGTTTCTCAATCAAGACAAGTTAATATTTTGTACAGCTACTATAGTGGAGAGAAGGCCAATGATTTAGTGCAGATTATTGAGGGCATGAGATGGGTTTTGAAGATTGAAATGCGTTTTCAGATGGGTTGTATTGAGATTTAGGGATCAACTTTTGACCTGATCAGAAAGAAAGTTAGCATGCACTTACTCAAATACACACTAAACTTTTGTTGGAGTTTTGTTTTATGTACTTGCCAGATATGGGTCCTCAAGATTATACTTTTTAGCATTTCATTCTCTTCTTTGTTGTTTTTGCATCAATCATTGAGAAAAAGAAGTTTGGCATGGATCATACTTTCTTCCTTTTCTATTTCGGCCCTTTGGATGTTTATGCCCTAATGGCAATTCAAAATTTAAAAAATACAAGTTTGATGGTGATGTGCGAAGCATTTGTTGGTCGGTTTCCTTAACCACACTTATTAGAACACGCTTAGCATAATTAGAGTTGTGCTATTCCAGGCCAATTATTAAAACACGCTTTGCATGATTAGGTTGTGCTATTCCCGGCCGATAATACGTGGAAAAGTTAACTCACGTATCGTTGCGTTATTAACTAGAGATAACAAAAAGTGTTATTTATTTTGTATGAGAGTGTTTCTCCGACTCTTGCTGTTCAAATGTTTACTTGGTTTGGTTCAATTGGTCTCCATTTGATCTTTTTATCTTCCAATCCCTAGTTGCCTATCAAGCAGATTTGGGGTCCATCTAAGAAGTGATAGTGCTACGTGCCCTTTTTCTTTCTTTGCCATTTAGCTTTACCTTACCCATTAATGCTGATGGCTGGCTGGCTGAGCCAATATTGTTGCAAAAGTATTTCTTCGTTATATCATTAGGTTGCAACAATATTTAGGCCTTCCTAACTAAGCAATCAAATGGGTCATAGTTCATTTTTCTTGTCTCTCTCTGTTTGGAATGTAAGAAAATTTGGTAGTTCCGGCATAGAATGACCACTATTTTAAAAATAAAATAATGATGTGAAATATTAAGGGTCCGTTTGATAACTATTTCAATTTTAGTTTTTTATTTTGTGTGCTAAAATATAGAGGAAAAAGAGGGAGAATAGAAGTGAGAATGAGAGTGGAGATGAGAAATTGAGATGGAAGATGAGGGGCGTAGGGGTGGGCACGGTCCGGTTTAAGCAAATTTTTTTTATAAAAATGGCCGGTTCGGTTCTGATCGGTTCTGATTTTGAACTGGATTATTAATTTTAATTTTTTTAAAAAATAAAAATTATAATAAATAAGTTATTTTTTTGGCTTAAAAATTAACAAATGACCCAATTCATGCAATGAGAAATTTTTTGAAGTTGAATTTGAAAAAATATTAATTATAAAATTTAAAATATAGCATTGGATTTTAAAATTTTGTAATTAAAAAAAAAATACAACCAGTCCGGTCGGGTTTGGTGCAGTGTAAAATAGGAACCGAAATTGGTTGGAATCGTTTTGGTCCAATTCCGGTCCGATTTGTTGACTTTTTTGGTCAACCAATTTTTTTTCACTAGTCCGGTTTGGTGTTCCGGTTTTCCGGTCCCGATGCCCCCCCTAAAGGGGGGAGGAGTAATAAAAGTGAAAACAAAAACTAAAAACTGAAATTTTTTTGAAATTATTTTCACTTTCAAGTTGTTGTTTTCACGTATGTTACTCCTCTATTCCATCATCCTCTCTCTCAATCTCATACTCACTTCCATTCTCACTCATGTTTTCCTTTATACTTTAGCACAAAAAATAAAAACTAAAAACTAAAAATGAAATGATTATCAAACGGGCCCTAAAATTTCTATTCAACTAGAGAAAGAAGGTTGGCCATGATGTGATGCACACTTAAAAAACTTCAAGTGAAGTCTTGAATTGTGGCCTAACAATGTTAGCTTTAGAGGTTATGTTAGGTTCAGTTTTCACTTGTAATTACACAAGTGAAAAATGAAAACAGAATTTGGAATGTATTATTTGATTTTCGTATAAAAACACGGTAATCTTTCAACTTTCGTGATAGAGACTAAAAATAAACAAGCTTCAATTGAAATCCACGTGGTTAATAACCCCACTTATTTAATATTTATAAATCTCTTGTTTGAGAGATAGTTCAAACTTCAAAATAAAGCCATTCTTTTCTTTTAGTTTTTTCTTTAATCAAAAGCTTACACCTTTCCAAGTATTATATTATATATTAAGATAACTAATCAAAATAAGACGAAGAGGAAAATTCTACCTTCCTTCAATGTATGGATACACCAAAGGATATGCATCCTTAAAGCATCTCCAACCGATCTCCCTTGGGAGATGTCAAATACCAAACATCAAATTTAAATTAGATGGCTGATGTGGCAATTTGACATCTTACACAGCTTTACACTCCACCCAATATGTCAAATTAAATTATTACTTTATTACATTTTAGTGTTGATTCATTTTTAGTTAAAAAGAAAAGAATAAAATAAAATAAAATATTCATTTGACTTCTTGCTTTTGGGATATCAAAAATAACATCTCAACCTCCAGCCTTCATTCCACATCAGCTTTGACATATTGGTTGGAGTGATGTGAGATGTTATTTTTAGCTGTTAAATGTCTATGTGGCACGTTTGACACATTGGTTGGAGATGCTCTAATTGAGACAAAATAACATGTTCCATTAAAGTACTTCCACCTATGGGTGGCAAAAAGCCACCTGGGCTAGCAAAACCCATCCCACGCCCACTATGTATTTCCAGTCCGGGCAAGAGGCTGAGTCTACCGAGATTGGGCAAGTCCAAAGGCAAGATCGGTCCAAGCTTGAATTTAAAGGTTCCTGAATCTTGATGCGCCCAACTTTTTTTATATTTCGTTAAAGCTTCTTGCAATGGATTGCTTTGCTTCTCTCATCATGTTCATTATTCTATATATCTATGGAATCCCTCAGTCAAATAAAATCAAGACACTTTCTCCCATTCCGATTCAAGACACAACCTATACTGTTAATATTCATTGCTTTTGGGTTCGAGTTTCATTGTGCCGAAAGGTTGTGAGGGTGATAATGTTTGCACGCAAATGCAGAGACCAAAAAAGTAGGTTTGAGGTTGAGGTTTACAGCCTTAGACTGAATGCTTGGAGAAGTAGTAGCGCAGTTCCTCCCGTTTCATATGATGTCCAAGTTTCAACGAGAGACCGATGTCCATTCTTGAATGGAGTTGTTTATTGGATTACAATGGAGCCTAATTCCTCCACTTCATTCTTTATTTTGATTTTGGCAGTGAGGAGTTTAAAAGGATTATGCTACCTCATCAAGTAACCCACAGTACGTAGTTTTCAAACAAACTCTTCTGATTATTCGAGTGTTGGAGAAATCATTTTCGTTCTTCCATCAAATTCGAAGACAAGACGATGAGCAACTGGGTTCTTTTTATGAGGTATGGATTCTTGAAAGGGATGATACTCAGAAATAAAGATTTCTTTGTAGTTCAGATTAACAGCCCCGGATTGGATGCTTGGTGAACAATTACCATTTTGTTTACTACATCGTAGTTATAATCAATCTACTTATCGGCTGGAATTCTCACCCTAGGGAAACGTGATGAGAGATAAAAAGAAGAGTCCACCACAACCTTGACGGGTTTAGTTATTCTGCACCCTAAGGCTCAAGTCTAGAATCTAGAGGAGCTGGTGGTTAGCAGCAGACCATATCCATCAACGTTAACTAGGAGGGTCCTACAACATTTGAACTGTTGAGATCTTAGCAATTGTTTTTCCTACTAGAGACCGATTGTTTTCCCACTGAAAGTTTTGAAACTGGTCTCTAAGCTAACAAAGGCCATTCATCTGAAAATAATTACCATCTATCTCTCTGCTAGGGTTGCTTCATTCCGCAAGTTGGACTATGCCAACATAAGTTCCAGCTCTGTCACACCAATGAGTTCTGCAGTCATAAAACTGTACAGCCAGTAATGCATCCATGCTGTTCTAATAAGCCCTAAATTCGCAATCTTCTATTAAACTTCCACTTCCTATCTCATATTTCACCATATCATCATTCTGACTAGCAAGCCAAGACCTCCTAGAACACGTACACTAGCCAATCACTTCCTATTTCATCCCTCACATATCATCATTCTGTCTGGCAAACCCAAACCAGCTACAACTACACTTACCGATCAAACAAAGGTTTTGAAACTGAAAAATGGAGAGGCCTGTACAAGAATATCTGTCCATATATAGCCACCATACCACCAACTCCGAATGATAAAATCAAGCATGTTGAATTCAATAGGTATAAGGGTCATAATGCATAGCACAAAACCTTTAAAACTGTGAAGGGGTGCATACTGATTGTTTTAAACCTTAATGAACTCCCCACAACCACAATTTTACTATACTGTAAGTACTGACTTCCGAAAGTCAGGGAAGGAGATGATATGAATATGTTTGTGAAAGATACAAAACAATTCACCACGTATTTCCAAACCAAGAAGAAATTGCAATTGTCTGTGCACTACGCTGAACATTCTAATAAAGCGATGACCAATCACCCCAGAAATAGTCACTGATCCAGACAAAACCAAAAGTACTGTGCTACGAAGCTCTCAGAAGTCAAAATAAATAAGGTTCAATTAATAGAAAATATTCAAAACCTGTGTGTGTTGGCCCATCATCTCGACCAAATGAAAGACCCCTCGACCAATTCCAGAGAGGATTTGGTGGCTGGCTGATGAAAGACATTCCCCTCCATGCCATATACTCTTAAAATGCATGGTACAGATCAGAATCAACGTAAAACAAAGTTCTAGCTGCCCAGAAAAGGGTATGGCTTATCTATATTGTACCATGAAACACCCTAGATTTGCAAACTGTGCCAAGGCCAATGAAACACCCCTACATAGAACAAGAGTCTCATGGCACTGAAGAGTCTAAAAGTGCCGCCATAAAATTAGAAGCCACACCTCACCAAGATGCTTGGCATATGAAAGTTTAGACAATCACAACACAAAATCACTGGTTCTTAGGCATAGTGCTCAATAACAACATTTGTTGAAGAAAAATCCCAATATTTGCAAGCATGACAAGTACATTTGTACATGGGAAAATTCTTTTAAAAGCTATGAATTAAACAAAGAGGGCACATACAACAACAAGGGATTATTATGAATAGTAAACATTAAGCCAACCAGCAAAAAATATTTCTAATATCGAAGCAAATTCAGCTCTAAACTTGTTCATGCCCAAATAAGACACACAAATGCACCGTCAGGCATTTCAGTAATTCATTGAACTTCCATTCTCCCAAAAAAAAAACACTAAAACTCTCGAAATTATTGCAATTCCGAATCGAATCTCACTAACCCTAGGAAATTACGCAACCATCACAGAAAGCCCTCCCCAAAAAAGGTTCACCAATCTCAAACCAAAGCGATACAGAATGGTTATGAAAGAGGGGGAAGGTACCGGTGTATCGGACCCGACCTGGCCTGGCCCAACTCACTTAGGAGGCGGGGCTGAGGTGCCGAGGATGTTGGCCTGCTGGAGTTCGAGCTCGTTCAGCTGCTGCTCGCGGTCCATGGCGATGATCAATGGCACAACCAGTATGAGGAACGTGGTCCCGGCGATCCAAGCGGCCTTGCCGGTGCTCTTCATGAGCTTCTTAGTGACGAATGCGGCGTCGTTTGCGGCCTGCTTGCCCCGAACGACGACTTGGGACTGCGAGAACTTCGCGATCACGCCTTCGTCATCCTTCTTAGGGTTTCGCCTTTCCGGGAGGGAGATGCCTCCTTTTCGAGCTTGGGCCGCCATTAGAGAGAGAGAGAGAGAGAGAGAGAGACAGTGGATTGGGGAGTGGATGGATGGACTGCGAGTTTACACTGGGGAAGGAAGGAGGAGGGTTTGGAGGGTGGACTATGTAATGGAAGTCTTACTTCTGCAAAACGGCATGTCATTGGATTTTTATTTTACGACTTGGAATTATAGTTGGCCCATGAGTTCTTTGAGCCTGTCCACAACTTATAATTGGGCTCAACTGGTCTATACCTAAACCCAACTCGGATGCACAAATCACGGTCTAGCCGCGCGGCTATACTATTAAAATATTCGAATATATTTAATGCGTATAGCCGGCCGGCTAGACTCTTTAAATATTAATATATTTCAAACGTACAGTATAGCCGCGCGGCTGTACGATTTAAATATTCTCATATATTTAACGCGTATAGCCGCGCGGCTATACGTTTTAAATATTAATTTATTTCAAACGTATAGCCGTATTAACATATTCGTATATATTTAAAGACTATAGCCGGGCGGCTATACTATTAAAATATTCGAATATATTTAAAGTGTATAGCCGCGCAGCTATACACTTGCTGGACGATTATATTTAACAAGTATAGCCGCACGGCTATAACATTAAAATATTCGAATGTATTTAACTCGTATAGCCGCGCGGCTATACACTTAAAATATTAATATATTTCAACCGTATAGCCGAGCAGCTATACCATTAAAATATTCGAATATATTTAATGAATGTAGCCGAGTGGCTATACGCTTTTTATATCAATACATTTCAACAGTATAGCCGCGCCGAGATACCGTTTAAATTTTAATATATTTCAAACGGCGTATACGATTAAAATATTCGAATATATTTTACTACTATACCCTTTAAATTTTAATATATTTCGAATGTATAGCGGCACGGTTATACTCTTTAAATATGTACGAAGGAAAAAAAAAAGAGGAATTTCAACTCCTATAATAACAGGAGAATGGTTTTTTTTTTTGGACGAAATCTTGTTTCATTTAATAGAAGGTCAAACGCCATATTACATCAAAATGAACTCAAATAATTGAGTTCACACAAAATGCAACGCATACAGACATAGCCCACTATAAATAAAACTAGCAAAATGCATAAGGCATACATAAAGGCATAAAGCCCACATAGAGGCGAAGGGCCCACATAAAGGTATAAAACCCACAAAATGCAAAAGCCCACAAAGCTCAGCACAACATTAGAAAACCCTAACACCATTAACGGACAAATGCCGCACAATCCTACATTAACAAGCCGCGCCACCATAGCTAGCCGACACCCACCAAGGAAATACCAGTGATCAACAGAAAATGGTGGTGGGCAAGCCACCAAAGCTACTCCAAATAGGAGTAGCACTACCATAATCCAGGCAATAAGTGCGATTTGCACTTTAAGGACATCCCAAACTCCAACAGTTCCATCAAGGATAAACAACAGAAGAAACATCCGTGGAGTCAAGGAGCCGATGATAGTGGTTAAGACCAACCGATGTGACGCAGCCTCCAACAATGAGGAGAGAAAATGCATTGCAGATACCTGTAAATAACAACAGAAAATAAAACCGAAGCCTATACGGCCTAAAAGACAAAACAAATTAAACTTAAAAAAAGAGGAACTGGCTCTGCAAAAACAGAGCAGCACCCGTGGAGGGAAAAAATTTGGGTGGGGGGGGGGGGGGGGGAGGGAGAAGAGGGAATGGAGGAGGTAGGGGAGAAAAAAGGGGGTAAAGGAGAAAATCAAAAAAGAAATTAAAAGAAGGAGATGGGAGAAAAGAACAGAAAGCAAAAGTAAAAAAAACAGGAAAAGTGAAGGTAGAAATCTGGAAAAGAGAACAGAGAAGGGAGGAGAGGAAGGGGGACGAAGGAGAGAGGGGGAGAGGGAACCAGGGAAAAAGAGAAGGGGGAGAAGATGGAGAAAAAACCGAAAAACAACCAGAATAAGAACCAAAAAGATGGAGGAGAAAAGGGGGGAAGGGAGGATAGGAGGAAAGGAGGAGCGAGGAGGCAAGGGAGGGGGGGGAGAGGGTCGGTGACCACTTCTCCCCTGGCGGCGCTAGAAGAGAGGGGGGCTAGGGTTCAGGAAGCAGAGAGAGAGACTCGGGAGAGAAAGAAGGGCTCTGCTCTCGAGAGAGTTTGGGTTTGGTTGGTTCAATGGAATACCACAGGAGAATGGTAGATAATGAAGAAGATGAACCAAATTCATGTGTGGATCAATAAGCAAAACAAAGAGATCATTTAACCAACAGTTATTCCCTAACACCCTAAGCATAACCAACTTCAAACAGCAAGCATCCAAATTTTGGAGTATTCCAATATTTAAAGTACGGCTACTTCAACTTCAAACGGCATGTGATTATGCATGGAGATGAGTAAGACTACAAATTATGGTTGACATACCAAACTTCAAACCCATATTCCTCAAACATAGCCCCTAAAATAGTTAAACCTTAATCATTATGATTAAGTAGGAAAAGGGTTTCATCACATATTCTGCCACTCAGTGACCGAAGAATCAATTCTGCTTGCTTGGTTTTCAAGTCAAGATATGAAGAAGGCATCATTCAGTTTATCAGGTATCATGTGCTCATATGAACTTGTGTCGGACTCCAACTCAGGTTACTTGATTGACTGTATGCTTGAAAACCCAACAAAGATTTCTTCAGGCTCTCCATGCCTGTTCTCCAAGGAAACCAACCTTAAAGGGCAAAGCCATTCAAATTTGAAAACAGACAGCAAATTCCAAAAAGTGAGGTTTCTTCCATGCCTACCTTTCTTCTTTTGAGCTTTTTGTCTCTTGATTTCTAAACAAACCTTCTGTTAACCCTCTAATTCTAACATTTTCATATTCTACTTGTGGGCAATCTTTGTTTTTGGCTGTAGAAGCACAAACAACAAAACAACAAAGTGAGTAATTCTGGATCAGAAATATTTTTTTTCTTCAATTTTTTTGGGTTTTCATGAGCTTAGTTTTGTGTGTGATATAATGTAATTTTCTTTTGCTTCTTTTGGATTTTGAAGTGTATCCTAAAGTGAAGGTGAGGCTACAAGAACAAGATGATTATTTTTCCCCACAAAGTCATCACAGGACATTGCAGTTGACAAATGCCTCTGATGAATCTGTCCCTGGTAAAATTTCAAAGTAAGAAACTGTTTCCATCTGACTTAATGTTTGAAATTCTAAATCAAATACATATATATTTTTGCAGGGAAGGAGACTCAAAGCTGTTCTCCCCCATCAATTGCCATAACCAAGAAGGCTTATGTCTCCAAGCTACCGGGACACTCCATTTCTTCATCCAAAGGTTTGATTGAACCTTAACAAAGTTCACCTCAAACATTCAATTAACACTCACATTTATCTGAAAAATTGAACATACTTGTCAAGGACAGCAGAGAACAGCAGAAATCCTGGTAAGGCTACAAAACCAGCTGATGCTAGAGCTTGTTCAATCCTTCGTCCCCGTGCCATCTTATCTAGCCCTGGTAATTTCATTTCTGATTTTCCTTACACCAAAATTTAGTAGCTCATGAGATAACAGAAAGTTTTACATTTTGATTTTTGGTTTTCAGAAAATGATGGGATGATTGGAAGCAGAAACAAGGTGGTTGATAAAAACTCATTGGCTGTCAAAGTGCATAACACAAAAGAAAAAGTGGCAGCTGCCCAAAAGCCCCAGCAACCCAAGATCGTCCAAAGTCAGGTGAAGAAGGCAGCAAGGCCTGTGAACGAACATGACCAAAAGGCTCCAACAAAGCATTGATAAAAAGAATGGGGTTGTGCAGAGTAGAATTCAAAAACCCATGATGGAGAAACAGCAAGCAAGCCTTGGAATGAGGAAACCAAGTTTCACTTCAACTTAATGTTCGACATATCACATTGGATCAATTTGGATGTGCCAAATGATCTGTTTCTTTCATGAATTGAGCTTTCTTAAGGTGTAATGTGTATGAGTTTCAAGAATTTATATATGTTTATCAGTCCCGTTTTCATACGGTCCAAGAGACTTGTTGTCACTCACCCTTTGATCTAATCTAAGGATTGAAAAAAGAGAGTAAAAAATCAATTTTATTTTACTTTTAATACATAAGATATTAATTTAACTTAATAAAAAACTAAAAGTTAACAAAATAAATAATAAAAGTTCACTCAAATAAAAACACATTCAGAGTAGAAAATCATAACCGTGTTCTTCCTTTCAATTCCGGTGTAGCAGATGAAAATCTGCAGACATGTTGTTACTCAAGCCACCCACAGTCAGGTGAATGCAAAGGCATAATCTGATTTTCTTTTTCTTTTTTCGCAGACCTTAATAGTTTTTCTAATTTGTGCTCTTTCACTTTTTCGGTTGCTAGAATTGGTTTCCTTCTCTTTTAGTGGTTAATATGATTTCTCTGAATCTCAGTCTTTCTTTTTTATCTTTTATTTTTATCAAACAATGAATCTTAGTCTTGGCATGTATTTATAAAAAAACCCAAGCACTATTTAAACATAGAAACACATCCAAAATCAACCCCAAAGTCAATTTTTTGGGTGTGTTTATAAATGAGTTTTGAGTGTGTGTAATGATGGGTTTTGGGTGTGTTTATATGTTTAAATAGTGCTTGGGTTTTTTTATAATTTCAACCCCCATTTTGGGTGTTTTAGTGAAACTCCCTATTTAGACATGTATTTATAAAAAAAACCCAAGCACTATTTAAACATAGAAACACACCCAAAATCAACCCCAAAGTCAACTTTTTGGGTGTGTTTATAAATGGGTTTTGAGTGTGTGTAATGATGAGTTTTGGGTGTGTTTATATGTTTAAATAGTGCTTGGGTTTTTTTATAATTTCAACCCTCATTTTGGGTGTTTTAGTGAAACTCCCATATATTTAACGAGTATAGCCGTGCGGCTATAACCTTTAAATATAGACGAAGAGAAAAAAGAGAGGAATTGCAACTCCTATAATAACATGATAATGGTAGATAATGAAGAAGATGAACCAAATTCATATGTGAATCAATACGCAAAACAAAAAGATCACTTAACCAATAGTTCTTCTCTAACACCCTAAACATAACCAAATTCAAAAAACAAGAATTCAAATTTTGGAGGATTCCAATATTTAAAGTACGCAGCACGTGCTTATGCATGGAGATTAGTAAGGCTACAAATTATGGTTGAGACATACCAAACTTTAAACCCATATTCCTCAAGACTATTTTGCTTCCCTCAATATTATACTTTTTAGCTTTTGATTTCATTCTCTTCTTTGTTGTTTTTGCATCAATCATTGAGAAAAACAAGTTTGGCATGGATCTTACTTTCTTCCTATTCTATTTTGGCCCTTTGTTGTTTTTGAACTTAGAATATCTTTGAAATTTCTTTCGTACTTGAACTTCAATTTCTAATACAATCCCATCCAAACAAGTAAAAATGGATGCTAAATCATTATTGTTAAAAAGTCATCTAATCATATGATAAGTTTTCTCCTCCATACTTAATTCCACAATCTCAATTGCAATTATACAGGTGACAATTTTTTGACACGATTAAACAAATAATATGGTAAATTTTCTCCTCCATATTTTTAATCACAGTTTGATATGTGTGTATCGAATTTTGCGTGTGTGTGTATTTTTGATGAATTATTTTTGTATATATGTTAAATGTGATTTTTAAGAAGTAGGAATGCCCTCTTTCAAAGGAGGGAACCATGGAGGCGGTGTACTTATATTTTTGGACTGGGCTATGGCCATTCACAAAATGCCCAAAACGTCTTTATCCACAAAATTAGACGGGCCTGATCAAAGCCGAGGCATCATCATCTGCACAGCCCAAATCCAACATCCAAGAAAAGCTCCACGTCATTTAAAAGAAACGAATAAATTAAGAAAAAGAAAATAAAAAGAGTCACCTGCCCTACGCCTACCACCGCTTCAAGTTTCCTCTGTTCTCTCTCTTCTGCTGTTTCGTTTTACCACCAAAAAGTATTTTCTCAAAGGCTTCAAAATCTCCATCTTCCTCGAAGCTGAGCTGAACTCTATCGAAAACGACGCCGTCTGTGGCCCAGGTACCTCCTCTGCGAGTTCCATTAACCGCCGTTCCCCTTCCTTCTTTGTTGCGCTTTCGAATTAGGGTTTATCCTGCCAAACCCTAGGCTTAATCCTGGTTAGGTTTCTCTTCTTTTTTGATTTGCTGCTAAGCGTGTAGTCTGTGCTTTGCTTCTTTAATTTGACTGTAATTTCTTTAATCTTCAATGAGTTAGTGGCCTTAGTGTAGTATGTAGATTGTATATAAAACACACATAAATTTGGTACAGTTCCTTGTTTTAGGTTCTAGAAAATTATAATTTCGATTATGAAAAAGAGTGGTGCAACATATTATTGTTTATTGGGAAAGGGAGAATTCATATAAATTGTTAAAATTAATCGAGATTACTTGATTTTTTATTTTTATCCTGTCCAATATAAAGTGTAAATTTCAATGCACTGAACCTAAACTTCGTTTCCCCCACCACATTTATATGGATTGGGTTCTTCTTGTTGGGATTGATTAGATTGAAGTCTTGAAAGGGTTATTTGCACACTTGTTCTGTCCAAACTGTTAGTGAGAGATGTATTTAAGTGTGCCACTCTTGCTGTCTCAATTGTTGAAGAGCTTATAAGTTTTTTGTTTATATTCTTGCAGTTTGCACGATACTAGAGCAAAATTTGATCGTCAAGTATGGGGGATAGTGAGACAGTTGTTGCTCAAACATCTGCAGTGATGGGATATACATCAGCAGGATATACCACTACGGGCTACACTGATGCCAACTCAAATATTGCTCCTGATACTGGTGCCTTGCATTCTAAAGAGACCACAGAGTTTTCTACTTCTGCTGCTCCGGCAGATGCATATTCTGCGGATCCCAATTCTCTCATTCAACAATCAGATAGTTACACGACATACGAGACTAAACCATCTGTTGGAGTGACAGATGCTGGTGGGAATGTTGCTGGTAATGAAAATGATGCCATGGAGTCATCTCATGCTGCTAGTTATGATTCTTCTGTGAATGGTGTTGCTGCTTCCGGAACAGGAACTGTTTCATCTGTTGATAATGGAGATGCTACAGATAATGTGGCCGGATCTGTTGATGTTCAACAATTTGGAGATGGTTCTGGTATGCTATTTCTCTCTTCTTCTTTTTTATTTATTTATTTTTATAAATAAAAAAAACCTTTTGTTTAGCCGATTGACACCATTGACCATATGATTTGATCTGTTTGCTATTTTGTTCCTCATAGATTATGCATCTGAAAATCCGGATTCACTTCATTTAACTTTTTACATTTTTTCTTATATTTATTTATTTATTTATTTATTTTGCTCAAGCTATGTCTGCTGAAGAAGATAGACTCTGGAACATTGTGAGAGCTGATTCCTTGGATTTTAATGCCTGGACTGCTTTAATTGAAGAGACAGAGAAAGTTGCAGAGGTATGTTAGCTTGAATTTTGAGTCATTAGATGAAGCATATGGTTGAATGTTCCTGTTTCTCTTTTTCCCCAATGTAAGCACATCAAGAGATGGCAGTGGGATTTTCATGGGTGTTGTAGAATTGTGAACCCAATAGTGCCTTGTGAGAAACTCTCTTTATTCAAGTATGAGTCATCTGAGATTGCAGAATTGTGAACTTAATAGTGCCTTGTATATGTTCTTAGATGTTATGTGAGATCAGTTCTCTTAGTATGCCATGATGTTCCCATGGATTTGCATAAGTGGGTATATGAAAGCAGCTACCTTCGAATACATATGTTACTTTCTTGTTTGTTTTTCTATAGTGACACTAATTGTTATTACCGTAGATCTTGTTGGTTACTGTTTTGTCACCACTTCTTGCTTTCATAATTCATTGTCTATTTGAATTTCATTTGTATATAACACCTAGCACCTCTTTGGAATTAACATTTGCTCAACATTCTTATGCAGGATAACATACTGAAAATTCAAAAAGTTTATGATGCGTTTTTAGCAGAGTTTCCTTTGTGTTATGGTTATTGGAAAAAGTATGCGGATCATGAGGCACGTCTAGGTTCTATGGATAAAGTTGTGGAGGTTTTTGAACGAGCAGTTCAAGGTGTTACCTATTCAGTTGACATCTGGTTGCATTACTGCATATTTTCCATAAGCACATATGGAGATCCAGACACTGTTAGAAGGTAATAGCTGTTCATTTATGCATTCTTATTGTTGGTCTTTGTTTTGGTAGTTTATGACTGCATGCTTTTCTCAGTTGCAAGAAACTGGTGTTCCTGCTTTCTAACGTCATTTCAGTATGATTGCAACAGTGGTTCTTCACATGTATTACGGAAAGGTTTGATGGGAATGCACTTTAGAAATCCTTTTCTGATGTGCAATCCCTTGATTTTGAGGCTGCTGTACTAGTGTAGCTTTTTGTTTCGTTTTGTGTTTATAAGGATCTGATACCATTTTTTGGCCTCAAATATCCATTCAAACTCCCATACCATGAAGACCTGCATCTTAGTAATTTAGTCAATGAATTATGGCTCTATTTAACTTTGACACTCTGAAGTGCATCATTATGCAAATTGCTGCTGAGAAGATCTCGTCCAGTTAAGGGCTTAGATGGCCTCTATCACTGCTCCATTTGACGGACATAGTATGGTTTATTTCAGGAAGGTAAATGCAGCGTTTAGAAGTGTCATATGGTGTTAGAGTGAATTGTGCCGGTGTCTCCCTTTCATGGATGTCTTTAACTCATATGTATTGATACTTGTACTCATCTCATCACAATACTTCCTTTTTTATGGTCTTTCAGGCTTTTTGAGCGAGGATTAGCTTATGTTGGAACAGATTACCTGTCTTTTCCTCTTTGGGATAAGTACATAGAATATGAGTACATGCAGCAGGAGTGGGGCCGCCTTGCCATGATCTATTCACGAATATTAGAGAATCCAAATCAACAACTGGATCGGTATTTCAACAGGTGATGACTCCTAGCAAATTTACATGTTTGTTTATATTTTTAAATCTACACTGGGGTTCTCTTTTGTATTTTTCTTTGTTTTTTATTTTTGGGTTATCATAATTGGGTTTTCCATGCCTAGTATTGCATTGAAAATTATGCCAGAGGTGATTGCCTGTTCTTGTTGATGGTTTCTGAATTGTTTGCTTCATAAATTAGGGGACTGCTTTTACCTGTATATGTGATACATTGCTTCCCTGTACTTTTTATATCATGTACTCATCCATGAATAAGTCTAACATTGTTTGGAGTATATGCATATGCAAAATCCTGAAATTTAGTGAAGAACTTAGGAAAAGATTTCTATCTATTCTACCCTTTGCATTGAACATCACATCCTTTTTGTTTCAATTTTGTTTTGGAGCGTCTGATTCCAAATTTGTTGTCCCAGGATGTATGACCATAGTTAATGTATGCTCCCTGCAATGCGAGTAACCCTAATACTTTAAAGGTGTTCAAATACAAGCCACACGACCTCCACAGGAGCCCTTTTGTATTCTACTTTTCATCAATTTAGGAATGCATGTCATCATTTGTGATTTTTGTAACAGTATACAGGATGCACTACAATTGTATGAGTGCTTTGACATGCATAGTTTTAAATGTCCTTTTATGTGTATAAATATTTATGTGGATAGTGTGACATCCCATGCATAATATTGAAAATGGGTTTGTATTCATGGTGCCAATGGTTTTAACAGCTTTAAGGAGTTAGCGGGAAGTCGGCCACTCTCAGAATTGAGGACTGCTGAAGAAGCTGCAGCTGCAGCAGGTGCACATTCAGAGGGTGGTGACCAAGTAAATGGTGAAGAGGTTGGATCTGATGTTGCAGAACAGTCTCCTAAACCTGTAAGTGGTGGCTTAACAGAGGCAGAGGAGTTGGAGAAGTATATCACCATTAGAGAAGAGATGTATAAGAAAGCTAAAGAGTTCGATTCTAAGATCATTAGTTTTGAAACAGCTATTAGGAGGCCGTACTTTCATGTGCGGCCCCTCAATGTTGCAGAGCTTGAAAATTGGAACAACTACCTAGACTTTATAGAAAGGGAAGGCGACTTTAACAAGGTATTTTCAGTGAGTTTGGTTTCCTTTTTTGATTTTATGGCCCGTAGTTTTTAGCTATCCTGCTTGTTATACAGTAACTCACAGTTAAGTAATATTTGCTGCATCATATGCTTTATTGGCTAAATCGTTGGATGAAGCAACTTTTAAAACGGGAATTTGAACTGAGACTAAAGCATGGGCCTTCGATTTGGTTTCTTCGAGGCTAAGTATTTCAAACCCTCATTTGTCAGTGCACGTTCTAGGTTCATGATGTGTTTGTTAGTAAATTTTATTATTTTTAAAGTTCCAATGTTATGCATGCAGGTATCTTCTTATCTTCCTAACCATCTGTCTGTCAGGCAAGGAGGGTCCCTCCTTTCCTATTTGAGGGGCCTCTCTGTTCTACTAATGGAGTATTTCTTGTGCATATCTCTTTTGTGTTTTGTTTTATCCATTGGTTACTATTGTGGTGTATGAATGCACCTTTTTGTAATTAGGTTTCTGTTTTTGTGAATCAGGTGGTCAAGTTATATGAAAGATGCCTAATTGCTTGCGCTAATTATCCTGAATACTGGATTCGATATGTTCTTTGTATGGAAGCCGTTGGAAGTTTGGATATTGCCAATAATGCTCTTGCTCGTGCAACCCAGGTCTTTGTGAAGGTTGGTCCTTGTAATTTATCTTCTTGTATGCTATCAACTTTGACATCTAGAGCTAAGAGATGAATGAGCTTCTATAACTGTTTATTTTGGAAGTAATGATAATAAAAACCGCGCCTTGCTTTTTTCTCATCTATCTGGAATACATGTAAGTAGTTTGGTTAGTGGAAAAAAAGAAAAAGAAATCTAGTTAAAGGGATGGATTGTGTCGAGAATTGAAGTCCTAAGGTAGTTGAAATTTGGAAGTTGTCTTTGAGATGGTTATGAAGTCCACTGTTGTGCATGAATTCCCCAAGTTTCTTTGTCTAGAACGGAGTTTATATTGACCTGTCACAGTTACAAACATGAGTGTGAACTTATATCTCAAGTGTTGAAAGTGTTGTAGATTATTGGATATTGAACTCTCAAAAGGAGTTCTCTGTTATGTTTGTAACCCTCACCTTTCCTGGATGAGGAACAGGCAATTTCTCCCCCCCCCCCCCCCCCCCCCCCAAACAATATATATTATATACAGATAGATAACAGGGACCTTTTTGTTTCAGATTATCAGCCTTGCACATGGGTTGCACTTGTCTTATATTGAATTTGAGGGTGTATTACCATATGCTGATTTAAGTAGAGTAATGTGCGGAGTTGATATTGCTATATGAACTACATTTTGGAGCTCGCCTCCCTCATGTTATCACTTGATTGAGGAATATTTCTTTTTATCTGGGAATGTCTAATGTATGACTTGTTTGTCTTGAAATGGCAGAGAAAACCAGAGATTCACCTTTTTGCTGGTCGGTTCAAAGAGCAGAGTGGGGATATACCTGGTGCTCAGGCTGCCTATCAACTTGTACATTCTGAAATTTCACCCGGGCTTCTTGAAGCAATTGTTAAGCATGCAAACATGGAACACCGCTTGGTGAGATGATATAAACAAGTTGAACCTCACCAGTTTCCTTACACATGTTGCATGTTTGAACCTGATTGTTTCTTTATTTTTCACAGGGAAATGTGGAAGCTGCCTACTCTTTATACGAACAGGCCATTGCCATTGAAAAAGGAAAAGAGCATTCACAGACATTACCCATGTTGTTTGCTCAGTACTCTCGGTTCACATACCTGGTAGGTTGTTAGTTAATGTCTGTCTTTTTTATGGATTACTGCCGAAATTACTTAACTTAATTCAAGTGAACTAGATGTCCTTTTATGATATGCATCCTTGAATTTTTTGTGCCATTTTAGGATATGCATCTGTGAACTAAATGTTTTCGCATCTCGTTGCTTTTTCTTTTCATTTGTTCCTAGGTATCTTTGAATGCTGAAAAAGCTAGAGAAATTGTAGTTGAAGCTCTTGAGCATGTACAGTTATCAAAACCACTACTTGAGGTTCTCTCTCTCTCTCTGTATAATATATATGTATTCCATTTTCTCTCTTAGAAAATAAACTAATTTCATGTTTTTCTTTAATTCTACTTGCAGGCTCTGATACATTTTGAGTCAATTCAGCCATTGCCAAAGAAAATTGATTATTTAGATTCGTTGGTTGTGAAGTTCATAGAGCCCAGCTCAGAAAACCCCAATTTCGCGAGTGTTACCGACAGAGAAGAGCTATCTAGTATCTATTTGGAGGTATATATATTTTATGTTTTCTTGTAAGATGAATATTCAAAGAGGTGTTTATATATAAAACCGTACTCCTTGAGTTGAGTTACATGATTTTTGACCGGATCCTCTCTCTCATACTCACACATTACACTCTTGAAACTCAAGGGAATATGTAAAGTGCCTGAGAGTTTCTATGTTGGTCAAGCTCGGGAGGTTATATTGACCCTATTTTTTGTTAACTGGAGGAGTCTCTGATGTTTTTGTTCTTTAGGAGTAGTAGACTTCCTCTGGAAGTGGAAAGGTTTGAGGTTTGTTCTGCTTTGTGAGTTTTATTTGGAAGTCTTGTGGTGCTTTATTACTACCTGAGTGCATGCGATGTTCAGCCAGTGATGAAATATCTTAGTTATTTCTTTAATATCTTAATTTCCATTTGTCCTTTGTGCCTTTGAACACAAATTTTCTGTTTCTCTTGGATTTTGGCCTCAAATTCTGATGTGCTTGGAAATGATTTTGCAGTTTATTAATCTCTTTGGAGATGCACAGTCTATAAAGAAGGCCGAGGATCGCCATGCCAAGCTCTTCTTACCTCATAGGAGCAGCATGTCAGAGAAAAAACGTCAAGCTGAGGACTTTTTATCTTCTGACAAAGTAAAGATGGCAAAGTCTTACTCTGGCGTTCCTTCGCCTGCCCAGTCTATCATGGGAGCATACCCAAGTGCACAGAGCCAGTGGCCAGCTGGTTATGGTGTACAGCCGCAAGCTTGGCCACCAGCTACGCAAGCTACACAGGGACAACAGTGGACCCCTGGTTATACTCAACAGGTAGTTTTCTGACGTGATGCATTTAGTAGGGAGAGATGTCTCCAGATAGCAATTTGGCTTCAAAATTGGATTTGGTCCTCATTTCAATTAAATTTTTTTTATTTATCTGATCTGTTTATTCAAATTTTCTTTTAATAGCCATACAATGCATATGGTGGTTATGGAAGTGGCTATGCCAATCCACAAATGCCTGCAACGACGCCACAAACTGCTGCTTATGGTGCTTATCCCTCTACATATCCTGCTCAGGTATACAACACATTATCAATATCTTTTAATTTGTTTTTTGTTTTTTGTTTTTTGTTTTTGTTTTCTTTTGCTTTCCTTTCTTCTTTGTCCCTCCCATATGTTTTCTGAGCTGATAGTTTAATTACAATTTCAGCAGGCCTTCCCTCCACAAAGTTACGCACAGCCAACCGTGGCAGTAGCAGCGGCAGCTACAGCACCAGCTCCGCAACCTGCTGCAGTGCCTCAGGCGTATTATGGGACTTACTACTGAGTTGGCAGGACTAGCCTGCGATATTTTGCCCATGTAATCTAATTTTCTCCTTTTCTTACAGAACCCAATCGACACAAGTTTTTTGTTGGGGGAACATTGGTTTGTAGCTAACAAAGATTTTTGAAGAGACAGGAATTAGTGATCAGTTCTAGTCGTGTATGGCAAATGTATTTTAGATCATTATTTTCGAACATTTTTACGCGTAGAAATTTCTTGATCTTCAACAATGCTATTTATTTGTTGCGTACTGAAAGCCTACAAATTTTCTGATCCATCGTTCCTCCAACTTCAAGGTAGACAAAATGGTTCTAACATGTGGGGTGTCATTTCATTTAAAGAAATTAGAAAAAAGCTAGGAAAGGAATCTTCAAAACCAACAGTCTTTCCTTGTTGAAAGCAAATTTCTGTTTACCTTCTTCTCCTAAGCTTTTTGTGGGCCTGTAAATATCTCTTTGCCTTATTTAGGTAGTGGAAAATCAGACTTGCCCAACTCCTCACGTTATGGGGTGATTGACAGTGACGCTTTGGGAATCAGTTCCTCCATTAACATTCCATCCATGTTCTGTGTTTGGCAATAGCCAATCCAAACACATGACTTGAACCCTAATTGTCAAACTACACCGTACCTCTCCTTCCTACTTGATTGCACTCGTACTCTTTTGAGACTCAAAGGCAGGAAATTAGGATACCATGACCTTTGCCCCACGTTAGCAAATCCGACCAAAAGATCAAGTGGATCATCTCCTCATATGCTCGAGAAATGCTTTTATATTTTCGTTTCGTTGTCCACATCCCTTCCCTCTTTTGATAGGTGATGTAAGGATAGGGACGGAGAAAAACAACAATGAAACAAGGATATGAAAGTTTTTCTCCATATGCTCATCCACAACTACTTTCTCGCGACACAATAAGACTTGATTTTTTTATTATAGACAGTTATTGAACAGTTGAAATGAAATATGCATTAAAAAATCTGAAGTATAATAAAAGGAAAATGCTAGAGAGACCAACTTTAGATACCAACTTGTGTACCATCTCTCTAATAGAGCGTGTGACTCATTATATTAGTAGGTTTCACCTCTATTAAAAAAACAGTACACAAGTTGGTATCTAAAGTTGATCTCTCTAGCATGACCCTAAATAAAAACTTGTGCTACGTGTTTTCATTCGAATATCAGCCGTCCATTTAATAAAATGAAACGCTGAGATTACTTGATATATTGGTTGGACGCCTTTCCCTTGGTTATTTTGTACCTTTACGCAAGCTTTCCTGGGTTTTGATGAGCGGTTGCGATTCGAAGTAATCCAACGGCTGTGATCTTCTGCAGCAAAACCCTTTAAAATTAGCGAATCGGAGTCTCATAAGCCAAAGCCGGAAGCAAGCAAAAGCAGAAAGAAGCAGAGGCAGAACCCTTTGGAGTATACAAAGCCCACTCTCTCTGTGTCTCTCTCGCGCTCTCGAAGCTAAGCTCTGTATCGTTTCCTTGGTTTTGAAGATTTCTTGCCGGTCTGAGCTTCTGGTACTTTCGAACGACAAATCCCAAGGTGCCGTAAAACCTTGGGTTTAGGGTTTGGGATATATAATTGGCTTGTGTGTGGATCTGTGACCGATCGATCAGAGTGTAGACGACAGTGAGTTAGGGTTTCGTAGAGTATAATACGGAAGTATTTCACCGTCGCTGCATGCGTTTGTGTTGAGAGAGGAGGCAATGGCAAGTTCTTATCCTGGAGCTGTTAGTGCTGTTCAGGTCAAGATTCAATTCTTGCAACCTTCAAGTGTATATTTATATTTTTATGAATAGATTTAGGGTTGCGTATGTGTGTAATGTGTGATTTGGGGTTCTTGTAGGTGGGGTCGTACTTTGTGGGGCAGTACTATCAGGTTCTTCAAAAGCAACCAGATGTTGTTCATCAGTTCTACTCAGAAGGAAGTTCCATTATCCATGTCGATGGTGATTCCACAGATTCTGCTTCCAGTATAGTGGTAATTGTTGCCTTTCTTGGTTCAGTTCTTTTTATACAGTTTGATCAATGAAATCGGCATGCGAATCGATATTTTTTATTGTTAATTACTTATTTCTTTGCATTGTGCTTTTAGTTCGAGTAAAAAGCTCTATCCCATTCACCAACCAAGACCAAGAAAGGTCACTTTATATGGATTGAGTTGTTGGAATTGTTATCACCTTAGGAATTTAAGATATTGTGTCTGTGATATAATTACGAGCTCAAGATGAATGTCTTTGATTTAGCCTTACATTGTTTTCAGGGAAGCAAATTTATATGTAATACCTGCCTTTTTTTTAGCTTTATCTTACTTGTGATTTCTATGTTTGTTATATGTTCCTTGTATGTCTTTTCTCTCAATTTTTTTGAGTGTTCATGCATAACCTTTTCCATACAGACAAGCATGTCTGTCATTTGTATTCCTAAGTTGATTTGTTTGAGACCCTTGTGCTGTTTTTTGCGCCCCTGTTAAGTCATTGGTTCATTAGATATCTTTTTCTTCTGCAGCAAATTCATACACACATACTGTCACTACATTTTACTTCAATTGAGGTCAAGACAATCAATTCTATCGATTCTTGGAATGGAGGTATTCTTGTGATGGTTTCTGGTTCTGTTAAAACAAGGGACTCCACTGTAAAGAGGAAATTTGTCCAGACCTTCTTTCTGGCTCCTCAGGACAAAGGTTACTTTGTTCTCAACGATATCTTTCAGTACGTTGAAGATGGAGTTGTTTTACAACATCCTGCACCCATACAGTCAGAAGGCAGATATGATGTGCAACTGAGTGCCTCTAGCCCTCTTCCAGAGCCACCAGGTATTGTGACACTGTACTGATTTCATCTATTAGTTGCTATATTGGAATTTTTTTTTACTTATTGAGCTACTTTTGGCATGGGGTTCCCATGTGTGGACATTTTCTTTATAAATATTAGAGTACTATGCTTTTGAGCATGTAATGATTTTGATAATGATTCTATTTTCTTTTACATTTTCTATTTACCCTTGGTAAGTCAAGATAATATTATTAGACTTGGGTAAGCTCTTTTATGCAGCTGTGTGCTTGTGCTGCTTGAATATTCCTTTTTCTGGCTGTTTATTGTGGAAGGTATGCATGCATGTATCATCCTTATGAATTAGAGAAGTGTTCTCTCTATGCATCATTGCAAAGATCTCAAGGATTAGGTTGTGGGAGATATTTTGGTGTGTATGTATTGGATATAACTCGGTGTTTTTGCAGTTTCTGACTATGTTTTCGAGGAAGAGGCAAGGGAGTACATGAACTCTGTTGATATAGAAGATGATCCAGTTGACAAGTATAGTCTCCCAGAGCAACAGGTGCAGCAAGATTATGAGACTGAAGTTGTGGTGGAGGAAACTCCTGCAGAGGAAACATATGCTTCATTTCAAAGCGTGGTGAACACTGTTCAAGAAACACCTGCTGTTTCTGTGGAGGAACCGGTGGGAGAGCCTGAAAAGAAAACTTATGCTTCTATAGTATGTGCCTAAACCCATGACTCTTGCTACTTCAGCGTGAGAATGTGTTTATTTCCCCGTTTGTGCCTTTGTGTGTGTGTTTTTTTGTGTTTTGGCAGGCATTGGCTTTGACTATATTGCTATTGTGCATCAATCTTATATTCAATTATCTATCTTCTCATATTTTGTTGAGCATGCTTTAATAACTTATGTTTTACTGTTTTGTTGTATATGACTGGAAAATAATAGTTGCGAGTTGCTAAAGGGCCATCTGCACCAGCAATAACTCCACAATCTTATTCCAGAAGTGCTCAAGCTCCTTCAGAATGGAATTACACGCCTCAGCCCACTGTTGAACAATCCAACTCTGCTCTATCGTTTGTGCCTGAGTCTGGGGCAGAAGCAGCAGAGGAAGGTTACGCGCTAGAGGAAGAAGGTGGTTTGTTTTTGAGCCATGTTGTAGTGCTTAATGACCTCAGAAACTAAATTATCCATTGTTACTTTTTTTTACCTTGCTGCTTGTTGCTTCTGGTTATAATGAGGAATATCTGAGAGATTCTTTGCTTTTTATCAGAATTGAACCGATGCAAAGACCATGTCATTAATTTCTATTATGAATTGTATGGCAAAGATTCTCGATATGGTTTTTGAAATAAGAGCATGCATGACTAATTTAGGAATGAAAGTTTAGTTTCTTACGTATGACGTGTTGTAGTTTTATGAATTGGGGATTTAGTGCTGTATGCTTGAGACTTGGTGAAGGTGAAGGTTGGACCATTGAATTTAACTTAGTATAAGCATTTGTAAGTTGAACCTCATTTTAAATAATTGTTCCAGGTGAATTGAAATCCGTCTATGTAAGAAACTTGCCTCCTACGGTTACTGAAGATGAGATCGAGCAGGAGTTTAAGAACTTTGGTCAAATTAAACCTGATGGGGTCTTTGTTAGGGCTCGCAAGGTGAGTTTGTCTCTATACTTAGTGTCACTATATATGAATTTGATAGGAGCTAAAGTAGAAATTGGTGGATGCAGGAAATTGGAGTTTGCTATGCTTTTGTTGAATTTGAAGACCTTGTTGGCGTTCACAATGCACTCAAGGTTTGAATTTTTTTATTATAATTGATGTATTATTTGCTTTCGCTTTTCAATATTATGGATTAAGGCAAGTTTCCTGTTATTTGATGGAAGTACTCTCAGTTTTCATATATGTTTATTGGATCTATTCGGGATCCTTGGGTCTTCTTGAATTTGTCTTTGGCCATTCATTTATTTAGTGGGTTTAAACTTTCCATATCTTGCACTCTTGTCAACATTGGGGATCTATCTGCCTTTGTATATAATTGCTTATATATTGGATTGTGCTTGTTGTTTGTAATTTTATGCTTGCATATGTCTGGGGTTCAGGGCAATTTTTGGGTTGATTGGTTGGAGAGAAATGGTAGAATTTTTTAATGCAATGGATTTCTTGTGGGACATGGTCAGTTATTGGCAATTGCTGTGGACTTTGGTGTCTAGAAAATTTAGAGATACTTCATTGTTTTATAATTAATGTGGATTGGGTGGCTGTTGCATCTTTGGTCAGTTCCCTTTATTAGGAATTTGTATTTCATGTGGTCCTTGGTGTTATTTTACTGTTTAGTTTTGATTGTAGAGGCTTTGTGGTATATGTGATGGATTGCTGGTCCATTGATGCTGTATTTTAATGTTTGGCGCATTTTATTAAACTTTATCAAGCTTCTTGTTAACATTACTCTTATACCGTGCTCTGTAGTCTCTATATATTTTGCATGGCCTGAATGTGTGTTTTTCCCTGTAGGCATCTCCGATTCAGTTGGCTGGAAGGCAAGTCTACATTGAGGAGCGGAGACCAAACAGCACTGGAGCTGCTCGAGGAAGTATGTGCCTAATTTCATTATTCTTTTCATTAACGTCTTTGATGTAGCAAAGTGTTTTCAGATGATGCCTATAGGATTTAATCTTTATAATCTGTGTGTGTGTCTGTTGGAAATACATGTGCAAGTAGATTTATGGGATGTGGGGTGGAGTCTTGGAGATGGCCCTTATGGTTATGTTTTGTCCTTACTGAGGTGATTTTGTGGATATGAATGTGATGGTGTTGGCAGCTGCTACATGGAAGTGGTGCTGCCTTCACAAATCTTAGAATATTTGGCGGTAGAGACGTGCCTTTTCTCAATTTCAGTCTCAATCACTTTTGCTTTGCAATGTTCCTTCTTTTTGTTCTGAGATGTCATTCAGAAGCGCATTAATAGGATTGCATATAATCTACTTACTGCAGTACTTCCATGATGTATTAAGTGCTTTCACTAGTTTCAAGGTTTTCCATGGAACCAAATCATTGTCTTTCATGAGTTCAGTTCAGAAAATGTTTTAGTACATTTATAGGAATGATGCTTAGTGAAGTTAATTGGCATAACCAGCACTTAGAATGTGATATACCGAATTATCAATAGTTTTCAGGTTTCATTACATGTTTCGGGTAGCGAAATATACTACCATTTTATAGTGGAGGTAAAATGTTAATTTGCTGAACTTATGGTCTCCTTACTTGCAGGAGGAAGGGGGAGAGGCAGAGGCAGTTACCAACCTGAAGCCACAAGGGGGCGTTTTGGTGGCCGGAGTTCAGGCAGGGGTAGTTACCAGGACGGTGGAGATTACAGCAGAGCAAGAGGCAATGGTTTCCAACAGCGTGGCACACGATGAGAGGAAGGATTTTAGAAGCACACAGGCAGAAGATCAAGGGAAACATTATCTGTGTTTGAAAGCTTTTCGAGATGCAGAAGATTCCCAGTCTAATATTTTCCTCTAGATGGTTTCATGAAATTGTATTTGTACTTTTCAATGTCACTTACATGAAAGTTTATTTGGACTTAAGTCGACGGTTTATGCTTACAAGTTTTCTCTCCCCTTGGATGGTTTTTATCATGCAATTCAAGCGGGGAATTTTGGGCCTTTCAAGCCCCAAGTTGTGAGGAAATGTGATAAGATGTTTGTTTCAAGTTTTCTATATGAAGCCTTTCAGTTTTTCATGGTTCTCATACGTTTTTTACGTTTAAGTTTTATTCTTATTATTGCTTTAGCCTTCATCACCAGAGAAAGGGGAAAAAGTTGAGACCATTCATCTCAGGAAAAAATGTTTTATACATAGGCCATGAACGTTCTTCATGAAGTTCTGAATCATTGTTTCCTACAAAGATCATGTACTGAAAATTCCTCTTTAAATTCATGACCACAATCGCAAATGTATCACCTATATAGATTTACATCCCATAGTCACCTTCATTACAAAGCTATCAAAATTTTCTTAGGCACTTGCTGAAGTCATAATTCCTTCGTGACGATATGACGGCATGGCACGAAGATCGTTCCCTGCCGCATAAGCTTCATCTTCATCTTCGTCTTCCTCTGTTTCCCAGAGGAAATTAGCATATGCCGCATGGACATGGCTGAAAATCAAGAAGTAAAAAATTATGTCAAACTAAACAGGGCTTTCAAAATCTCAAAACATGTTTGATGTACACAAAAATTTGCGTACCTGTCTTGAGGTGCAGCTTGAACTGCTCGTTCATAGTAGCTCAGGGCTCTATCTTGGTCGTGGTGCAGCTCCCATACTATATTAGCATATTGAGCCAAAACTTCACCATCTTTAGGGTCTGCTAGGATGGCTCGAGAGTAATATTCCTCTGCTCCATGAAGGTCTCCCATGGTCTGAAAACAAACATGCAATTTGCAGCAAAAAAAACAAAAAAAAAAAAAAAAAAAAAAAAAAAAAAAAAAAAAAAAAAAAAGTCAAAAAATAAAAATTAAAGCAGAAGAAGGCTCACCTGATACAAAAATTGAGCATAATTTCCAAGAAACAAAGGGTTGCCTGGATTTTCCTCAACCAGCTTCTTGTAATGCCCCTCAGCCCCATGGTTGTCTCCTCCATCATCACCAGATCCTTCCCAATTAACCTCTCCTCTACCGCGGCTACCCCCGCCGCCGCCGCCTCCACCAATCCCAAGCCCCTTTGCAAGATGCATTTCTCGACTCACAAGCTCTCTTTTCTCTTCAAAACCTGCACTCCATATTTTGTCCAAAAATTTCACATCCTGAGTTAAGCTCATGTTCTTCACCTTCTCCTCTAAACCAACATTTTCACCTTCCATAGCCACAACTCTCTCCACATTCTCCTCGAACTCTTCTTCCTCATCCTCATATTCTATATCACTATCTTCTTCAACATCTGAGTTATGAAGTGAAAAAGATGGGATAGTTTGCAGCATCGTGCACTTGAATCTTCCAGGAAAAATCTTGGGCGGTTTTAAGTCACAGACATGATCTTCATTTTGGTCACAAGAAGCATAGGCCAGTAGTCCTTCCAGGTTCCCATCAGACTGAGCCCTTCGAAATCCGTAGGACGAAAACCGGTCAGAATCAACTGAGGGAGAGATCGGTGAGGAATTGTGTGAGATGTTGAGAGCCCCAGTTTGGTGGAATGAGAATTTGGAGGGAGTATGGTGGATGGTGGTTGGTTTGGTGGGCTCAGAGTGATGGTTGCTAATGATATTGGGACTGTCTGCTGAGAATGATGAAAGGAGAGATCCAATAACTGGTGTTGATGCGCTCCTCAGCAACATGATTGATATTCTTTGAAAGAAAGCTTTTTTTGCTAATTTTCCCTGTTCTGCACTGTAGATGAAAATTCTCTGCAAAATGACAACATAATATATATGAGTTACTGGAGTTGCATTATGAAGTTGCAAAATGGCAAATAAATTAACCCTTTTTTCTTCAATTATGCAGTTGCAGACACAAGAAAGAAAATGTTTATAAAGGCAAAAAAAAAAAAAAAAAAAAAAAAAATAAAATGAGAAAATGAAAGGAGGAAGGAGGAGAAGGAAAGAAGCATACCAACTTTCTGGGGTTCCAACCAATGCTGTAAATGACAAAGAAGAATTAATTATTGAGTCTTCTGCAACAGTGCTGCTGATATATAAGGGGGCGGCTAGAAAGGTGTTTCATATTGAGTTGTGATTTTCCCTTTTCTTGTAAATGGAAATTATGATATTATTTGAATGGCTGAGAAGGCTCGGATTTAACTTGGTGCAAAATATCAACTTGTCTTTTTTAGTTAGTTGGAAAATGGGAAAGCTCACTGGAACCTCATGAAGCTGAAAGCTCTGTCCTGCATCACATGCTCCGTTCGATGCTCTTACCCAACCCTTCTGAAAAGTCACAAGATTCTGACACTTGGACCCAACAACCAGTGATATCTGTGTACAACTGTTCGATCGTCGTTGACATGTATTCTGACATTTTGTAGAATTTTTTATATTAAAGCAAGCGATATTCTACTATAAATTATGAAAAGGGAGATTCGAACTCAGTGCAATCTGTTCTAGTTAATTTGACTAAGTTTACGTCTACAACATTTTATGGAATTAACTAATACTTTCCGCACACTTTGTTTCTACACCACAAGAAAATTCATCTTTATTATTCATCTTTTCTTTTTCCTTGAAAGTCTTACAAGCACCAGAAGGGTCAAAATCGATACACCTTATGACAATTGTGGTTATTTGATGAGGAAAGTAATCTCTTCATTGTGTGGAGCAAATAATTTGCTTCTTTAAAAGGTGGTTAAAATATAATATATATATTTTTTGTCTATTAGTATGATATAGAGAGTAGTACGGAAAGAAAAATCAGACAAAATTTGAAGGAAATGACATGATATTGCCATTGGCGTGTTGTCTGCCATGAGAAAGATGCACAAAGTAAAATTTAGGAGACCAAACGACCGCCCGTGTTGAATTAATGAAATACAACTACTTTACAGCCGTACACGTAGCAGAAACTGAGAATTATGAATTCTCCAGTTGACCACAAAAAAAAAAGACTGAAAATTATGATTGGACCGACACGACGTCATGTGTTGTGTCGTGTCCTACAATATGCACCAGTGCACCATAAGCTTCACAACACAAGCCCACATGGGAAGAAAGTTCATTTGAGGCATGTAGTTTCTTTTTTGCAAGGAATTGCGTTAGTAGTTGTAGTTATTTATGCGGTCGAGATTCTGTGTTCAAATCCTCTTTCTCGGCGAAAAAAACATTGACCCTTTCATCTTTTCATCTTTTACATTTCATTTCAGCATCGTAAATTTTGAGAGCGATCGTAATATGATGACATATTGGAAGTGTTGAAAAAACACTACCTATTGTTATCTAGTTGAGTGGAGTTCCCTCATTCCTGGAGACTTTATATTGGTTTCTCTTTATTTCAATGAAGCATCTCTTTGACTAAGAAAAAAAATGAACGCTTGTTTTCCTCTCAAATTACAATTTACTGTTTACTACTAAAGAATATTCAGACTATCACGGTCAATCCCCCTTGTTTTTCTTCTCAAATACGACCAAAGTGGCCTACCATCCTCATTGGTTGCATTGGCTTTATTACAAGCAACTTTCCCATAAATAAAGGTGAACTCTTCTTAAGAAAAGCTTCATTCTTTGAATTTCCAAATTTTATAGTTTTCATGTTTTGATTAAATTCGTCGGGATTCTCTTTGTTATATTTTTTTATACATTAAAAAAAAAGGAGAAAATGAAAAATCCCTTATCTGCTTAGCAGTATTGCACCATGAACACAAATTTTTAATTAAATATCATGTCGTCTTTTGCATTCAAATCAAATCATCATCTTTCATTATCGAGCGATAAAGTTGTGCACTGTGGGAGAGGGCCCAAAAGAATGACTCTTCTTTGTCACAGAATTTTGAAATATCTGTACTTAAAGGTGGTGTCAATCCATAAACTAATTTGAGAACCGTGTGTTACGTTTGCGATCATAGAATCAGAGGCGGACCCTCGTCCTGTTTATGTGAGAGCGAGAAAGAGGCAGAGAGAGTTTCGGTTTCGGGGAAACGATGTTCGGGTGCAAGTGCTTCTATTGGAAGAAACTCACCGATTTATTCCCACCAGAGCCTGAACCCTTCTCTCTGCCTGATCCCATTCCTCAGTGGCCTCCAGGTATGAAAGTTTTAGTGCAAAGCTTTGATCTTTGTTGGATTGTTCGTTTTGTTTGGTAATTTAAAATGTGTGTTTCTATTACTATTTGGATTGTTCATGGATTTTGGGCAGTATGGTTTGCGGATTGTGCTGAAGACAATCAATTGCGGTTGTGATAGTTTGCTTTTTTTGGTTAATGGATGTTTCTGGTTGTTGAATGGATCATGAATTATAGCCGTTCTCTTTTTAGATAAATTGTAACTATGTTATAAACAAAACTATTTTCTTTTTCCATTTGTACAGAAAAAAAAAAGTTACTTGTTTTGCACAAACCAATCAGTGCTTGCTTTATATGGGAATTACTGATTTATATGGTTAGTTTGATTTCCTCATACAAAGTACCCGGACTTATCAGAATTTAGTATATTCTGGGAATCATGAAGCTCCAATGGCCGTTTGAATTTGAGCTTGGCTGCTAATATGAAAATTACAATCTATGCAAGCCCAATATTTTCTGTTTGTATATGTTATTTTGTATCTTCTGGTAAGTTTGTCCTCTCGGCAGGCTACTCTATGGTTGACCATGCTCATATAACATGTCAAAATTCACAATACCATGGTTCAGTCATAAGTGCGTTTAGTCTACTGTGTTGCTTGATGACTCAGTTTTTCATGGGTAGTGTAGAATTTTGTGTGCAAAGAGCCTCTCCATTGATCATATGCTTTAGACTGGGGATAAGTTGTATTGTACCACATATGATGCATGACATCAAAAGAATGCACCTTTTGGTTGGGATGGTTTAACTTCATATTGGTTGTTTGGTTATTTCTCTTTATAGTTTCTCATACAAATCTTAGTCATATTACTAGAATATATTCCTTTTCTCCTTTGTGTCCCGCTTAAAGCTTATTTCCCCCAATAAATGGTCTTTTATGCCCTTAATAGCTAGGTTCAGTTTGCTGAGGCTTGTAGAAGGGTAGGAACTATGAAATATTCCTTTAGTTCTGATGTTTTATTTTTCTGAGTACAGAATTGCTTACTTAAAGCTCCAACAGTTGGGGCCGTGTATCTGTTCTTGCTTTACTTGAATAATAGAATATGAGATAGAGATATGCTTGTCAGTTTTGTGCCTCAAAATATTTTGAACTTCATTTTATGTGTGGATGTTTTTTTTCTTCTTTTGAGTGCTTAGTGTGCTTGCTGTTGTTTATTGTGAGATTTCTAGATTATGGTGTATCTCTTTTTTTTTTGTTTTGTTGGAATTAGCTTGTTGTATATAGCTTGTTTCTTTTGGGGTTCAGTTTCCATATATACTCTCCAAGTTATGATGGGGTGATATCTGTATACTGCTTACCATCTCCTTTCCGCCCTTTTCAATATTTTTCCCTATTTTGAAAGCCATTCTTACATATTATTTAGCTATCTTCGTTATTGGGATTAATTATGAAGAGGTTCTGAAATTCTTTCAATCTTTTTGTAGTTTCATATTCACATATGTTGCAGCTGAATTTTGATTAACATGCAAAATTTTGGAGGTTGTGCAAATACAGAAACAATATCTTTAAGCATCCCTGAGTATTAACTCTACGCAAAAAAGTAAAAACTTAATAAAGTCAATGAGAAAACTGAGTGTTTGGGCATTCATAGTAGAGAATGATGAAAAGTGTTCAACAGAATTCCTGAACCTAGAGTTTAAAATTGAGTCTTGTGATTCCAGTTATTTATTTGAATGACATATTGGACTACTTTTCTTAGTGATTTTAGCATGTATTTTCCTCCTCAGGTGAAGGTTTTGCTTCTGGAAAAGTAAGTCTTGGAGAAATAGAGGTTTTTAAAATCAACAGATTTGAGTTCATCTGGACCTGCTCTCTGCCAGAGGACAAGAAAAAATGTGTTACATTTTATAAACCAGCGGGAATACCTGATGGATTCCATAGCATTGGCCACTATTGCCAATCTAATGATAAGCCTTTACACGGTTTTGTTCTTGTGGTTAGAGAGGCCGATATGCCAGAAACAGCCGATGTTTTGGAGCGCGTCAAGTCCCCGGCTCTCAGCAAACCACTTGATTACACATTAGTATGGAGTCCTGACGAAGGAAATGAGGAAATTTATGCTGCATCTGGCTACTTTTGGCTACCTCAGCCACCTGAAGGTTACAAAGCAATGGGATTTTTAGTGACTAACAAGCCTGACAAACCTGGGCTGGATGAAGTGAGGTGTGTTCGAGCTGATTTAACTGACAGATGTGAAACTTACACACTCATTCTTAATGCCATTACAACATCTCTAAATCTTCCTTTTCAAGTTTGGACTACGAGACCACATCATCGGGGAATGATGGGGAAGGGGGTTTCTGTAGGTACATTTTTCTGCAGTAACGACTTGGGCATTGTAAAGGATCTACACATTAGATGCTTGAAGAATCTGAATCCTAAGCTATCTGGAATGCCAAATCTTGATCAAATTCATTCACTTATCAATCATTATGGACCCACCGTTTTCTTTCATCCAGAAGAGGTCTACTTGCCATCTTCTGTTTCATGGTTTTTCAAAAGTGGAGCATTATTGTACAAATCTGGCACATCTGTTGGTGAGGCTATTGATGGTAGCGGCTCAAACTTGCCAAGTGGGGGAACGAATGATGGCCAGTTTTGGATTGACTTGCCGAATGATGATCTAAGAGAAATTATAAAACATGGAAACTTGGAAAGTGCAAAACTTTATGTTCATGTGAAACCAGCTCTTGGTGGGATTTTTTCTGACATTGCAATGTGGGTGTTTTGCCCCTTCAATGGACCAGCCACTATCAAAGTTGGACCTCTGGACATCCCTCTTAGCAAGATCGGACAGCATGTGGGTGACTGGGAGCATTTCACACTCCGCATCTGCAACTTTTCAGGAGAGCTTTGGAGTATATACTTCTCACAGCACAGCGGTGGCAAATGGGTAGATGCATATGATTTGGAGTACATAGAAGGGAATAGAGCTATTGTCTACTCATCGAAAAGTGGACATGCGAGCTACCCTCATCCCGGGACTTACCTTCAGGGGTCAGACAAGCTTGGAGTTGGAATAAGGAACGATGCTGCTTGTAGTAATCTATCTGTGGATTCGAGTGTCCATTACGAACTTGTTTCAGCAGAGTATCTTGGAGACGGGGTAATTACTGAGCCATGTTGGCTGAATTTTATGAGAGAATGGGGTCCAACAATTGTGTACAATTCAAGAACTGAGCTTGATAAAGTTATCAGTCTTTTGCCTGTGATGTTTAAATATTCAGTGGAGAACATTTTCAGTAAGTTTCCAGTTGAGCTTTATGGGGAGGAAGGTCCCACTGGACCAAAGGAGAAGAACAATTGGGTGGGAGATGAAAGAAGTTGAGTTTGCTTGGTTAGTGCAGAAACCCACTTGAAGAATCACTGTTTCTTTCACCCTGCACGTGTTATATTGATATACAGATTAGTGAGCCATTAGATTTGAAGGCCAGCCTTGTTGTAAGCTGTAACTCTATGTATACTTGACATTCTTGTGTGTATATATATAATTTAAAAGATAGTTTGAGTAAGGCATCTAATGGTGCTATTGCTTTTGGTCCCAAAGAAAGCAAAAATTTCTAATCCCTACCCTGTATTAGGGTAAATTATAACCAAACATGCCTAAAGTTAAACGCTATAATGAGATACAAACTAAAATGTAGAAGCATTAGTGAAATTTACCAAGAACAAAAACTTGGTTTATCATATTAATTCCTTTGTAATTGGGTCATGGGGCAGGCAGCCCTCGTTATCGAGACGATGGGGATGGCTCAGTCAGAGGGGTGGAGTAGGCTGATAGGGGTCACCACTACTCGTCCTATTTCCAGTTCGATGAACCAAGTGGAGTAAAGAACAAACAGAACTGATATGGTTGATGCATCAAATGCACTGTTAGTAGTAATCCTTTCCCTCGACAAGGCAGGCTAAGCTAAGGATTCAGCAGGCAAGAACTTTTTATAATTCATTTGTAAAGTGATTAAGAGCAGTTACTCTTACACCCGAAGTTCTCTATCAAATATACTCAATAAATTGTAATTGGGTCGTGAAATTTACCCAAGCAAATACGGACCATGGGCCTTTTGACAAAATGGACCTCGACTCCAGATACGCACTCTTTGCTTTGAGAAGGACAAAACAGTCCAGTCGGTCACGGTGGGTTCGTGAAAATTGGAAGCGAAGGGCACCAGAAGTACTACGAGAACACAGCATATACGAGAGAAGACTCAGAGTGAGAGAGAAATGCTGGCGAGGAGGTTGGTTTCGTTGTTCAACAAGAGCTCCTCAGCATCACAGTTTTCCAGGTTCAAATTTATACTGTTTTTGTTCAAAACCCCTGATTTCTGATCAAATTCTAATTCCCATTTGAATAGCAGCTGTTACAGCAATGGCAGCTTTTTTTCTTTCAACAACAATTATTATGGGCTAAACCCATTTCGTAGTTTTGTAGCTTTGAGATCATATATATGTGACTTATTGCTGCAGTTCGGCAAAGACTGTGGATGAAGGGAAGAGCTCGTTTGGTCGTAAAGCAGTGTCTTTTCTTCTGATTACTACTACGGGAGGTGTAGCTTTGAGCGCTCTTAATGATCTTGTTATTTATCAGAGCTGCAGCAGGTATTTTTAAGATTATCTGGGACTTTTTTCTCATGTCTTAAACAATATGATAGATCTGTTTGCCTGCTCAAATAGGGAACTTGGGATGGTTGCATTGGGTATTTCAAATAACAATATGTATTTTTGTATGTGATTGGTTTGCTTAATGTTATGAAGTCTTGTCTTGTGTGTGTGTGTGTCTGCTATTCTAGCTTAAATCTAAACTCATTTGATTGAAAAATGTGGTTTTCATTTCTTGTGTTTGAAAATAGTTTGGACCAGTTATATGACTGGCTTTACTAATTAGATCGAACTGTGCAATCGACAACTTGGTAATGTGCAAAGAATTTGAGCATTCTTGTAATGTAGTTCATGAGAAGTTTTTCGCATAAGCTTTAAAGAAACCATAGAAATTACGAGTTAATATTGTAACTAGCCAAATTTTGTTTATGACTTCATCTTATCTGGAATAAATGTCTTACGTGTCAGCATCTTTCTTGTTTGATGTGTGCTTTGTTTCCTCTACATACACCAATCATGACACAATGTTCCCACTTGAAGTTGGAAGTTTAGGGCAGTTCTACTTATAGACTGTTGATTCATTGGTAGAGGTCTGTGGGAAGAATGAGAAATTTTTCTTGGAAGGGGGAAGGGGTTATATAGAGGTTGAGGAACAGCCTTAAACCATTTCACTGTCCTATATGTATACTTAAGTTATGGCTTCATGTTTAATCCTTTCCTGAAAATTTTGCAGCAAGGCCATGGAGAAAGCCAGTAAGAACCCGGCAATCATAGAAGCTATAGGGGAACCTATTGTGAAGGGCCCATGGTACAATGCATCGCTTGCAGTAGCTCATAAGCGGCATTCTGTATCTTGCACATTTCCTGTTTCCGGACCACGAGGTGGGGGAGTCTTGGAGGTGAAGGCTGTACGTAATGGAGGTTCGTATTGATTTACCTACACGCAAACAGATCATCGCATGTCCACAGACACAAGCACATACACTTAAAGACATACATTGTGCACATGTGCTCAAGCACACTCCTGTATTTCTTATTTTGGTATTAGGATTCTTCTTCATGCACTTCCATGTGTGTGCTACTTGATTTTACATCTAAAACCATAACAGCTGTACATGATTTTACATCCAATCCCAGATAATTGATAGGCATCCTTTGTTGCTCTGTACTTATTCTCCTTGTCAATGCTGGGCCCTTTACAAATTATCTTGTGCGAATACTAACTATACTATTTCGTGTTTGATTCTGGATTTCAACTACATAGTACATATCACTTGTGTTTTGATACCGATTTCTCTTTCGCAGATGACACCTGGCTTTCATATCTCATACCTCGTGATTGGGACATCCTAATCATGGATGCCCTTGTTTATGTTCCTGAAAATGAAGTGAAGCAGCAAACAATGCGGATCGGTATATCTGACACCCCTGCTCCAGCTTGCACAGCATGCACCGATTGTAGCACTCAAGAATCAGTGAATCCAGAGAAGAAATAAAGTAATAAACACATCAGTAAGCAAGAGTATTTGCCCATATAAATTCTCCTTTTCACATAAACCTTCGTACAGAGTGGTACAATAGTAGAAGCTTTTCACACTGAATTACACTTGAGCAGAGTATTTTGCCTAGTAGAAGAAGATAAGAGAGCTTTGGTTGTAGTTATACATTGCAGCCCATCTCAGTTTTTTCTTGAGGAAGCTTTGGGTTTTTAATCTTGGGCCGGGTTTGAGAAAGTTGAGTTGGGATGGACTGACCAAACATAGTTCCCTAGAATGTTTTATTTATTTATTTATTTAATAAGTGATTTGGTGAAATGAAAATAAAGTTTTCAGAAGCCATTCTATAATTTCCCAAGAAAAATGTAGGGCCTAGAAGGTTTAGGTCCAACGCTAAATATTAACTTGAAGTAAAATACAAACGAAGGATATGGGATGGTCCGTCCATCCATGATGAGACAAATCTTAAAGTCAAAAAAGTTGTGTCTTGATTTGTCCCATTTGGACATGGACAAGATTGTGAAACTTCATCATTTTTAATTGCTTAATTTAATTGTCTTGTATATGGTGTCTTCTAATTATAATTAATTCCTTCAAAATATCTTCTATGGTAACCTAATGACGCGTTATTAACATTTTCTGTCAGATAGAATGCATAATGACTATTTTAGAGTGCTAATTAATAACGGTTCCGTCGACAATAATAAAAGTAACTAATCTGAAAACCTTATCATCATTTAGCTTATCTTAACCTAATGCAATTGATTAGTGGAGATGTGGCTTGAACTAAAGAAGATACCATTATTCAACTTTAGTTGGCAAAATTCCACATCATTTGATTGTTCCCTCTAAAATTAAAGACTTCCAAATGAGGTGTCACCATCTCACAGTGAATGAGTGTGGGGGAGCATGGAACTGTATGATGATGCGGGCATATGATATTTTTCTCCATTCCTTGGGCCCACTTATATACATGAGCCGATCCACCGTCGACGGACTTTGTCCCCCAGTACGACGCCGTCAAAGGCCGAGCTCAGGCTAGGCCAGAGTGCTCCACGTGGCAAACGGACTTAAAAACGTTTCACAAATTCCCGGACCTAAAAGCTTGGCCAATCGTGTCCCTTTCCATCGTCCGTTGAGCTGTCCACATTAAATCCGATGTTTCCCTGTTCCCCACGTGTCACAAGATACGTGTTCACCAAGCGAGGGCCCCACGCGGTCCTAACTCCGACGTGTTGATACCTGTGCTTTGTGGACCCACGTTGTCGGCTTGTCGTTTGGAGCGTATGGGTTGCGGCGGGTCCCATCTTCTGTTTTCGTTTCTATTTGAAAAACACGAGAAAATCTCGTTTCCCGTTTTTCAGTTGCTTTCATGGTTTATAAACTCTCTTATATGGACAAAAAAATTACAGAAGCTTGAAGGTTGTTGCCTTCTAGTTTTATGAATGTAGTACTATTTACAGCCGGGTTAGGCCAGTTGATTATAGTAGTGAGTCTTCTGTTTTAAATCGAGGTACAAATAATTTAATACTTCGGTTGTCTTAATTTAAAAAAAAATTGTTTTCCATTCAAAAGTTCTCATTAATACTAGATTAAATTCCTTTTTTCAGAAGATCGATTGTATCAGAAAAAAAGAAAAACAAAAAACCCTTCTCCATTTATATATATATATATATTAGATAAATGAGAGCAGAGAGTAAGTAATAAGTTTGGTGTCGTCAGACGAGAACGATAAATTGAGGTAGTCTAGAAGCAAGCAAAGATATTGATGGATGCGCATAAAGCAGACAGTAGACAGAGGTGGGTCCCGCCGGCAATGAGTATGGGTAGACCCCATCCTCTTTCGTTTTAACACCACCCACACCAAACCAAGGCAAAGCAAACACCAACCTTTTGCCCTTCTTTCTCTTTCCCAAAACCGACCAAACAGAGCATAAAGCTTTCATTTTTTGTTCTACAAATTGTGCACAAAAATTTGCAGAAACGGCCGACAAAGCGTTTGATTTTTGTGTAAATTTGCGCAAAGGATCACTGCCCAAGCAAAACCCACTTCTTCCTTTTGTTCCTTTTCCATCTCAATCACTTGCTGTAATTGAAAATTCCTCTCCAATTTGAGCCTCTCTTGAATCCAGCCCTTGTCTGCTCTTTTATACAAAGGCACAAGCATATAAGTAACTTCTGGGTTCTGAGCCTCTGAGCTTTGTGATTGAATTTGAGTCAGAAGGTGAAAGATTTCAATGGAGGGTGTTTTGGGTAGTGGTGGTGGAGGTGGAGGTTCAGCTGGTGGGTCTTTGATTATGTCAACGCTGTCTAAAGAAGACAACTTGGCCATGTCTTCTGAGGACTCTTCTAGCCCAGATGAGTCTGAGCTTGAGCTCTGTCTTGGGTTGAGCCTTGGTGGAGGTGGTGGTGGTTGTTTAGGGAAGGCCCAACAAGGCCCAAGGGGTCAATATGCTAGGATCTTGACTGCTAAAGATTTTCCTTCTGTGCGTTCATCTTTGTCTTCATCATCAGCTTCTTCGTCCTCCTCATCTTCTTCTTCATTGAGCAGTGCTAATGTCACAGCTGGGACCAAGAGAAGTGCTGATTCTGTGGCAGCTGCTAATGGTGCCAGGTAAGACTTGACTCGAAAAAAAGAGAGGTTTTTTTGGGCTTTTTGTTTTAAAGTTTCATTCATTCATTGATGTTCTAGTTTTAGGTACTCTAGGCTTTCTCCTTCTCTTATTGCACACAATAAATTATTGTAAGCATTATAGCTTGCCAAACGTGGTTCTGTTCCATGTTAACCTTTATTTGATTTTATGACATACTTTCTATTTTTGGCAGATGTTGTTAGATTTAAGAACCTAGCATCCTGACAAGGAATCCCCATTATCCTTTAACTTCATAATTAGTATTCCACATTGGCAGTTGGTCTGGAGGCAAATAATCTCTGCTTGCTTAGCACAATGCTAAATATCCTTGATGGAAGCATTGGTTTACATCTTGGAGTTATAATACTCGTGTATATCGGAACAACACTATGGTTCTACATTATTGCGCACACAATCGTATTTGTGATTTTGTAATTACCCAGAAGCATTAAAGTAGCTATTTTTCTTTTCATTGTTGTTTGAAAAAATACGGGTTGCATAGTGGTCATTAGCTGCTGTCCTTGAGTCACGTGTATTGAGCTATGGTAATTTTCTTCTGTTTTTTAAAAGTTTTTCGTTTTTGTTTTCTTGTCTGATTGTATTTTTTGTTGGTTGAAGCAGTCAGGTTGTGGGATGGCCTCCAATCAGAACTTATAGAATGAATAGTTTGGTTACCCAAGCGAAATCTTCATCCACTGAAGTATTTAACTCAGTAGATGAGAAAAGTGAATGCAAGCATACTGCAGGGAAGGCAAACAGTGGAAATGCCAAGGAGAAAGGGCACCTGAGGGGCTCCCTATTTGTGAAGGTGAATATGGATGGAACTCCAATTGGGCGGAAGGTTAATCTAAGTGCACAGAGTTGCTATGAAGCTCTAGCACAAACATTGGAAGATATGTTCGATGGACCCTCTATGCATCTGAACTCAATACGTTAGTAATTCTAGCCTTTATATTTTGATATTCAATATTGAAGAGTTCATAAGGTTTGTTAGTTTTTTGTTTCAAAATCCAGGCTACTTGAATTTGAGTTGCACAATGATCCTTCTATACACTGGCATCATCTTACCAAGCTCTCTTGGAATGCCAATTAAATGAAGAAAAAATGAAAATTGAGTTTTTTATTCGCCAAATTTTTTCTATATAGGAAAGTTGAAAGTTATTGGTTTCTTGAATATGTTGGGATTCAAGATAAATGTCATATGCATAATATCTATCAATCAAAATGTATGGTTTTTATTTGGACAAGATAGAATTTATTGATAATAGCTGGATTAGTCTTTATTTCACTTTGACTGATGGTTGTATGTTATCTATAATCAGGTTCAGGTGGTCAGGAGGAGCATGGTATAATGGCAGGAGCAACTAGACCGTCAAAGTTGCTGGATGGATCATTTGAGTTTGTGCTCACTTATGAAGACAAAGATGGAGACTGGATGCTTGTTGGAGATGTTCCTTGGGGGTAAGCTTATCAATTTGGGGGCTGTGTTTGCTCACGCGAAATACTATACTTGACTTCAGTAATTGTGCTTGTTTCATCTAATTCTTATAAATTCTGTATTAGAAGAATCAGGTATCTAAAATTTTAAAACCCATCTCTGACTACAGTATATGGTTTTTTGAGTTATTGGTTTTCTCAACACCTTATTCATTTTTACTTATTTTGCATTCAGGATGTTTCTTGGTACTGTGAAGAGGTTAAGAATTATGAGGACATCTGAGGCTAATGGGCTTGGTATGTAGATGTGAATGAAGCATCAATTTTGCCTCCGAAAGCTACCACTTTACCTGATACTGACTGTTAGTTTAATTTGCAGCTCCAAGGCTACAGGAAAAGAATGTGAGGCAAAGATGCCAGCCGATATAGATCCATTTCTCATAACATAGCAAGAAGAGACGACTTATGGTTGAAGATGTACAAAGTGGATGAAACTTATAGTTGGAGCTTTTGGAAAAAAGAGAGAAACCTTTTGGTTTTTTGGGTTCATTTTTGGTTGCTATCGAATGTTATTTCATTTTATTCTTGGTACGCCTTCTCTGAGAGTTACCTCCCTGCTTTTTCAAAGCCACAGCCATCTTAATTTTCGATGTCAGAGTACTATATATATACATATGCTGCATACTTTGGTGAATGATGTTGTTGAAGTTGTATATATGGGGACACACTCAAGTCCCCTTGTCTGCTATAGCAGATGGGCTGTTTTCGATTCCCCTTGTTTAATGGTGATAAAATGTTTGATAATGAGAATGTTCAATGTTGTTGCGGGGCTCGTTGAAACTGAAATTTTACACATTCTGATGCAGAACAACCAGACCCAAAATGAAGGCCAACAGATACAGAATGTTTTGTAAGAATAAAATGTCAATAAGATTGGAAAAAATTAAGTCTGACTTATTTTGTACTGGAGATGTTATTCTAATAATGAGATATATGAACTATTGATTACAAACATTAACAAAACGCAATCTTAATCTTACATACAGCATGAAAAATCAAAATAATAACAGCCAAATGGGGAAACTCAAAATTACTGTCCCTAGAGAAGGCCATTTACAGGTGAGGTGCTAAACACAGGCTGGTCTTTGTTAGTTGCATAAGCTTCATTGTTCTTGCTAATGCTTTTCCTCCGAGGCTTTGCCTCTCCAAGCATGGTTATGACATCCCTCATTGAGGGCCTGTCCTTGGGAAGCTTGGCAGTGCAAAGCAATGCTATTCTAAGGACTAGGAGCATCTCTTCTTGAACATGCAAGCAATTTCCTACACTGGGGTCCAATGCTTCTCCTAAACTCTTGTTATCCCTAATCTTCCTCCGAATCCATTCCACAACGTCTACTGATTCTCCAAACTCGGGGTCCAATGGCCTCTTTCCAGTGAGAAGCTCCAACAGAACCACACCATAGCTGTAGATATCAATCTTTTCATCAACCTTCAATGTGTATCCATATTCTGATCAAGTACACACAAAGTCACAAACTGGTTAGTGACAAGAAACTTACAGAAATGTGTAAAAGATTAAGATGTGAAACTAGAAGGTAGAAACTCACCAGGGGCTATATAGCCATATGATCCAGCCACCATGGAAACTGTTTCATTTTTTCGAACCATCATCCGTGCCAACCCGAAATCAGCAATCCTAGCATCAAGGTTTGCATCAAGTAGTATGTTATTGGACTTGATGTCTCTATGGATGACTGGTGGGTGACAATCATGGTGGAGATAAGCGAGACCTTGCGCGACACCAACTGCTATGTTGTACCTTGAAACCCAGTCTACAAGTAACCTCCCTGCTTGCTTGCCATGCAGGGTTTCTCCTAGGCTGCCATTGTGCATAAACTCATATATAATCATCAAATTGGTATCATTGTTCAGAAATCCTAACAATCGAACAATGTTTCGATGCCTCAGCCTCCCCAAGACATTCACTTCCCCAACTAGATCATCACTGCTTCCTGTTTCAACATCTGTTGCTGGTCTCCATAACTTTTTGACTGCCACAACTGTGTTTGATCTTGATATCTCAGCCTTATAGACGATCCCAGTAGCTCCCATTCCAATCACATTTGATTCTTTCACACAAGCCAGAATGTCAGCACTTGTGAAACCAAGCCTCTGGAATGCCATCAATCTCCATGGCCACTCTCCCTTGCCAACTTCAAAACTATCTTCGAAGCAACTTCCATTCGCATACCACCTTTTGTACAGAGATCGAGCACCAAAAAGTGCAATTCCAGCTGCTAAAACCGATAAAATCCCAATAACCCATCCTGCAACAATGTTCCTTGTGTGCAAGCTCCTATGCCTTGATGTAAATACTGGGTTTCGCATACACGGAGGGAGTACACTGCCGCAGAGACCAGCATTGCCCACAAGATCACTTGGGTTTATTGTTCTAAGCACACCATTTGCTGGGACAGGACCCTCAAGCTTGTTGTATGAGACATTGAGAGTTTCCAAGGCTGGAGAGATTCCAAAATTTTCTGGTATTCCACCAGTTAAAGAGTTGTTGGATAGATCAAGAATGGACAATGTGGGCATCATGGAGATTGATTTTGGGATGTCTCCAGTCAATTGGTTGTTCCTAAGGTTCAAGCTTACCAATTTCTCACATGAGGCAATGCTTGCTGGAATGGTTCCTGAAAAATGGTTTGATGAGAGATCAAGCACTGAAAGTGAAGGGCAGTCCTGGAATTGGTCTGGGATCTCTCCTACTAAGTCATTGTTTGAGGCCATCAAGGTTTGCAAACTTGGAGCAGAAAGAATGGTAGAAGGAAGAGAAGAATGGAGGTGGTTTCTAGAGATATCAATGAACGAAAGTGAGGTAGAAGAAGAAATGTCATCTGGGATTACACCAGTGAGATTGTTATTTGCTAATTCTAATCTCTGAAGCTTCCCAAGCTTGCCAAGACCAATTGGGATTGTCCCAGAAAGAAGATTGTTCTGCATTCGAACACGGACAAGTGAAAGGCATGTCGATAAGCTCACCGGAATTGGACCTGTGAAGGCATTGTTGAAGAGGATGAGCTTGGTAAGATTGCCCTTATTGCACAATGTTGATGGAATCTCACCAGAGAATGAGTTGGATGAGATGTCCAACCACTGCAGTGGGGAATTTTTGCCAAGATCACTTGGTAAATGACCTGAGAATGAATTGTTCCATAGCTCAAGAACACTTAACTGAGTCAAACTTGCAAGTCCCAAAGGGACTGAGCCTGACAACTGATTACACATTACATTCAGAAGCTGCAAAGGCTTCAGCTCATCTATCTCAGCTGGAAGTTCCCCTGATAACATGTTATCAGAGAGATCCAGCAATTTCAATGAAGTAATGGTTACCATTTCTGGTGGGATTTTACCTTCAAAATTGTTCTTGTACAAGAACAGAGTCTCCAGTAGCTTAAGCCTGCCTAAGTCAGCTGGAATCTCACCACTAAGATTGCCAACTGCCAAATCAAGATACTTGAGGTTGGTGAGATTCCCAAACTCCATTGGAATTCCACCTTCAAATTCATTGTACCCAAGAATTATGCTTTCCAAGGAGGAAAGCTGGCCAAGCTCTGATGGGATTTGACCAGTGAGGTTATTCCCAGAAAGCCCAAGAAACTTGAGCTTCTGCAAGTTCTTGAAGGACTTTGGAATTGAGCCTTGGAAGAAGCTCCCTCTAAGATCCAGAGTCTCAAGCAGAGTGGCATTACCAAGATCCTCAGGAAGAAAACCAGAGAAGTTGTTGCTTGAAGCATTCAATGTTTTCAATCCACCTGCTTTCCCAAGCCCCCATGGAAAGTCACCAACAAGTGAATTCTGACTGACATCAAGGCTTTTCAATGCCGTGAGATTTGCCATGGATTTTGGCAAAGATGAAGAAAACGCACTGCAGCACAAGTTGAGAGAAGTGAGACCTTTGAGCCATTGGATGTCATCTGATACAGGGCCACTGAGATTCATGTGAGAGAGATCAAGCCTCTCAACATGCTTCTCAGAGTTGCACCACACACCAGTCCAATTACAGTGAGCTGCTTCATACTTAGCCACATTTTCTGGCAACTTCCAATCTTTGAGGCTGTTTAGTGGATCAATCAGACCGGCTTTTATTGAAAGCAAAGCAGACACTTCATCATTAGCCACAGCAGCAAAACCAAATGATGAACAACCAATGAAACAACACAAAAAGAAGAAAATCAAGAACTGGGTTTTCAAATGCATCTTGCAATGCTTGTTGGGTTTTGTTAGTTGGCTTAATCTCTCTGACTTTCCACCATTTTCACTCTCTGAAAACTGATACAGAGAAGGTGGGAGAGTGTAGTGGAAAGAAGATTGGCTAATGTATATGTGTTGGTTTATAAATAAACAATAATTGAATTGGTGGATTGATGAGTTTCTAATAATAGTTTTTTTGAAGGGCTCGTGAGATCTTGGGCACTGCAATAGCTGTTAACTGCAAGTAATGACGGGGAAAGCTTTGGACTTATTGGAAGTTTCTCCGACACCAAACATGGGATGGAGAATGTGGTCATACCCCTCTCTCTCTCTCTCTCTCTCTCTCTCTCTCTCTCTCATGCAGTCTAAGTGTTCTTTCTTCTTTCTGTTATTTATCTGTTATCATATTTGGTCAACTTGAGTGATGAGTTATCATAATCCCATAATGAAAATTGTTTCATTTTTTTCCGTAATTCTTTGTCTTATCTAATTATTTCTTATAAATTAAAACTAATGAGATGAAACAGTAAAAGGGTTTATCCAGTATTGGGATTGGGGGAAGTTTTGATCCCAATAAGAAATGGATCATAACTTTTTAATTCCTAGAACTCAAATTGGAAAACCAATGTGATGCTTGTACGATTTTTCTTTCATTTTTTTAAATACAACGATAATGTACTTTAAGTTAATCTAATCTACGGAAAAGGGAATTCGAAGTTGAGTGCAAGGGACAGACTCATTACTCTTGGTCAACTGACCTAACCCACTTCTACGAGTTTTTCTTTCATTCCCATCAGTTGATTTATGCATTTGGGAAGTTGAAATGCTACACACATACTATCTTTATGTTCAAGAGCAATAATTAAAACAAAGCTTATTTACAGCAGTTTTGGAAGGCAAAGTAGACTTTAACCGTAATTTTAGAGGGCATTGTTATAAATAAACCTTAAAACAATTATACGTGGGACATGGAAGTTTGGGACAGATTTTTCTTAAAAGCCACTTTATCTTGAGCCTTACACAAAGGATGTGGTGGAACCAACTCCAAAAGCTACATGCATGAATGATTTGGGTTTCATCTCAAGCTTTTCCTGCTTCAGCTTGTACTATAGGGTAACTTCTATTCTAAGTATGACAAAGATTCAGAAAATATTGTGCCTAAAGTGGATCCATCATTGCATTATTAAAAAGAAAAATATCAAGCGTGTGTATTTGCTAACATCAAACCCAAATGATAATTCTCACAAGTTTACTATAAAAAAAATTGAGAAATAATGAAAAATTTACATAGTTTATGAACCTTCGTTTTCCCACTTTTTAATGTCTAAAAAAGAATAAAAAAAGCAAGGCCAGTTCATACCCATGATCGAATTATATGGTTAATTAGAACTCAATAACTCAAATGAACATGTCATTTATTCCTCATGATTGATACGAGAGAATCTTGCCATGTTACAGGGTGAACCAAACATTTAAACAAAGCCAAAACTCTGCTCTATTTAAATATTACGAATTGATATGGGCCATATCTCAATGTTAACATGCAGGGCACCTTCATATTTTTTAGTGCTGCACCCCCTTGTGAAAGATTGGTAGTTTTACATTTGAGATGGTTACGAGTATTTATTCTTTCACTCGAGGTTTTAAGTTTGATTTTTCTTACTTTATATCGCTTGTATAAAAATAAAAATTTACACATCTAAACAAAAATTCTATAAAACATACCCAATGGGGAGTGCCCCAGGTGAATTATAAAGGAAAACAGAGTAGAAAAAGGGGAGGAGCAAACAGGAGGAAATGGAAGAAAGTGATGTGCATCAATGGTGGTCTGAGCTAAGCCCCACCTACTGCCATTTCTCTCAGATTAAATTCTTTTTTTTCCCCCTTTTTCTTTTTCCTTCTTCGTTATTATACTGCCAATTTTCACATGGACACATGTAGAGCAGTACATTTAAAAATAGTGGTAATGTCATGTAGTGGCACTTTTTATAATTCAACGAATGCTACTATTTCTGCTCTAAGAACAGATGGGAAACCCATGTGAAAACAGCAGCTTCCTTGGGAAGAAGAACCTCCATCCTATTATTGGAGAGAGAGAGAGAGAGAGAGGTTTTTTTTTGGGTGCCTTAAGAGATTATTGGGTTGATTGATTATTTTCTGTTTGTGATCTTAATCTTACCTTCTCATCTGAAGAACCCATGGGAAGAAGGTATGGATGGTTATATGCCTTCACATGGGTTTATGCCAAGGCACACCAAAAACCAAAACTTTCATGATTGTAAAGGGAGACTTAAAAAAAAAAAGGGATCATAATGCTTGTGGCTGCACGTGTCCCACATGCATGAGCTGGGGTCCATGATGTTTTGGGACCCACATTTGGGTTCACTAATTTAATTTGAAACCCTAGTGCATGACAATAATTCAAACCCTATGTGCCATTTTTGTGTGGTCTTGACTCTTGAACGGGTTTTGCACTATTTGTGTTTTATTATTGTCTCATCATTATTTTTGGTTTCATGACTTTATAAGTGAAAATATTATTTTGATTCTTGAGTTGAGCAGGTGGCTTGTGAACTATATACACTTTTACTTTTGAAGATTTGAGAGCAAAACCCTCACAACAATAGTGCATTTTTGCTCATTATTTTAATCTAATGTATATCTTCACTGTCTTTCTTAGTATTTGACATATATTCATGGGCATAACAATGATTTCATAAATACAAAGCAAAGAATTAACTATGGTTATGTCCATAGACACGTGTCAAATATTAAGAATGATGATAATAACATACCTTGGGTTAAAGTGGTGAGTGAAAATATTTCTGCGAACTATATAAATAAAAGTAATTGAAAAGTGAAATGCAAAAGTTTCTTTTTTGATCTTTTTTTAAAATTTTTTTTTATCACACTAATGAAAACTTCAAACTCCAACTGTTTAAGCCCAATTAATATACATAACAATTAACAAGCCCCAATTGCTCTTTCTTGGTCCAAGAATCCCTCTTGGGCCTCATCCCTCATGAAAATATTTCTTTACAAAAAGAAATTCAAGACAAAATTTGATCAAAGAACTTTAGCATTGAATCAGTGCACTATAATTTGTTGCAAACGACCCCTGCATTGTTTACAAGAACGCTTCTCCAATATATCATCAGAACAACTATGTCTCATTATTTTTCATTTGACTCTAAATTTAAATCTCCAACTACATATATACTTTAATTTTCCTTATATATATATAAAGATTATAAAAAAAATCTAGCCAACAGAGAAACCAACAAAAGAGCCAGCAGAAGAACAACAAAAGGAGAGAACCAAGTACTTCCAAATCCTCCAAATCCTTCTTCATATTGATATTGATCAGCTTCTGAATCAGACAAGACCTTCTTCCCCTCAGCAACATTGATATGAACATTTCTTCCTTGCTGCTCATCACCATCAGCCAATCTTATATGAGACAAAATGTGAGGAAACACCTTCTCGCAAGACTCTTCTCCAATCAACAAATCTGAATGCCCAAAACCCTCCACAACAACCCTCTCATGCCTAAACCCTGGCTGGTGCAGCTTCATGTATTTATGAGCAAGAAAAGAAGTCTGAGGTGTCACAAGGAGAGGCCGCCCACCGGATATATAAAGTGTTGGGAGAGCCATTCTTTGTGGGTGGATCAAATAGGAGTTGCTGCCATTGCTGTCGACTATAAAACCGGAGTTGCAGATCTTTCTGAGGTGGGGAAATGCTGCCATTGGAAGCCTTGTTGAGCTTTCCTTGTTCAACCACTGGTGCACTGTTGGACTTATGTTTTCGTGCCAGAATGCGTTCCCAAATATGCCGGAGACAACCTCACATTCACTGCAGCTGCATCTCTCGTACCGCGGTATCAGGCGGGCTATCAGTTTCAGGAGCCTATGACGTGAGCTCACTGGTGGTGATGTTGATGTTTCCACAAGAGGAAGCGTCTTGTTATTTCCAAGTATGAACATTGATACCTGCATATACATACATTTATATAAATTATAGAGAACTAAATAATCATCCTTCGTTAAGTACATTACCTAATCTAGCACCTGAACTTTGAGTTTGAGAGAGAGAGAGAGAGAGAGAGAGAGAGAGAGGCTCACTGGGAGCAGAGGAAGTCGCATTTTGACAGTGGACAAAGCATTAAGCTTGAAGAACATGGAAGAGTTGGTGCAAGACAGAGAAGCTATATGGCTAGCAGAGACATGACCTCCCATGAGAGCTATGTGTATGGCTAAGCCTCCAACACAGTGTGCAACTACATGCACCTTTATGTTTGGCCCAAGCAATTCAAGCATCTTATTAATTGCTGCAAATTAATTGGGAAAAAGTGAAACCTTAGAAATTATAAATGCTCAAGATATATATAACCATATATGATTGATCTATGTTCTTTAATTACCAGCAGGGATATCAAATCTTCCAACATCTTCAAGGGTAAAATTGTTTGAAGGGTTCAGAACATGCAGCCTTGATTGTAACAGCCATGTTTCATGCCCTTCTTCAATCAAAGTTCTGACCAAGTCATTTGGCTCTGTTGGCAGCCAGTAACTCTCAACAGCATATCCATTAACAAGGAGAATCGGGTTTTGTTGTTCATCTGATCCTCTAAGTTTTGACAAACTTTGCTGGCACTTCCATTGCCTGCAACTGATAACCACTCCATCTTCTGCAAGCATACATAGATTTTAGTTTTCGGGCTTCTAAAACGTTACGATTGAACTCAAATTTTCTTCACGTCCACATACCTGTTTTTATGTCGTGAAGAGTGCTGCTTGGATAAGAATATTTGTGTTCACAATCTGACAGATTAAAGTGCTCTTGGCTCCGTCGAGGTGTCTGCAAGAAATAGGTTCTGAAGAGAGTCCCTGAGAGGAGGCTTAAGAACTTTCCTTTCTTGTTTCCTTCAAAGCTCACGAGGCTCTTAAGAAGCTCCATCATGGAAATACTAAGCTCCCCTTTTAATATCACCTTGTCATGATCATCATTCTTTGAGCTTTTGTCGGCAACTTTTTCAAATGTCACATGCAGTGTGGTAGCTTCCCTCCATGCATATGATGCAAGGAGATAAGGATTCATTATCTTTCTCCCCTCTAGAATATATCTGGATGCCAGAATTAACATATACGATCAGGTTGAATTTTTTTGTCAAAATGTATGGTTCAAACTCGCACTCTAGCAACATAAGTCTAACAAGAGAATATTAACTCTTCATATATACCTTGAACCGGTAGACGCCACAAGATGAAGATGATAACGCATATAGTGTGTGTACGGAGTTCTGGAATCCACTTCACACAAATTTACATCCCCGTCTATGATATGTAAATTATCCTTCTCAAAGCCTCTAAATTCTACATGCCCTCCAACTTTCCCTCTTAGAAGGGGATGAGATTTCCCATGAATATTAGTACCCAAGTTCCATTCAATATCAGAGTCCTTCTGGTCCTCACCATGAGGGTTCATCTTCATTTTGAGATAAGCTGTGCATGGCATGCCCCCAACATGACCTCTCATGGTTTCTTTAAACGTGACAACCGATCTCCGGCCATTATCTTTAGTCTTAGTCTTCTCAGTGAAGGAATCTGGATCTTGAACACCTCCAAGATAATTAGTACCTTCTCTCCTGATCTTGTACTCCAAAACATCCTGCACAAGGTGCCTACTTATGTGCTCAGCTGCAGTGGCAATAGTAAAAGATGGGTTGATGCCAACGGAACATGGGATCAAAGAAGCATCACACACGTAGAGGCCTGGATGGACCGCGGCCAGAGGGTCGAAAACCTGCCCTTTGGGGTTGCAAACACCATGTGAAGGACCTGATGATGATGCATTGCACCCACCTAAAAGATGGACTGCTGTGCTCCGGTATTTTGACATGAAGAGAACTCCTCCTAGTTTCTGAGTGAGCTTTTGAAAGACCTTGATTTTTCGTGGGAGAAGGGGATCACGAGGTGGGATAAAGCTGATTTTGTTGGTGCCCTTCTCTAACATGATCTTGCCATCACTCTCATCATGTCCCAATGCAAGAAGAGCCACTGCTTGAGTTGCTTTAAAACCCATTGCAAGTTTTATCTTGTCTAAAATCCCATGAAAAAACCAATATCCACCAGGCCATCCATAGGATAAAATTCCTTTGAATAGAAGGTGCGGATAAGCTGTTGGAAGTATAGCACTCTGCATGTGGACCACAAGGGGAAATTAACCAAATATTGACTTATCTAGATTTTTCACGACACACAAGAAAACATAATTAATAACCACTATGTAGCGCAAGAAACATCTACCATGTGGTACAAGATGAGGTGACTAAAAGCACTATTAGTACCTAATAGTAATAACTAACAGTCACAGTTCCTCATCATGTCAGTGACTATTAACATTATTGTTTTCTTGTAGTGTGGCTAAAATATTAATACTAGCAACCAAAAGACAATAAATAAAGTATATAGTGAGAAGTCTCCAAACCTGGATTGTAAAACCCATTGATGAAGTGTAAGATGTTGAGATGGAGGGTCCTGGCCTTGCTTGAAATGGAATCTTAAAGAGTTCCTTCTTATCTAGTCCATAGCCATTCAATGGCGTCGAGCTTCCCGTGAGATAAGCAACATTATTTCCATTGCAGCTGAACCCTGAGCCAAGAGCTTCTGAAACTCTCAGCCCTCTCATTTGTGACCGAAACAGGATCTCAGTCGTGCCAAAAACTCCCCCTTAAAAAAACACATCTATAAATTAACTTGTTAAAATCTTCCATGAAGACCAAAATGTCCACAAGGTATGCGTGGTACTTTTGTTGTTTCTTACCTGATAGGATTACAAAATCGGATGTCACGTAATCAATCTCATTCAAATAAACACGCCATCTTCTCTTTGATCTACTGCCACTTTTGCCCTCATTGTCGTACGTGTTTCTAATCACATACTGCACTTGGCATTGAGTTTTAACAGTGCATCCAGCCTGCTTCACAAGAAGTTAACATTTGTATTGGTTTTAGTGGGTAACTTATATGGTAAGATATAAACCTCTCTTGACATGCTAAATATTTATTAATGCATATATAGGGTCATCACTGAGACGAGCCGGCCTGACCCGGCTTGAAAATTAGGTAAATACCGGCTTTATTAGAACTTGTAGCCACTATGGCCAGGTCAGGCCTAAAAATCATAATTAGCTGATTTATGAGCCTAAATATATTTTTATTGTACCAACCAAAAAAATTCAATATCATATAAGGGGATGATTATATATAAGACATGCCTGGATTGCTGAAAGTAGATAAGTTTTGTCGTTAGAAGCCTTGGCATTATAAGGACATCCAGAAAGACAATTTCCACAGGCTAAGCAGCTGCCCATCTCTTGAACCTTCGATGCTTCATTGCTTCCTGGACGTTGATCTTCAAAGTCAAAGTTCACAGTCAGCTTCACAGAAGTCTCAGAAGTTTCTCCAACCTCTTCTTTTATGGCGATGTCTTCCAAGGCCTGCCCAACAGAAAACTTCACAGGAACACTTTGTATTTTGAGCATGGCTGCAGCAGAAGCCTCACAATGATCCCAGTTCTTCTCCCAGTCGTTTGGCCATTTTGGATGTCGTCTGGCCCGAACTGGCGTTGGCATCATAACTCCTGCGTTCACCAGTGAGCCTCCACCAAGCCCACAACCCACTACTGCTACAGAATCATTTTGCTCGTATACCTATACATACGACATGTTTTGTTCAGGCTATTGATTTTCAACTTCATTTGTTGACTGCCCCGTAAGCACGTTTTATTATAAGAGTTTAATGTAATTTTTTTACTCTAATAAATCACAAAATGATATGATTCTACTTTGTTTCTTTTGTTAAGATTAATTTTATAATGACCGGATTTCACCCATCCTCGTTGAAAAAAGAAAATTGATTTTATATGCACATACTCCACAGTTGCTATTTATTTATTCTCTTTATATACAACAATGTATCTATTTCTCTCTCGTCACATGCTATTGAGAATAAAACAGTAATGGTGGAAAATGGAAACCTGAAATATTTAAGGAAACACATGTACAGACCTGGATTAGTGCATCCTTGGATCCAAAGCTAAGGCCTAGGTTCCGGCTCTCCATCCTCAAAGATGACAACAACTTGAAGCTGTCAGTTGGGAAATCTGTAGATTCCCATCTGCGGCCTTTCTCAAGTAGACAAACCCTTATGCCTGCAGCTGCCATGGACAACCTACAAGCAACCACAGAACCACCGTAGCCGGACCCCACAACCACCGCATCATACCCTTCTTCTTCTTCCCCATCACCACCAAAACCTCCTTGTAACTTCTCCATTTTCTTATAGTTCCTTCCAAGTCCAGAATATAGGCCCAATTTCTTAGTGCTCCAGGACTTTGCCCTTACGGAAAATTCACTCAACCATATGCACCAGATGACCTTTCTGCATTTTCTTCTTTTAGCATAACCCTGTAGCCTATATATACATTCAACAAATTGTATATATAGTCTCTACTTGAGCCAAACTGTGGTCCTTTTTTCTTAGTGCATTTGCGCCATTGACCATGCTCATTAAATTCCGTGTCATGTTTTCTTTATTTCTTTATTTCCGTCGTCTTTTTTTTAATCCCTGCAAGTCATCATATGACTTTAACTAGCTATAGTATTACTGTTCCTGAGCCAAAAAAAAATACTTGATAGGATATCACTCATTTCGAATACGAGAAATGCTAACGAGATTTGTTCAAAAAAGAGCTTATTCATGGATCCATTCGTTGTCACCTTTGCACAATGAACATGAGGTATCAGCAAACAAATACATGTAGAGACTCTTTTTTGAGTAAGTTCGGTTAGTATTTCTCTCATCGTACAAAATTGGTTTCACAAAATTATTCACAGTTTCTTTGGATGAAATTTACTAGTTTTGATTTGGGTCATCAGTCGTGACGGAAGCTTCTATACGTTGAACTCTTCCTTTTTGTTGGGCTAATTAAAATGTGTTGACATTTTCATGGCTTTAATTAATAAACATTGGATAGCTAGCTAAAGAATATCTAACCCCAACCGGCCGCTACTAACATTTTTTTTATGCAGAACCAAAAATGTTGACAGATAAGGAAAATTTTACAACTATGGTTTCCCACTTTGTGTGTCTGAAACAGCAATGACAGAAAATAGATACAGCTTATCTTATAGGACATTTCAACAACTTATTGACAACTAGAAAAAGGGGAAAAGATCCAAGTTAGTCGGGCTTCAAGGGTTAAAAACAAGGCCTTATCTAAGAGCTTTAGGACTCGTTTAGGAGTGCTTCTTCCTTAAGCGCTTATGCCAGTAGCTCTTATGACATAAACGTTTCTACAAAAAAGTAGTTTGTCGTTCGGATGTCACATTTAATTTTAAAAGTACTTTTATACTACATAAAAAGCGCTTTTGATATTTTGTTGAGTGTTTGGCTGACACAATAAAAGGTTACCTTGAGTCTTCTTTTCTGTTCGCATCTTTTTCTCTGAGTCTTTAAGGTTGGGTTTAGGGTATATAATCAGTCTTTTTTTTTCTTTCTCTATGCTGCTGCCATTTCCTTTTATTTTTCAAAGCTCCATGTCAAGCTCTCTGCTCATTGATGAGCCTTTTTCTTTCACTCTCTCCGTGTCTAGCTCTCTGTTGAAGATTGAGCCATTTCTCCTTTTTATGCTCTCTATTGAAGATTGAGCCTTCTCCCCCATGTCAGTTGTCATCGCTCGCCAAGCCTTATCCTAGCCGACCTTTGTCTCTATCCTGCTGTGCTTCACTATCGTTAGTCCCTTTGCACAACCGTTGTCTATCCCTCATGTGCTCTATCCTCTCTCTCCCTCTCTCTCTCCAGGATCTCATTCTTTCTTTCTTTTTTTCTCTATCAAAACTCCCTCTTGAACTCTCTCTCTTTCTCTAGTTATATCAAGACTCCCTCTCTTTCTCTTTGGTGTCATGAGCCCCCCATTTTTCCAATATCTATCTACATGCCTGCTTCCTCTTGATTCCCTTAAGCTTCATCTCTCTCTCCTACCCAAACACCTTTCCTTTCCCTTTTCCTAGTTTGCAATTGTGGTTTCTCTCTCTCATGTATTTATGATGGTTTCTCTATCGTGGTGTCCATACTTTCGCCTTGTTTGTTGATGCTGCCTGTCATCGCTCACTGAGCCGTCTCTCTTTCCTCCGCGAGCCTCGTCAACGCTCGCCGAGCCTTCTCTGTTGTGCTACATTGCCAGTGTTCCCTTTGCACAACCCCTGTTTCTTCCTCTGTGTTGCGGACTTGGTATCAGCCACTCACGCCTTATCATTGTGTTGATGCCTTGGTATTGGCCTCGCACGCTCTATCTATGCTCAACATGTGTTCTCCTCCCCTCTTAAGCCCAATCTCTTTTTTTGATTTTACTGTTGGTCTATGTCTTCTCTCTCCCTCTCTTTATTATATTTATAAGAACACAAACAAAAATGCACTTGTTTGACTTATTTTTCTTTCTCATTCCTCTTACAACATGTCTATTCCTCTTTATCCTACCTAGAGGGTGATTCCTAGGTAGAGTATGTTTCTCAAGCGCCTAGAGTTGTTTCCCAGTAACATTTGACTTGTCTGTCAGCTCGTCATTTTATTATTTCCTTCCATGAGCCCATGTGCTCCCTCACTTGCTGCCTTTTAATGGGCGTTATTTTTATTTTTATGTTACTTTGTTTCTCTCAAGCCGTTGTTGCACCTATGGAGTTCTTCTTTTTTGTTTCCCTTACTAGACTACTACAAACGACTGCTACTGCCATTTCCATCACCATATAGTTTCTTCATTCAAATCTTGCTATGCTGTGCGCGCTCAATTTGCGGGGGAGTGTTATGGAGTTACAACAGTATTTCAGTTACAATAGTTAATCCTACTAATGATAGGAAATGATCAGTTGTCAGTTATGTTGTTATTAGGCCATAACTCCATATTTATGTTTGTGATAATGACTTGTTATAACTATAGATTATTCTCTACAGACTTTATATATATATATATATATATTGTATAATGATCATATGAATAATATAAGGGAAAATCAGTTTCTACATGTTTCCTGTGAACAAAGGATAAAATATAAAATATTGAGAACATAATACGTTTTCCAAGCTGGAAGTTGGCTTCAGGCATATATGCTGCTGCTATCTTCCTTTGTTGGTTGACTCTGTAGCGTGAATTTGTATACTTTCATTTGTCTTTTCCTGTTGAATATATATACTGTTCTTCTAGTGTTCGAGAAATTTTTTTCAAATTAATATTGGAAAGGGCATTCAATTTTACTGAAATTTAAAGTTCTGTACACAAAATTCGGAATTTTACAATTGATTAAATCCATGTTTTCCATTTCAGAGTGGATCTCCATAGCTTATGTGAACGCACTGGATTTAAGTAATAGGAGAGAACAAGAAAGAAAGGGTATTTTGGCATTTAAAAAATAAAATATGGGTATTTTCGATATTTTAAAAGTTTCATTAAAGGGAGTCAAGTGCTTCTCGTGTTTTTGTCTTGCAGCGCTTTTAAGAAGAAGCACCTCTCAAGTGCTTTTTCCAAAACCACTCCAAGTGGCTTTTAGATCTCACCCAAAGCGCACTTTTGCAATTTTTGCCAAACACCATTTTTAAAAGATAGAAGCGCTTTCACTCATTTAAAAGTGCTTGTCACTGCTCCAAAAACACTCCCAAACGACTCTAATGTTGAATGGATAAAGTTAAATGGGTTACGAACTTATGATAATGACCACCATCCATGTACCTTTCTTAGAAACTCATGATGCGAAGCAGCACCCACCTTACAAATTGGTTTCCAATAATTTGAGGTTACCCAGCCTAATGCCAAATTAGTTGGCCAAAAATAAAGACTACATATGCTATGTGGCAAACAGTAGCCAAGTTTATGTCATATATACTTCCAAAATTGCTTCTCCAATCCAATATATCATCAGAAGCAAATGGAAGGTGTTAAAAAAAGAATAATATGTGTTTGATGTACAAATTTCAAAGACAAACAAATTTATATTACATCTTCTTCTCTTTCTCTCTCCTGCCAGAAAGTTGCCATTGAAATCTTTCTCAACACCAACTTGCTTGAACCTGCAGGATATAATAATCTAAAGAAAGCTGAAGTTGAACACAAATAAATAAGTAAATAAAGGGATTTTTTTTTTTTTTTTTTTTTTTTTTTTTTCTGTTTTCGGTCAGTCCTAAAAGAAAAAGAGGGCCTGGCCTGTGGCACTCAATTGAAAATACAGCCACCAACTTTCTATATGTATAGCCTACTACTAATACTATGTTGTTTCTCTTTGAGAAAAGATAAGAGAGAGAGAGAGAGAGAGAGAGAGGTGGCTTTTATGTACCCAAAATGAATGCCTGTATTTCAGCCCAACTAGACACCGTATAAAGAACACCAGACAATGGTTTCCACCAATTAGAGGCACAATCTTGATCAGCAAGTTCTCTCTGCCTATTCACCAAGCCAGAGAACAATGGGACAAAGGAAACGCCAAAATGATCACCTAGTCTCCTTAGGCTTGAACTTGAACCAACTACAATGCCTATATCTGCTTCAAGCAGGCAAAGCATGTCACCCACTGAGCCTCCAATGTAAACTGTCAAGTGTTTATTGCCTTCGCTCCTGCAGTCGATTAGGACGTCATTGAAGACTTGAAGCTTTTCCATGGGAGACTCCATCTTCTTTACAATTTCACCAGTTGTGACAGATTCTTGATAAACCAACTCATTTGAATGTACATTCAAGACATTCAAATCTCCTGCACAATTGAAATTAGATATCAATTGAATATATCACTTTAAAAAAAATGTGTACAAGGCATTTCCAAATAGCATACCTGAAGAGAAAGCTGATACAATGAGATCATTACACCAGCAGTATGAAAGCACATGAACATCAGTTTTCAGATTTTCATTTTTCACAATCTTCTGAAAGAAGCTTCTGCAACCATCTTGCAGAATGAGGCTCTGTCCAGCCCTTTTTATATCCTCCACATTTAAACCCTTCAACACTCCTGACTGAACCACCCTTTCATTTGCCTTTCTCTCAAACTCCGCAAGTTGTTCAAGCGCGCTACACAGAGGTTCATAATCGAATTCTTCCACTACAAGATTTTAGGAACATAACGTTTAATTTCATGCTAAGCATCAACCAAAATCAAGTCTTAATAATTAGTTTTGATCAAACCTCTCTCACTGGCCACAATGCTTTCTACACATTGTTCAAATTGTTCAGTGTATTGGGTTGAAAGAACATCCCATGTGCTCCTTAAGTCTGCTGATGGCATCCGAGCAAGTTGGGTTTGATCAGATCCATCCATATCGGCCTTTGGTGCTGTTATGATCGCAATCTCAGCCAATATGGCAGCAGAATCAAAAGCAGTGCATGCCAAATCAAAGTCACAAAGTATCATAAGATGGCGTTTGCTAAAGTCATGCACCCGAGACAAAGGAACTACAGATTGCTGATCAGAAATTGGTTGAGCAGCAATAAAATCTACTTGAAGCTTCATAGCTTGATGATAGAGCTTCTCTATAATCTCAAGCTCCTCACCAGTCAAAGAAACACTAAGTTTATCTAGCATGTCTTCATTTTGCAGGGCTATTTCCTGAAATAAATACTCTTGTTTGGTCATTAACAACTTTTTAAAACAAAGGGTATCAGAAAACACTTTGATTTATAATCAGAAAGACCTCGAAAACTTGAGACGAATAATTTTCTATCCAGCTTTTGTAAATGTGAGTGCTATCTTGATCAGGATTTATAATGCCTTGGATCTCAGTACTGATGAAGGCATAGAGTCTCATACAAGGAGCCAGAGCAGCAAGTGTATATGCAGCAACCTTGGTCTTTTCGAAAGGAGTTGCGATTTTGTCCAGAACCGATCTTTCTCCTTCAATTTTCCCTGATGCTGTTGCAAGCAAGAAATCTGTGTATTTGGTTGTTGCAATGTCTTTAGAAATGTCCTCATTTGGGAATTCAAAACCCCATTCCTGCATAATTTTTTCATTTCATTCAAACTACTGAAACCAGAACTAACTAACAGGAATTATGAACACAAAAATGAGCTAAAACTAGCAGAGATTACAATAAACAAGTCAAATTATTGTGAACAGTTATGGGAAATATTATAATTGATGAATATCTGGTGATGAAAATGATGATTAATTATAAGGCAAAAGTATTATTAGTGACCATGATTATGGTGATTATATATAATGATGAACACCATGATTCATGCAGCTATTATTGCAGAACAACAACATTAAGCAATCCATGTGATAAGTTTTTAAAAGGAAAAATACAAAGAAATAAAAACTGATATGATGAGCTAAGCCTGAATAGACTAATTGTCCACTAATTACGGAAACAAAACAGAGTCTTAATCTTAATATACGGTTGCATTTCTGGCAAAGAAACTATAACAAAACAATTCAAAATTTTCCCTTAATTTCTGTGCAAGTTTTCTCGGCAGCCGAACAGAATCTAAGAAAACTAGCTCTGTGCCAAGCAAACATATATACATTGTAAACAAACAAGAAAACAGGGGAGGAAAGTCAACAGAGAGAGAAAGAGACGAGAATCTTTTGACTTACTCGGACAAATGTGTCGTGCATTTGAAGCCTGCCGACGGCACGTTTTCTCAAATCGCGTAAACCATTCTTGTCGTCCTCATCATCTGCACAATCTTCCGCCAATTCATATCTGAGAAAAATAAACAAAACCCATTACTCAGCTTGGGTGTATCTATCAAAATGATCAATATGGGTGTATTTATATGCTTAGGAACATACGCGAGAACGAAGGCTTTGAGAAAATGGAGGTCCTGAGAGATGAAATGGCGGAAGGTAGTTTCAGAGTGCAGAGTAGCAGAGGCTAAGCCAACGAAGAAGGGAGTGTAGAGAGAGAAAACAGAGTCGTCTCTGAACTTGAACCACAGCCGTCTGGCTAGGCCTCCTTCGTCTATGGCCATATTCCCTACCAGCTCTAGACTTCTTCTTCTTCTACATACGATTTGGGCTGAGCAGCAAGCAAAAGTATATTAATATAAACAGAGACGAGAGAGAAAGAGAGAGAGAGGGAAAAAGGGGAAAGTTTGGTGGAACTGGATTGTTTCGTTGTTGTTTGATTGTTGAAGTTTGATTTGTTTGTGTGTATTTGTGTATATATATTTATAGCTATAGCCTACAGGGGGTCTGTGTGCAGTCCAATACTGCGGGAGAAATAAGGCAATGTCTCTTGGCCGCCGGGTCAACTTAGAAACATCTTCAACATGCCCCGTGTTTGTTGGCTTCATCCCTTGCGTCATCATCTTTTTGCTACTAATATTAATTATATTTTACCCTCCTTTCTTTTCTTTCTAACATAATCCATTATGTGTGGATCATAAATTTAACGTAACTTTGGACCATATATTATATATATATAAGTGATATTGAGAGAGCGGAGAATCGAACTTAGAATTTCAGATACAAGGTTAAATGTTTTTAACCGCTTGAACTATAAACTGCTTGTTATTATACATATATATTTATTAAACCCTTAACATTTCATTTGTTTTTTTAGTTTGGCACCTTTTTAATCATGGTTCTGTTGATTGTTTGGATTTCTCATAAGTAGCTTCAAGTTTGACCAAATATATATGTAATGGTGTTCATCATAAGTTGGGCGACAAATCTAACCACAAAACCTTTTCCTCTCTTCTTTGGATACATTTGTTTTTCTTCTCAGTAAATTTGCGACCTCTTTTATAATTGGAAAGAAAAATACCACTATAATGAGGAGCTAATTAAGTGTATGACAGCATAAATATTATACGACAATACAGTAATGTGGGTCTCATTATCCGTACGGCCATAGCCCTCCATTGTATCCCAAAATCAAGGTTATAATAAGTGCTCCAATACTTCTACCCATGCGTGGCACCTTCTCCACTACACAACATTTTACAAGATGGCCATAGGACGGTAGTAGCAATGGAAGTCTTCAATTTTGGCGTTGTGACATGTTCACATGGAAATGTGGCACACTAGTACTCCTTTATAACCCACCTAAATGTTCATATAAGTTGTACAACTTGCATTTTGTATTTGATTGTCTAAAAGGATGTGTTACGACCAGTCGCATACGTCTTTTACCTAACTCTAATTATTCACAATGCATCGATGATTAGAGTCAGTACAAAATTAATCCCAACGCGTAAAGCGGCTGAGTCCAACAATGCTATAACGAGCCAATGCCGCCATGGTTCAAAATGACCACTTCCTTTATTTCATCTGCCAAAAGGCAACCGCCGAAATCAATGTGTTACGCGGTAATGTTTGGGGCCATCTGACTTTGACTTAACAGAAGGGAAAGTGGCTCAGGTTGAGGAAGAGTCGGGGTAAGAGAGACCCTAGTCATGATGAACAAACTAAATTGTTCTTTTCATTCAATTTCAACAGTTGGAGTGGATGGCAGCATCACCTTTTATTACCAACCAAGAAGCTCTCTCTTGTCGGCCTCTGACTTGGAATAGTCTATGCTCATGAACATACGTAATTATCTACTCCTTTTTTCTTTTTCTTTTTTAAAAAAATGTATTTATAATAAATATTTTAACTTTAACAATATGTTTTTATTTTTATTTTTAGAAATTTTGGAATTGCGCTTATAATTCAGTCAAAACTGACATATATTAAACGTGATGTGTTTATTTTTTGACGTTGTTGCATATATAATTCCCGAAATTTCACTCCATTTTACATGTTGAAAACTCGAAAAATATGTATAGAGATATGGTTTCATTTTCAGTTCTCTTTGTTTTCGTATTCTAAATTATGGAAAAGTCGTGGGGGAGTGGAAACTAGAGCCGTAGACGACACACTAGGATGATTAGGCTATCAAACATCAAATAAATCTCTAACAAGTAGGCATGGCTTGTAAATGATTTGGCGGATGCTGATATCATAGGATAGGATCACATCGAATTTATCAAAAATCATATTAAATACAACAATAATTAGATTGATTTCAATCATTAAGCTAATCATATCAAAACAATGCTTAATTTTGAGACTGTAATGATGTGGCTAAGTGTTGGAATTTTCTTTATTGTTGATTTCTAAGTGTGCATATGTGGGTTAGACATATTGGTCAGGACAGCGAGTCCGCTCCTTTGTACCCCAATTTTGATCTCCTTAATGTAAATGAGATTAATTTAAAGTGGTTGAAACGATCATTTGTAAAAATTAAAATATATATATATTAATTTATAAAATAAAAAAAATAAAAAAAAGAGAACACACACATTATTCTGAAAAGTCAAAACCAAAGACCATGCATTGACAATTTTACATGTAAAAATCCAAAAACAATGAGCGCAAGAAATTGGGCTAAACTGTATAGAACTTGCAATATTGGGCTGTTTGGTTGGGACCCAACCCAACAATGCTCAACTGGTGCCACACAATTATTGGACTTAGACCCAAAGAAGCAGAAGATGCCACGTGTCGGGTTGTAGAAATTTGCCCGTATTCATGGGCCATGATGCAGAGTCACAACAACATACCAGAATGTAGCAAGTAGCAAGTGCCAATCTCTCTCTCTCTCTCTCTCTCTCTCTCTCTCTCTCTTCAGTATATCCATCCACCAATCCTTTGAAAAGCTGAGAACGTACTGAGAGTGAATGGCTGTCCTTGTTACACACCACTCTATCCCCAAACCACAATTATACTCTCCTTTTTAACACTCTTTGAGTCTTTAGTATATCTTCTTCTCTTTCTCTCTTTCTCTCTCTTTCTGTGCTTGTACAATGGCAACCCTGCAGTCACTTGCATTCTCCTCTCCAGTCTCACACTGTCTGCAGCAACCACGCCTTCATTCTGGTACTCTTTGTGGCTTCTTTTCTGCATGTGGTGTTGTTTAATTTCAAGCAGTACACTTTACTGTGGTGAATGGTTTGATTTTTTGTGTCATAATTTGACTTGGTGCATTGAGGTTTCTGGGTTATGCTTTTGGGAAATTATAGATGAAGGGACACTAAAAGCGTTATTGGGTTTATCTTGCTACTTTTTTGTATGTTTTCATAAACCAAATTTATGTTGCTAAACCATTCAGTTCAAACGAAATTACTAAATACGTACTCAGTTCTGTGTTTTCTATATATAAGCTCAACATTTGAATTCAGGTGTGTCATCTCCACCTTTCCCAAACCCCAGAGACCATTAGGGCTCCTCAAGTACTTAATGAGAGAGAATTATTGATAAAAGTTAAAACTGAGACATGGATTATGAAACATAGCCATAATACTAGTAGATGATATGTGTTCTGATTGTGTAGGCTTGTTATCTTGGGCTGTCTATAGAAGTGCAAAGTCCACGTTCAATGGTCAGTCTTTGCACGTGTCTCGTCCCCAATGGGCGCCAATAAGACGGTGTACTCAAGCATCTAGATCTATTACAATGATGGTCAAACCAAAAATTCAGTTTATCCAAGGAACTGATGAACAGACAATACCAGATGTGAGGCTAACTAAATCAAAAGATGGTACAAATGGCGTGGCTATATTCAAGTTTGAGCAACCTTCCGTTTTTGACTCCTCTGGTGAATTTGGTGACATCACTGGATTTTACATGATTGATGAAGAAGGTGTTCTTCAATCAGTTGATGTCAATGCCAAATTTGTCAATGGAAAGCCTGCAGGAATTGAAGCAAAGTATACTATGCGGACTCCGAGAGATTGGGATAGATTCATGAGATTCATGGAACGCTATGCTAATGATAATGGCTTGCAATTCATCAAAAAATGAGGCAATGTATATCCTTATCTGTTGTCTTTCTCCTCCCTGTCATCTTGTCCATGTTGGCTTTCTTCAAAGTCAAATGAAACTCGGGAATCTTATTAGTCCACGCATGTAGTTTAATGCAAGTACAGCGTGGTCCTTCAGATTCAACCAATTTTTCTGTTCTTATTGAGATTTATGTCAGTATTATGTATTTTGAGTTATAGAGGTGAGAAAGATTGTGTTTCAAAGCCTTATTTCTTTTAATTACTCCGTTGTGATTAGAAGAAATGATACGATGGTGACAGATTAAACAATTTAGTCTATGAAGGTGCAGACTTGTTAAGGCATTGATAACCTTGTAAGTTTGTATCTATATCTGCCTCGGATTTCATATTGTATTGGAAATTTCTTAACATGTTCTGCTCAATTGAGGACATAGGTGATAGAAAACAGGATCAGTATACTAGATAATGAGATTTATAAATGTAAATTCTTTTGACTAAAAGGAGGGTAACATGAATCTTTATCACTGCAGAAACATTTTGAGTAGAAAAAGTTCATAGTCCAAAGACTCCAAGCAGCATAGAAGACTAGTAGTTAATACAATAATAGCCTCTGCCTTTATCAGATGATAAAAGGGCATAGCTTGTATCTCTCGAGTTTTATACCCCACAAAGCCAGGATAAATATTCAACCTTAAATCTCATAAATGTGAATCCAATGAGTCAATAACAATGGATTTTTTGATTTCTAGAGTTGAGCTACCATGACCACTCTGGTGCCATGATTGCAATCAGCCCCGTTACTTCCAAGTCACCGAGAACGGGCTTTTAACCCTGTGCAAGCTATTCTTAGAATTGACCCATGTCAACTGCCCTTGTGCAAAGCTCATTTTTGCTGTTCCTGCTCTCTTCCTTGATATAAACCATACCCTGTAACTCAAACTCTGATTGATGTCTGTGAATATTAACCTTTGAGGCTTAACTTTTACTTTAACTTCCTTAGGCGCCATTAGTTCCAGCGAGTAAATGGAATTAGGACTTCCCACATTTGTTACTCGTCGTTTGATCATTTTACTTCTCATGCCATGTTTGAAAGTTACTGAAATGGAGGGGTAATTGAGGTTGAAACCCTTGTTCATCTGCAGGATTTCACGGCAGCTAACGTTCCTGTGAGTGATAGTTAGAATTTCTGATTTTGTGTATCCAAGACTGCATAAATGAGTGACATACTCCTCTGGCCTGATGTCATAAATCAACCCCGGGTCAATGGCTCTTTCAGGGTTTACATGTCCAGCACCAATTGCAAAAACTCCGGCTCGTTTGTCTCCATCCATTATCGGTTTTCCTGAATGATCAGTTACCTCAGCAGTTGTCATAACAGCAGATTTAATTGCCGCAGGGCTCCATTTGGGATGAGCTGAGCGTAGAAGAGCAGCAATTCCACTGGCATGAGGACAGGCCATGGAAGTCCCCGACATGATAGTGAAATTTCCTCTCCTAGAATCTTCTGGAAGGCCAGAGGGACCTAAGTTTTGAGGCCAAGCAGCAATGATGTTGACCCCTGGGGCAATCACATCTGGTTTGAGGATTGAAGGGTTAGAATAACTCGGTCCTCTAGCTGAGAACTGAGCTACTGCTGGTGCCCTGGATTTTCCTATAACTGTGCCTCCAAATACAATTCTAGCCGTTGGTCTCCTTGTTGAGTTTATGTAAGCCTTCAAGTGAACTGACTCTTTGAAGCCAATCAGAGTTGCAGGCAAGACGTGGACATCAACAGAGTTCTCCTCTAGGTTTATCTCTGTATTTGCCAAAATCATTGCAGCTCCTCCAGCTTCCTTCACCACTTCACCTTTCTCCGCCCTTCCATTGACACCTCGGTCACAAACCACTATTTTGCCGCGGACTATTGCTCTTGGGAGAGACCCTCTGAAGCAATATTCACTTCCACTATTCTCACCGGTCACATAAACCAGTTCAAGCGCTTTCCCAGCTCTCATAAGATGGTTTCCTGGGTACATGGATTCTCCATAGAGGTATTTTCCATTCCCCATTTGAACTATGCCGGGAAAACTTCGGTCTAGTGTGCTGGCACCAATGGTAGCAATCCAAGGAGCTTCATTGGCAACTGAGCTTTGAATTGGACCACCGTTGCCTGCTGCACATACAACTGAAATTCCATGCTCCACTGCACGAAAACTGCCAATTGCAATGCTGTCATCAAAAAGTGGAATGGGGAAGCCACCTAGAGAGAGGGAGAGAATGTCTACTCCATCTCTAATTGCAACATCCATTGCAGCAAGGATATCAGAGCTATAACATCCATTAAGCCAGCAGACTTTGTACACTGCTACATGTGCTCCGGGAGCCATTCCTCGAGCCACACCAGCTGCATTGCCAAAAACACTTGCCATTCCGACAGAAGCACCCCCAGCTGTTGATGATGTATGTGTTCCATGCCCATGGGAGTCACGCGGTGACACATACTCATGACCAGCATCTGGTGAGTATGATGACACTGAAGCTACGCGATGACCTTCAGTGAAGAACCTGGCACCAATGAGTTTCTTGTTACAATTCGAAGAATTGAAGTTTTGCCCTTCTTGGCAAATCCCTCTCCACTTTCTGGGAACTGGTGGCATCCCACGATCGTTGAAGCTTGGACTCTCGGGCCAAACTCCTGTATCAAGCACCCCAATGATCGTACCTCGACCAAATGCAGACTTGTGCCAAGCACCATTACTTGAAGCAGTGTTAAGCCCCAAGAACTTGTATGAATAAGTTGTGTGGATTTGGAGGCGGTGGTCAGGCCTAATTGCAATGACATCAGGCAGCATTTGCAAGGACTCAAGCTCAGATTCAGACAGCTGAGCAGCAAAGCCTTCCATGGCAGAATGGTAAGAGTAGAGAAGCCGAGAAGAAGCGTCTTCTTCAGATGACATGGTTTGTTGAAGAAATGAGAGATGCCAACTAGGCTTAGTAGCAAAAGAAGAGCTGGTCACACCTTGTGGGTGGAGCTGAACAATGTAAGTCTGGAGAGTGTTTGCATGAAGGCAAACCGAGCAAAGGAAGAGAACGGAAACGAAAAGATGGGTTTTGAAATCCATGGTAGAAAGTTAAGATGACAACAATGGAGCTTAGGCTGCAAATGTGCATGATTTGGAGGAAGAAGTCTAGGGTATTTGAAGGAGTTGGGGAGATGAGATCAATTAAGAACAGGGTTTTGGGTTTGGGAAGCATTTTCTCTCTGAGCGCTGAGAGAGAGCTCTGAGTTGAAATACAAAACTCGTGAAATTTAAGAGCTCTACATCACGAGGATCCTTGGTAGTGCTGAAGAGCTTGAGCTAAAGCTTTCACGGGAATTTATGGTTAAGCTTTAATTCATTTACTACCAAAGGCAGTTATGTTTTAAAAAAAATTCTATGAATCTTCGTTTCTCAATTTGGTGTTTGAATTTCACTTGGCTTTAAGTTGTACTAAACTAAAGAGCATAGATGTTGGCATCATTAAATGCTGATCTCTATCTCGTGCTGCTCTGCATTTATCCACACGCTCTCTCTCTCTCTCTCTCTCTCTCTCTCTCTCTGGATTTGCTCTCCAAGGCTCCCTCCGCCGCATGCAGCTTGTGCATTACTGCCACCCTATTTTTACGAAAAAAATTTGACGCCATCACGTCACATTGTGTTAGTAATTCACTGGTTATAATATAATTTATGGGTACGTAATGGATTTATAAAGTTATACTATAGAGTAAAATGATAACATTACGTAACAGATGGTGGTGCTGAAAATATTCTCTTAATTCTTACAATTTTCATTGTCAAATTAAACAAACAAAATGCTCCTTATGACCCTTTTTTAAGTCAAAAAGAAATTACAATGAGGATTGACGTATCAAATTACTTTACATGAAACATAGAAGGGAAGATTGAAAAACCAAATCGCAGTATTAGAGAAAGAGTGTCGGAAGCGAATTTGGGACCATATTTGGGTGTTACAATACGAACATATTCTCAGCAAATTTTAAAATTTTTTTTTAAATATCACCAAAGAGTTGCATGTGATGAACATAAAAATAAATTACTTAACTAAGTTGGAGTGATTAACTCTAATTTGTAGTTTGTCTATCATACTAATGGACCGTTGCATTCAAACGATACTAACTCGATTATCATATTGAAATTAAATTACCGTTTATATATAAATTGGGATCAAAATCGAATTAAGAGTGGCCCAATCAAAAGGCCCAAACTCAATTTTAGCGGCAAAATTGTCGGGGAAAGAACATGAGTCGTATAAAAGGAATGTTTTTGAATATATACACACAGAAGGCAGAAACCTAATAAGAAAGTTGCTGCTAGAGCTGTGTGGCTTGCATCAAACTGAGGAATGCCCTAAGAAAGCCAGACAAAATTATCATTGTTTTTCATGTAAGCGGGAGAAGCTGCCCTTCGGACCAAAACTCAAAGAAATTTTTGGGACTTGAAGAAGATGGAGTTTGCATGCATAGAATAGAACAGAGAAATATAAATTCTGAAAGAGATGATGGGTTTGGTTTTGTTTGTCAATGTTGAACATCCTTAGCTTTGTAGCAGCTTAACTTTGGTAAAACCTGTGTTAAACATCTCTTCATACTCAGCTCTTTTCACAGTTGTTTTCAATTTCTTTACAGTCAATTGAATCATATATGGAAAGGGTAAATAAAGTTATACACAATTTGGTAAAATCTGTGATCCTAAAAAGTCGCTCAACTTTGGTAAAGATAACAGATTTGCTAAGTTTTGTGCAGAAGATTAAGCTTACGGTATCACAGCTCTCCTGTAACAGATAAAATGAACTGTATGTGGGCAACATCATACTTGAATTTAGTTCGTATGATAACATAAAGGGCTAATAATTACTCATTTTTATTTCCTGTAAGATAATAAGAACATCAAAGCTTGGCGAGACTACATCACAAAGAATAACTACCAAAAATTACACAATGCAGAAAGTATAAATATCAGTATAGGAAAAATGCACTAGAAGCAGAAACTATTTGTATGTTTTGGATTTGAACAAGAATGTGGGTCTCTGGATATCTTGATGGTGAGTTCTGTGATGAGTGTTCATGACAAGGAACCAGCAAGAGCCCATACCTGCCCGAACACAATGCAGGAAGGCACATAGGCTAATCTGTTGTCTTCATGCATTAGCCATTGGTGGAATGGATTCCTTATTGCTGTGCTGTTACCTACCTGAAGATTGATGTTGTCGTTGTTCATTATGCCAAGAATTTTTTGCAGCTTCAGCAGATGTCCCACCAGAATCTCCCTCGCCATCCTTTGGCTTCGAGAAGAAAGGATCCCATTCATGAGGTCCTACCTCACGTTGCCCCTCCTCCAACAAAGCATACTTCCAACTGTTTTCCTCAATAAAGTTATCATCTGTACGACCTTCAAGGATGTCCATCCTCAACTTCGTAACTTTGTTAATAATTGCTTGTACAGAAACATCAAAGGCATCTTTAAAAATCCCCAACTTAGAGCGCGGATCAGCATATACCAGACTTGGAATAAGTTTAATAACTTCCTCCCTCATTTTCTTCACCTGCTCAGGAGGAATTCTTCTTAGCGTTTCCTCAATGCTAACGTTCCTCTTACGAATGTCATTTTCTGGGATGAACACTGAATACTTTGTATAATCTTTTGGGAGATGCCAAGTATATTGTGTGTATGCTGACCCAGGATGGAAGAAGACAGGTATACAACCAGCCAACATTGAATCGAAAGCAGATCTCCGTGTGTACGAATCGCCCTGTGGTTGCAGGCAGAAAAGGGAGCTCTGAAACATCTGCATTATACTGCTTGGAGAATGACACTTGCTTTCCCCAAAATCACACTCCAACAGCTTGCCAACCTTTGAATTCCTGCATTGATCAATGATCTGCCCCCTAATCGACTTGGGATTGCCAGGACGTGGGGCACCAGCAAAAGAGAAAAGCCAATCACGCTTTAATCTTCTCATGCGCTCCTGCCAGATGAAAACATCAGCATCTTTAGCTGGATGGAAGTATGTGGGATATGGAATACCAAAATCATTAGCATTCCATGGGCTAGATTCGACCACAAGCATGGACATATTCTTAGCAGCTGGTAAAAAGAGAAGCTTGTTACCCCAATCTGAATCTTCCTCTGAGAGTCTCCTAAAATCCCATGTTATCCTTCCTGCAACAAGAAAATGGTCTTTGCCACCCATAATGCCCCATTCTGGCCTCTTCATAAGCCAATCAACCAGATCGAGTGAAGCCGCATCCCTCCTTGATATATTGAATCCCCAAAGGTACCGGGCAATGTCAAACCCGGCGTAAAAGGGAACAAATATAGCTGCTGCGACAGATGAATCATTTGTCAAGCACTCATATTGCTTCATCCGATTGGTAAATATGACATCCACGGCAAACTGATTCGTGGCATACCAACCCGTATCCCCAAACACCCCCTCAGCATTCTCAAGTGGAGGACCAAGTCCAGCATTAGTTGTGAACTTGCACATGTTTGTCCAAAGGCTTAAACTCCTACACTCCTTCAGCATATCCTCATTAAACCTCGGGGGAAGGTCATGCACATAAATATATCTCCCACCACATGGATCATTCTTGTTTTCAGCAGTTCTCAATGCTTTCATGAACGGATATTTCTCCGCTTCATGAATCTGGATGGCTTTTGCAGGGGACTCAACGGTAGGGGTTGATTCCGTGTTTTGGTTGTCCACCTGATGATCATCGGTTACACGGGTAGGTGCCAATACAGTGTTTTGGTTGTCCATCTGATGATCACTGGTTACATGGATAGGTTTCGATTCAGTGTTTTGGTTTTCTATCTGAGGATCACTAGTTACACGAGTAGGCTTCAATTCTGTGTAAACAGGACCGGCTTGTAACTGTAATTTGACAGATTGATCTACGGTACTACCTCCAAGCACAACAAAATGGAAGTACAACAGTAACATCCAGAAGAACACAGACAATGAGGCCAAGAAACAGATTCTTGTATTCTGACTCTTTCCTGTCCCCTTCTCCATTTGCTCGGATGGTACACTGGTCGGAGAGCGGCGTCTCATTGGATTCAAACTCCAATCAATCAAGCAAGCATCGAATTCCCATTCGAATTGAAATCCCGAATCCCCTCAATCAATCACCAAATTCACACACAAAACCCAAATCCCAAATCAACTCAATCAATCACCAAATTCACACACAAATCCAAATGCAGAACCCTCCACCCCAATACTTACACCAACAAGACTATACCAAAACAAAAACCCTGACCCTTTTTCTTAACACACAAATGTGAGCTTATATTCAGCTCCCAAATACAAAAGAAAGATTCTTTTTTTCTGTTTTCACAGCTACAACTGAAATAGAGATTTCAGGAACAAATATTTAGCTACAGATGTACCTGGACTAACTAAAATTGACCAAATCTAGAAGAACCCAGATTTGAATTCCACAAATCAGGAGGAATGACCGAGTTGGTTCCATCTAAAAAATTTAAAAAAAAAAAAAAAAAAAAAAAAAAAAAAAAAAAAAAAAAAAAAAAAATCAGAGTTGTACAGGTTGGTGTTAAAGATACAAAATTGACAAACTTTTAAACATGAAAAAGAGAAAGTCGAAGAAAGGAATGCCAACTAGTGAATTAAGAGAAAGAGACTTACAGAGGTTTTGATTTGCCGAGAAAGATCGAGAATTTTATGCAACTTTGTGCTGAGGCAGAGAGAGAGAGAGAGAGAGAGAGAGAGGCAGAGAGAAATGAGAGTATAATATGACTATGAGCTCGCAAGTCGGAGAGTCCAGATATGAAAGGTGGCGCACGTTAGCAGCGTAAGCCGGGTGTTGTGTCGTGTCGGTAGCGGGTAGGATTTCGCCGCGTGGCATGATGGGAAAGACGTGTCGCGTTGAGGAAGATGATGTCATTCCTCGTCCCTCAAATTGCGTTGCATGAAGTTGAAAATCCCACGCTTTTTTTTGGCACCTTCAAATCCAACTCTTTTTTTATTATAATAAAACTCTTTTTTGGTTGAGTGGGAAATGTTAATTTGGACACGTGGAGGTCAGTGAGTGGGTGGAACAGGCGAGTCTCAAAATGATAGGGTGTGAAAGAGGAGAGGAGACTTATACGAAGATGGTAACCACAAATGACACTAAGAATACATGGAATCTTGTCATTCTTGATGATGATGAATAAGAAAATTTTAGAAAAAAATCAATGTTTCCGAATTTGATATTTTAGGCCCCATCATAAATTCATAATTGCAAGAGCTACTTTATTCTTATTAGCAAAGGAATTTTGAACAATCATCTCATTTGCTAATCATAGTTGATTTCCAATAAGGAAAATGACATAAAACGTGTCTGTCAATACCTATTGATTTGGAGAGAGAGAGAAAGAGCAACCAATGGAAAATGAAATTGGGTAGCGTACATTTTGGTGTGATTTCATCTAGTCAGCTTTTGTAATGGTTAAAAACGCATTATGACTCATAAAAGTGCTTTATAAAGAAGAATATATTATGTTTCTTCATAGAGTACTTGACATTTTAATAAAATATTTGACGTGTTTCTAGTAAAAATGTCTATAAAGAGAGCACTTATGAGTATTTGGTAAAAATAAAATAATAAAATAAAAATACTTATGGTGAGTACAAGTGCTTATTACAAAAGTAGTTTCAAACCAAGTTCTTAATCTACAATCTATCAGATTGTTTGCAAAACTCGACTTCCAAGTGAAGAGAGAGTGATGTAGCGAAGATGGCGCTGTCTCGAGGCTTGGAATCATGGAACCATGGTTGTCCCAAACAACCCTTTTTCTCCTGCATCTGCATGTGACTGACTGGTGACTGGTGACTGGGAGGGACAGGATCCATCTAATGAGGAAGCTTAATTGGATTTTCTTAAGCAAATCATGGCATTACTCTCTATCCCCACACTGCTCCTGCCCAATCAAGGAAAAGGCTCATGCATGGTAAATTTCCACTTTGCCCTAAAAATATCTGTTTTATTTACTGCCTTCTTTACTCTAATGATTTTTAGATGCTCAACACAAGTAGGGTTTATACATATATATTCTTTATAAAACAAAAACAAAAAATCTATGATTGCATTCATAATTTAGTTAAAAAAGTCATTAGTCACAAAGAGTCCATACAAACTAGCCATAAAAGGGTCATTACAATAACGGAGCGGTCTAACATCAAAATTAAGACAATCTGGTGCACTTCCACTAATTACACAAGATCGAATAAACTTTGGCATAGACATCCCAACTAAGATTGCAAATTTTAAAAAATCAAAAAGAGATAAAACTTGAAAAAAAAACTAAGTCATAACAATACAAATAAAACTCTCACAAATGAGAAATGAAAAGCTCTCACAAAGGAGATGTGAAAAGTTTTAACAAAATAAAATGCGAAAACTACACAGGAAACCTAAAGAGTCACTGCAACTTATTCTAAATATAAAGAAACCACAAAAAAATGGTGGTGAAAATCCGACGCTGAAACATAGGTGGAGATCCGACGTTGAGACCCAGCCATCTGTGATGTTTGAATGAAAATCATAACAAAACGAAAACAAATAGGGAAAATCATTTGTCTCTGAAAATAAGGGAAGAGGTGAAGGGAGGAAGAAAAGAGGGGGGAGGGGAGGAAGAACACTGACTTCCTCCCTCTCAAAGTGAAAACAACTCTATGAGTGTTTTTTTAGAAAAAAGGGCTTGGGGTTTTTCTAGAAAAGTCACATAGGCAATGTGGTTAGGTGATTACTTTCTGTTTTCTTGCTTATTATACATATATGTTTCATTTTTAGCAATGAACATGGTGACATTGGTCTAGGGAAGCACAATTATTGGGAGCTGCGAAAGGGTAAAGGAATTCACAATTATGACAATGATACCAACAAATAATTAAACAACTTTTTCTAATTTGTTTGGTCATTGAACATGATTTTAATTCGAACTCGAATTCAATTGGTAATAAAATTATCTTTCGTCACCTAATTAATTACTTTGTTAAAGGTGGAATATCCTTTTAATCATACCATCATAACCCATAAGCATGATTCTCCATTTCTACTATAAATTAATCACATAATTAAATTGTTATAGGCCTAAGATACAAGGACTAGTGGTGGAGCACAATTTTTCTCACCAGAGACGAGAAAAGGACTGCTGGGTTGAAGTGACAAAATGTGCTTCATACATACAATAAAATTATTCTCCTTTGTCCTCAAGTGTATATGTAGGTAGGTGGTGAGGTCCATTATTTATTTATTCAAGCAGCCATAGGCTAGCGTTAAGCCTGCAATTACATCACAGCATGTAAGGAAGCTCTTGTCTACTTTGTGCTGGAGGTTGGGCATCATAATTTTAATATGCATGAGAGAGTGGGCAACCACTATACATCTCTGTGAGTCTAACCACACAACACAAGGGATCTTTGTGTCCTGTTTGTGATCATCTTCATGGATCTAAAGATCTGGACCAGGGAGAGAGAGAGAACACAAGTTTCTTTTCTAGAGCTCAAATCTTGCCAAGTGATCCACTTACATTACATAGATAAATGATCTCATATGAGTTTTACTTAACGTTTACGAAAGTTTTCTTATACTATTATAAGAGAAGAGATAAGACTCACTTACATTTGTAGATAAGTGATCCCATCCCACTTGAGTTTCACATAACATTTATGAAACTTTCTTGTACTATTACAAGGGAAGAAATGATACTCACTTACATATGGTATGGGAGCTTCACGTAGCGTTTACGAAAATTTATTAAAAAGAGAAGAGATGAGACCCACTTACATGGATAGGTAACCCATGTAACAGAAGTTTCGTATGTTGTTATATATGTAACAAAAACCTCGTCTTCCTTTTTGGATAGACTAATCTCTATTAACTCAGAAAAAACTTGGTTGTAACGAGGATAGCTTTTTTACTTAGCGTTATTGGCTAAGTTGATGTTTGGATAAGTTCCACTTCACAAAAAAGTTAGCATACAAATCCCAATTTCATGGACATAAAATGAAAGGAACAAGATGAATGGGAAAAATACATACAAAAACATGGGACAAGACCCTATCTGCTGCTTCGAAGCAGATGGGCTTTCCTCTTTCTTTCTCCTTCTCCTTCTCTTCATCTTGTTTCTTCTTAAAGACTTGCCCAACTTCACGTCTCCAAAGAACAAGTGAACTCCTGGATCCTTCATTTTCACACAACTCCCATCCAGAAACGAATTGTTAGCTCCCTGAACATTGCTGTTTATGTAAATGTTGATGCAGCAACAATCACCGGAGTGCGTTTCAGCTCCAGAGCCCGGCTGTATGAAAAATGCTGCCCCGGTGTTCTTTCCTTCTAAGTTGATGCGTTCAAAGAAGTCATCATGGCCTGCATTTGGCTCCATAATGTGTCTGATGAGTCAATTTGGCTCCATCAAGATTTTCTTCAGACTATAGTTCCAAATCATGCTTCTTGCTTCCTTGCTTGCATTATGAGTTTGGCATAAAGACTTTCCAAGAAAAGCAAATATTCTTGTTGAATGACGACTTTAAGCAAAACTAGAATTTTAAGGAGCAAATTGTATTTGCTTCCTCAGTTAGAAATAGTGCTGCAGATCCAAAAAATATCAGAAATAAAACTCTTAAGAAGTTGGATTATAATGCATTTCCATCTCAGAAGTTGGTCGTCGTTTTTTTTTCTTCTTTTCCTTTTCTGATAATATTATTTTCTTGTTTTATTATGCATGGAGTGTTTTTGATATCATCAGGATGCAAAGAAAACTATAAAATATAGAATGGTTTGCACTGCTGAAAATAGAATCTATCAATTTAATTTATAAAGGGTAGAATTAAAGCCAACAAAACTCCATCATTTTCCCATCCCACTACTACAAGGATATTAAGCCAAAAAGATAATAAGATACATCAAATTCCCTTCATGGCTCAGGGCTTATGAACAAGTAAAAAAGATGCCAAATATCTTGAAATTACAAATGGTCGAAATTCAGTAAAATGTTACAGATATGAAAATCATAAAAGCATAACTCTCCATATCTTTTATTGCTTCCTACTTTTTCTCAAAAGAAGCAACCTCCTCTGAAAACCTGTGATTACCAAGAATATAATCATCAGCAACCCCCAAAAGCCCATGTAGATCATCAGAATGGGCGCAAATTTGAAATAGAATGGGTGTCGACCTTCACATTATTAATACATTTATTCTAAATGCCACCAGTGTGGGAAAAGGGAAACAAGAAAAAAAAATATATATATATGAAACAGAAGTCTTGCACCTCAAACCTGATTCAAAGTTTCCAAGTGGGTTGCACTCCTGGACTTAAAAAGCATTTGAGAATTAAAAAGCCTAAGAGACTCATGGCCAAGCATCTGGAGACACTCTTTCACTGACTGTAGAACCATAATTCGGGCCACCCTTGCGATATTGGATAAGAAACTCAACAGGGTAACCCTTCAGCTTATGGGGCACAAGTCCAAGATCACTGAAAGTCAAAGCTACAAAGTCCACCACAAAATTAAGGAAAATGAGAAAACTAACCAATCATAGACAAGAAAATGATGAAAAAAGAAAAAAAAACACGGGGAAGAAGGAACTACGCGCCTCATCCTAAAAATTATTGAACTTACAATTTTCTGAGACGACTGTATCTGTAGCTTGGGCAAGGATTTGATCTCGGTTGAAGATTTCAGGATTAGGTAATGGAAATGGAACTTTGTTTAGTAATATTTCTCGAGGCGCTGCAATTGCCTGGAACATTCAAATTCATAAACAGTTGAGGTTCAAGTAAACATTATTGGAAAAGGCATACATAGGCATGCAGTTAGCTCGTCTGGCATGCAACTAGGACTGGGAGACCAGGCACTGATATGGTTATAAATATATCCACGAGACATGATAATGGAAAGAAAATGTTGAAGACACGCCATTACACTTTCTATTTTTTGTTGGGGGTTGGGGTTTGGTACTAGTTGCTATCATTCACTCTTGGCATCCATACACATTTGCATCGTTACATGTTTACCTTTGCAATTGGGAGAGGAACCTTCACGTAGTGAGGCCATTCACGTATTGTCTCAAACATTAGCTCTGCCTGCAGTTTTTAGGTTCTTAGCAAGAGAAAATTCCACATTGATGCAACAAATTCACATAAACAGATGAGAAAATAGTAATTACCAATTGATGCACTGTAAAGACCTCAGGCCCACCAAGTTCATAAACTTTTCCCATGCTGGTGCCATCATCTTTCAAGGCTGCCACGATTGCCCCAGCAACATCAACAACATATACAGGTTGGATTCTGCGTGGAAGGTATTACAAGCAAAATATCCAACGAGGGTTTAGAAAAAGGCATGCAAGTGCACGATCAACGTTGTTATTTTACACTAATTTAAATTTTAAATTTAACTAACTTCCAATTGATATATTGAAGACATACTTGGTAGATCCATCCCCAATAAGTGGAAGAAAGCCATATTTCTTCGCAAAAAAGGCCCAGCGATTCAAAATTCGGTCCTCCGTACCAATCAACACAGCAGGTCTCAAAACAGTGGCCTATTCATGAAAGTGAGTGTTAGACGCTATGCTCCTGAAATAAACATATCAACATACAAGAAACCAAAGAAAATGATTCTACCTCTGGCAATTCACGTAATACTGCTTCCTCTGCAGCAGCTTTAGCCCTTAGAAATCTGGAGGGTGATGAGGAAGATGCCCCTAAGCAAGACACTTGAATAAATCTCATGATACCACCATGTTCCTTGGAAATCTGCATAAAAATAAAATATTGAAGTAAAAAAACAGTAGATGCATTACTACCAAATGAAAGAGGGGGAGAGATCCCACAAGACCCTTCTATAACTATCTTGAAAGAAAAGTTCAAATGCAGGCTTTACAGCAGCATCTCAGACTGCAGCTTGTTAGAGAAGATCATTATACACAAAATATTGTCACTGAGACAAAATAATTTTGACTAGAAACACTTTTTTACTCCCATTTTTGTTAAGTTTGATGCTTTGTGAAACCAATTTTTAAGAGAAGCAGATGGCACTAGGATCAGAAGCAGCATAAGAATGACAAATAATGTTGTGAATGTCAATGCAGGATGCCTACCGTTGCCAGTTGTTCGGCCATGGAATGATTCACTTCCTCAAAGCTAAAGTTTCTTGTCTCATAATCCCTCCCTGCCAAGCTACAAAGTGTTCCTTCATTGATTCCAAAGATTTAAATATCTTTAACATGTAAAATTACAATTGAAGAATTTATACCAATGAGATTGATAACCACATTAGCTTTCGCCATGACTGCCTTAATTGAATCTTCATCTCTCGGATTGTATTTCATAGGTACTATCTGTGTATGTGAAATGTGAGAAAATCAGCAACATGATAGATTGAAGAATGGAGAACAAATGCATTGCCGGTCAAGAAAGAATGTTTAACTATGTGAAACAACACAGGTTACCCTACCTGTCCCAAATCCCCCATCAACTTCAGATGACGATGGGAATCCTCAGAACCACGGAAAGGAACTAACACCTGACTTCCCATTTTGGCTGGCAGTGAAGTAAAGAGTCAGCACACACATGCATGAAAAATACTATAAACACTTTTCTATCTGTCTTTTTTAAGGATAAAAGATTTAAAACGTATTTTCACAGATCAATTTCAGTCCAACAATCTCCTACTAGAAATGTTCTCAATGAAAACAAGCACAATCGAAATAAATGCATGCAGGTAACAATGCCACCAATTAAAAGCATTTATATACAGTTAGCTCACCAAGTTGTTGTACAAGATAACGACCAAGGAACCCTGTAGATCCAAAAACTGCAGCAACAATGCCACTGAAAAAAGACAGATTATTTTCCAAACATGTAAACAACAGAATTATGGGACAACGTAAAATTGCAAGCCCAATCCCTCTGAAGTGTCTAAATTCGCAAAGTGAATAATTTCACCTAAAACACATTATTCAATGAGACCAACATAATGTTTACTTTCTAGATATGAAACACAATGGGAAGAAATACATCAACAGATTCAAAATCTATGTTGTCTAGGTTTTCTTTTACTAATTTTTTAATTCAGAAACGAGAAGCTTGACTCATCTGTATAGTTAAACCATTAATAGGACATTATGTTCACCTGGCGCAATCGTAAAACATTTTTCTCACAAGACTTGAGCTGGTAGTTAGATTCTTAGAAGTTACATTCCATTTCCAATGAAAATTTTAGTTACTAATGCAAATGTAAGAGATAAAAAACTATCCTGTCCTAATAGAGTAAAATCAATTTCTGACAAAAAGTTTGAACTTTTCCTACATTTTGCCAGAAAACAGAAGGAGCAACAACAATCTAACCCTTTCACTCTTTAAATTTTCTACCTTTTCCAGACTGAAAAATGCGTAACTAGAAATGATAAATTGGAGTGTTACCTAACAGATGATCTTCCACCTGTGCCCTTGCGCACAAGGTGCCCCACTCCCTTAGTGGCGAGGGTAGATCCGTACTTCGGACGATCAGCTCCATAATCTACAAAATTGACAAATTGAAACATTAACGTCACGAACTTAGGAGAATCAAACCCTAAGAAATGAAGAGGAAATGGGGGATTACAGTGATCGGAAACAGGGTAGATTGACTTGAGCGACGAGATTGAAGACGAGGGAGTCAGGTATTGGTGCCCGACACGCTTCGAAATGGCCTGCATCGCTGCTCAGCTGCAGTTTTCAGAGAGAACAAGAGAGAAGAACCTGAGCGAAAGAACAAGGACTAGGTGAAGAAGATGGAGTTGGTGCTGATTTGGGCATATGCTATTGCTTTGTGATGCTGTAAGCTTTGTTTTTGGGCCCAATTTACATGAGAGCATGATTGGGCCTATAGGATACAAATTGGGCTCTACAAATGACCCACTTGTTTGAAAAGAGATGTTTTTTTCCAGATAATCAAGGGACATTATTGCCCTTATGATGACAAATCTTGATTTGTTTGGCCAAATTTTTGGTTTATGTAATTTGAGTCAAATTCCAGTTTAGGTCAGCAAGCTACAGTGGCAAATTTTCCAAAATTGAAATTAAATGGAGTAAAGTATAGTTTAGGGACCAAAGTGAAATTTGGCCAAACTAGAAATCAGGGTAATGCTTGTGAAAACCGTTTTCTTGTTAAACAATTTAACATGTTAGATTATCAGACTGTAAATGTGAACAGTTGATTGAACTGAGTGTATGATAGTTTGACGACTTAACATGATCACCAACTTGATCATGTTAAAACAGTCTTTAATTTGAACACGTAATTAATTTATGATGAGATCCTGATCCTTTGGTGGCTGTTTGAAAGTAATTTTATAGGTCAAGGATCATGAGCAAAATACCTGATATATTTTCTATCCGCCCGATTGTTTAATTTTCTACAGAATCATGCATGAGCATGGTCGTAGTGTCATAAACCAGAACAGAGTTTATATGCAAGTTTTCAATTTTCGAGTGAAATCCATTCAGTGCCAAAGGAAACAGGGACAAAATGTGGAATTATGATATTCTTGCACCAGGGTCTAAACATTCTGCTGTGGAATAAAACATAGACTCATTTCAGACCAAAAACATTGACTAATCCAGCTGCACCTATTGCCTAACTAAATAAATAGGCCTACTCCTTCAACTAGAGACTACATTATTCAACATGATTAAACACAAATATACCCCCCATCTCTGCCTCTTGTAATTTATTACGACTCTCACCATCCCAACTTATTTGTCTAAGTACACTGACCGTGAAAGAATTCCCCGATTTGGCTTGGGGGATGAATTAACCCATAATCACTGTAAATTAGAAACAATTTTCCTCCAATCGGGTTTTGGAATGATAACATGACATGCACCTTTATCCTTCCCATTATCTTTCAACTTCCCGAATGCAGCAGCAGCCGCAACAAACTTGGTGGCATCAACTGTCTCATTTTGTAATCATCTGCTCTTGCTGTTGCCTTTGAATCAAAGGTTCTTAGCCATGACATTGGAATCAAAAATCTGGTATGCCACTAGACCTTGATGAATATTCTGTTACCAATTTTAGAAACATGGATGATTTATCTTCTAATAGCCTTGTAGGAGTATCAAACTCTGCAACTCGACCTGCAAAAACATCCAATATGGTGTTTAAAACCTCCCCCCTAAGCACCAAAGAATAAACTTTCTCAAGGAAATGCAGAATCATGTCACCAGAATATCCAGTTAATGAGCACTTGCAATACATGAATAACTTACTGAAGTTAAGTGCCTCACTAGTGCACATAAAGATTCAATATCTTGCAAAGAACCGTGTGCAAACTCTTACATTTTCTTAACCTATACAGATTATGGTTTAAGAGAAGGAGCTTATTTTTCAATCATGACTTCAGACTATTTTTCTACTTTTTGATGAATTCTGTGTACCACCCTTCAAAAAATGCAACTGTACGTACCATCACTGAGTACCAGTACAAGATCACTGTCAATTACGGTTGGGATACGATGTGCAATAGTACACACAGTGCAGTTCTTAAACTCTGTTCGAATAATTTTCTGAATGAGATTGTCTGTGGCTGTATCAACCGACGCTGTCGCTTCGTCAAGTACCAGTATTTTTGCTTGCTTAAGCAATGCCCTGCCCAAAGAAACAAGTTGTCGCTGCCCCACACTCCAATTATCTCCATTTTCCAGCACTGCAATTTCAACATAAAAATACAACTCATTGGTAGCTACACACAAACCAAGACATTCTAATTTCCTTTATTTAGAGAGTAGGATGGGTATGAGATTTAACTCGTACCTGGTGTATCAAGCTTTTGCTCTTTTTCACGGATTATATCTCCAAGCTGAGATTTGTCAAGTGCCTGTACCGAATAAATCCAACCCTAGTTAGGAACCATGTGTGTAATACATGTGTGTACGAATTCCTAAAAAATACTTTAATTTCTGTATACTTTTCAAGGATCAACATAGACTTAATACAAGGACCAGTATTACATTCTGAACTAAAATTTGTTGATAATTATATTAAAGAAAACCCCCTGCTGCTTAAGTAATAAGAAAATTACTTGAATTGCGAAAAATGTAGTCTGATTCCAAAATGAAAAGGATAGGATATGCAACAGTAGTCAAACCTGCCAAATTTCATGATCCAAATGCTCTTCAAGGGGATCAAGATTGCCCCTAATGGTCCCTTCAAATAAGGTAGGATCCTGGGGTATGATACTGAGACGGCTACGGAGATCATGAAGGCCAATCGTTGAAATATCAACGTTGTCTATTAGGATCCTCCCCCCTGCTGGTTCAATTAGTCGAAATAATGCCTGGATCAGAGTAGATTTACCACTTCCAGTACGCCCAACAATTCCAATATTCTTTCCACCAGGAAAAGTACAAGTTACCCCATGAAGGACCACAGGAAGATTTTCCTTGTAACGAACCTTCAAAGGAAACAAGGAAGAAAGAAGCAGGACTGTTAGCATTTTGCAATCCAATTGCAACATAACTACACATTATTCCAAAAATTAAGCATAAGCATAACAAAACCTATCCCCGTAACAAAGAATAGGCACAACAAAAAACTTACCCCTGACATTAATTACAAGGACATGTAAAGATAACATGAAATTGAACTGCAGGCAGCATACCTTTAAATCAACCATTTCAATTGTTCCATTCTCTGGCCATGTACATGGAGGATGAGAATCCTCAATAACTGGTGGAGCTTCACTTGGGATTTGACTGTACTGATAAATCCTTTCAATAGAAATAATCTTGTTTTCAAGCTTGCAAAAGCTAAGTATCCACCGTGATAGGCGTGCATTCAAATTCAGGCCATATGTCACAGCAAGGCCCGCCATGCCTTAATGAAAGAACCAATTATCATTAGATATGGCATTTTGTCATAATCTGTAAACTCTACTCTATCATCTTCCCATCGAGTCATCCAATCATTTGAGACTAAGCTTTAAACTATGTCAACACCAATCCAGTTTTCAAACCTATTCAGTATTCTAAAGCTAGCAGAAAGGGGACTTCTTTTGCTCTACAAAGCACATCGAAGTGCACTACTGAATGAAAACTACAACAAATTAAAATGTAAACAATGTGTTTATAAGATATGATGGTTGAAAATTATGATCTCAGAGACTCAATCAGGTTAAAATTATAGTGTAGTCATGTCACAAGGAAAATGTCAGGATGAAAGAGATATGATGTCGTAGATACTCCCAGAAGAAGTTCAAATATTTTTTTCCTGTGGGTGCACACTTTGAAATGCCCATTCTGTGATTCATATTCACCTCATGTTTTACAGAACTCAATTCTCATGATAACATATAGATAACTTTAGGAATATAACACATAAACTTACTTGGATCGATACTTCCATGAGGAAAGCTCACAAGTAAAATCATGCAGAAAGCGAATACAAAGGTTGAGAGTAGTTCCATGCGCAGGCAGAGCCATTCAATAGCTGCAATACTGCAGAAGAATGGACGAGCAAAACAATCAAGAAGATAAAGATTCCTCTTCATGAACCTTTTTTCTTGTCCAAATCCTCTTATCGTGGCAGCTCCAGCAATTGACTCACCAAAAAGATGGATAATTGGAGACTTCTGGATGCTAACAATTCGGACCAGTTCTCTTGATGAAGCCATGTAGTATTTCTGCATCACAGAATGCTTACATTCAGGTGCAATATTTAATAACTTTCAGCAGAAAGGGGAACAGGAAAAAGATCTTAGACCCTTTGAATTAGTTTTCATAACATTAAGTAATTAGCTCGAAGATTCATACACGCAACATGACAAAAAGACAAAAGAATAAGGCTACTCAAAGTTAAGGAATTGATCCAAAAGATTTAAATGCTTTTCTCTGTAGCAATCACTGCAGGTTCCACACAATGATGGTGCAGTAGGACTCAGCGAATTCATAGTTTCTGAATCTTATATATTCAGAAATAAAATTGTAAAAGTAATTGTATTCCCCCCAATTATTTGAAGAAGAGATGCAAAGTATTTTTTGAGACCTTATGTCATTAAAGTTCTAAAATCTGATTTATCTACCATTTAGAGGAAATGCTAGAAATTTAATATGATACTAACAGTGAGTAATACCCCCCTTTTTTTTTCCTTCATTTCTAAATACCAAAGAATACTTAACACAACAATATCAGGGCAACAAATTTAATTACCTGCATCCACAAACAAGCAATGGCCATAGGAATAACAAGAAGCAAAACTTGCCAGGTAACTGTCGTCATCACACCAACAATACCAATAAGTTGTATTGTCGTTGAAGCGAACCCACCAAGTCTAAAAGGAATATCAAGATCCACCACACTTTGATCAATTGATACCTATAGATTGTAAACGATTCAAAAATTATATATGCAAATGAAAGGAGTTTGTGTAACACGTGTTTTCACAAACAGAAAGTCACGTAAATTCCAGCAAAAACAAGAGACTTACACGATTCAAGATCCGTCCAGCAGGAGTAGAGTCAAAGAAAGACATTGGTGCCCGGAACACACTTCTAAGCATCTTCACAAACAACTTCTGTGCAGCTGCTAGACCAAATGTAGCTACCAAAATAGCTCTAACAAATATAAACCAAGAGCTCCCAAATGCAAGGGCCATGTAAACAACAAGAAGGACCATTGAACTCACTTTCGGTTGGTCTCCTTCTGTTTGGGGATTTG